AGTGATGCCGCAATCAGATTACACAGTACACGATTAATTAAATTAGATACCGTGGAATTATTCAAGGCCTTCCCGATTAAGCAGTACCTAAGAAGAACCTTGAATGACAATCAGACCTTACGTTGTGTTTCATTTCTTTCATTCCGATCCTCGATGTAGACCATCTGCTAACAAAGGATAACGACCACAAGTGACATTGGTTGGAGGGGTTCCCTGAAATTTGGATCTGCGAACCGTGCGGAGGAGGTTTCAATTGCAGCTTCCATACTACTATTGTACTAACGGCATTGCAATGCAGATAAAATTCAGCTAGTACCGCCAATCGGGGCATCGGGCAATATCACTTCAAGCAAATAAGAATAGGGTGGAGAAGGGTAACTATCCCGCTTTCGGATAGTAAGAGGGACGCTAAGATTCTTTTTGAGTGTACTCCTGTCCTGGTAAGGTACTAAAGTATCCTCGACGGTATTATTATGCCGGCCAGGAGGTAAAAGTAAAAAAGTAAAAAAGAAAACAGCAAGACGCAAAAAAAAAAAAATTCAAATAAATAAATAAATACATAATCATAATAAGATTAATATCTGCTAACGCTAAGACTATGATGGATTGAATTCAACAAGGGTGATTGTCCCCAGTCCTTCGTTTCTCCTTCTATCTTGAGCTTGTATTTTTTAAATTGGAAGTCGTCATTTCCTTGTCATTTTCTTTTCCCTTTCCTCTCTTCTGCCCCTCAGTCAGCTTTCTTTCTCATCTTCTTCTGATAATAATTTCCTGGCACTGGAATACATACATTACTTGCCTTCTTCTCCTGCTGCCATCTCATTAAAAATCCAATTACTATGGTAACCCTTAATAATCCTAATTGATCGTCAGAACACTGAATTACCTTTTGATCTCCCCCCTTTTTTCTTTTCTTCTTTTTTCTTTTCTTCTTTTTTCTCTAAGTTCCCCCCTTCTCTCTCTCTTGCATTTGGGTTTTGTTACCTTCGATCAGCATTCGCCCTCGTTTCCAGTCTACTAGATAAACAACAGTCCTGCAAGGGGTGTGCATGTCGCAAGGGCGTCGACGGGGATTGGTCTGGATTCTAAACTGGGTTTTTGCTTGACTTTTGGATATTTTACTTTTTTCTTACTGGCAGACTACCTGTCCAGTAATCTAGAGTATAGATTGAACTTGCAGACGCCGCACCCACTGGATCATGCCAGTGCGCTTGAAGGCCGCCCGCATATATCGTCTTTGATTATCCTGACCTGGTCCCGGGGACAAGGTTCGTGAGGTCATACATATATATATCCTGTCGATGGTCACTATGGATCGCCCGGAAGACTCTGCGGCGTCCATATTCAGTACCCCCTTTCAATCCTCATCGTCGCTTTTAGCCCGCCGCCGCAAATCACGCTCACATTCTATTAATCGCCCTCCGATCGACCCGACATCCCCTGAAGTAATAAGTTCCTTAATATCGTCACTCTCAACGATTTCGGTACCTCTTCAGACACATTTCGACAGCGTACCGTGCCTTGATTCCGATACCGACCTTTCGCTATCCGTTTTACCGTTAGAGCGACACTCTGCCCCCGGCACAAGTCATGAACATGGTGCTGGGGTAGGAAAGGGGCCGCCTCAAGCCTTCGAAGAGGCTTCGCATAGTTCCTTTCTGCACCCAGATGACGCGGCCGCTGCACCGGTCATTCGCATGGCCCGGGCTCCTCCATCTCCAAAATCAAAAGCGACGACCGCTGACGCTTCTCCTTCTCCAATAAGACCTACTTCTAGGGGCTCATACACGTCCTCCAGAGCAGCGTACGAAGACAACACATTCGGCATGATCACAGCCGAACCTGGTCCACGAGTTTCGACTGCACCTAGTATTGCCTCGACTAGCTCCCGGAAGAGTTTAAAGAGTCAGTTTGGCCTGTTGAAAAAGTCGTCTCGGGAGTTCACATGCAACAAGGATAGACACGCAGAACGGTTGCGGAAGACGAGTAGCTACAACGACAGCTTGAGACATAATTTCCCTCGAAGTAGAACTAGTGTACGCTCGATGCATTCTATCGCTGATGTGGCCGGAAATGGCCGGTATAGCCACTCCGCTAAGGAGACCTTCCGGGAACACGGGGCTAGCTCTCCGAATGAAGCGTATCTTTCGTTGCAAAGCGCGCGCACGAGCGCACCCAGTACTCCCGGAGGCATCGGGGGTGGCAGGACAATTCCTGTTCGCGAGTCTTCTCTACGTCATAGCTTCTCTTCCAATTCTAGGCACCATAGATCTACTCGCCATAGCCGATATTCATCCACGGCGAGCAAAGATACGAAAGTGGACAGTGACACTGGAAACGAAGCCGAGCATGTGACCAAGAGGATACGAGAGCTGAAGGATCAGCAACAGAAGATCAAGAACGAATTGGAGATAGACGACAGCCCCGACAAAGTCACCAAGGAGCCGTCCGCAAAACACACTCAATCACCACCAAAACCTAGTGGACTCGACAACGGTGGTGAGCAAAGTGATACTGGAAGTAATAGGGTCAATACGTTCGATGAGAGCGCGCCAGCTCCGGCTGTTATGACGGGGAGAAGTAGGTCTACGACCTGTAATAATCCGCAACTCGCATCAAACGCAACCAATTGCCCGACACAGTCGTTTGCGCCGAGACAATCCTTTGACAAGCCGGACCAGGTTGAAAAGTTACGTTATCGACGTTCAGTGGAACAGTCAACCGCGCCACGGCACCACAAACGTTCCCCGTCCGGCCCTGTTTCTCCAGGCCGTGCTCCTGTTGTGGACGAGCGCCCATCCAGTGCTGATTCAGCCGACCTTGCAGTTCTAGATTATGTATCCGCTCCTAGGCTTACCCAAAAAGTAACCCATCCTACCACTGGCCGCGAAATAGCTTTTTCGGAGGTCGGAGACCCTAAAGGGCACGTCGTATTATGTTGTCTTGGAATGGGCTTAACCAGATACCTAATGGCGTTCTATGATGAGCTAGCACGATCGCTTCATCTCCGACTCGTCACATTGGACCGTCCTGGGGTTGGCGAAAGCGGGCCTTATGTAGATGAGGCGGGTACTCCTCTCGGCTGGCCAGGTAAGGACACCGTGCTCGGTGCCTATGAGGCTAAAACTTACTGACCTGCCATAGACGATGTTGCGATTGTATGCAACTATATCAAAGTAACAAAATTCTCAATCCTCGCCCACTCGGCCGGTGCTATTTATGCTCTGGCAACTGCCCTAAGGATTCCCCAGCATATCAGGGGCCGCATACATCTTCTAGCTCCTTGGATCCCTCCATCTCAACTATCTAGCATCGGCTCACACAGAGCCCCCGTTCCTACGAATGCTGTTCCGTACTCTCAACGGATCCTTCGTGCCCTGCCGACGTCTATTCTGAAGGTTGCTAATTCGAGCTTCATGAGCGCAACAAGTGCGAGCTTGACCGCCAGCCTCCCCAAATCCTCTCGGCGCACTAGGAGAAAGGCGACAATAAAAGACTCATCTAACTCAGCTTTACTTGAAGCCAATGGCTCTCAACGTTATCCATCCAACAGAGTATACCAACAAGGAGCCGACCTCCAAGCGGTACAGATCAAGAAACTGCAGATACCTAATGGGACCAGAGTTGAAAACATAGGCACTACAACAAGCCAGGTGATGGCTGAGTTCGAGAAACGTGAACGCCAGTCTGATTATGACAACCGCCTGACGCACAAGATCTGGGAACTGGCCACCACGAATGCAAATCCGGCGGTGGACCTCGTCGTTTGCTTGGAACGTCGACAGCCGATTGGATTCCGCTATGTTGATATTACCCGCAATGTCGTTATTCACCATGGAAGCAGAGACACGCGCGTTCCTGTTGACAATGTAAGGTGGCTTGGCCAAAGTATGCGACGCTGTGAGGTTCGAATTCTCGAAGGCGAAGGCCATGGGCTGATGGCCTCAGCAACAGTTATGGGTAATGTCTTGATGGAAATTGCCAAGGAGTGGGAGGACTGGATGACAGTAGTCCAGGGTAAGCGTCGAGCAACTATAGGAACAAGGTCAGGCATCGTTATCCAAGCCTGATTCGGCTGGAAATTGCTGCGTCGAAGTCATGGGAGATTTCGAAGAATCTGGAGAACAAAGGATGGCGAAGAAACCGAAAATAAACAGAAGAAGAAACACCGGGGATTGAAAAGACGTCGGATAGGCATTCTGGGGGCTCTGGCCAGGACCAGGGCCTCCCACCTAAGCCTATGCTGTCATCACGTGGTACTGCTGCTGGTTTTGCAGTCTTTGGATTTCACGCGTTGCTTGACAAGATGAACCCCTCGCCTACTTTTAGGTTGTGAAACTCGCATTCACGTGCCTATAGATACGCCTTTACTTTGACATGCCCTGTGTTCGATATGATACCATTGGTGCTTTCCATTGTTGTTTTGTTCTCTTAGCCTAATACCCGATCATGCTGTATGTAACTGTTTAATCTATAATCAAAGATCACCTATCACGGAGGAAGCCTAAGAAGATGTAATATATATAACATACTACCTGGGAGGATTGCTAGTATTCCTAGTAGGTAGTGATGAGTAGTTAGTATGACGTAAGGTCTAAGCGCGCGGCTCCGAGTTTCTTAAATTTAATTACTAACTACTCCGGTACAAATGCATGAATGTCGACTTCGTGTCGGCCCCACGTCCGCGCTTTCTTGACTGTCGCTTGTCGCACTGTACAGGGAGTGCTCAACACCCGAAGGATCATTACATTATTATTATTATTACTAAATTCTCGGTGCATCTTCTAACAACAGGTGTTGTCGCCGACTCCCCAGATGTTTACTTACCATTGGTGTCGGAGCTGCGCCTATGACCTGTCAACGCAGCTAAACTGTTGAAAGAATACCGATTGGTCTTGAACCCCGAAGCCCAACTTCTAGAGCATCAGAGTAAACTGTGTTGAACGAACGGCTACCGCCGCAATTCCTTCCGCGCTTTCAACCGACTTCATTTGCTCAAGATGCTACCTCAACGGCGCATCAAACTTTTGGCTATTGCTGCCCTAGCGCTGGTTATCATAGTCTTCTATCTTTCGGTAAAATAGTGCCCCGATTCCTAGCTCATCTATCATGACTAACGAAGAGCACACCCTTTCTTTAGAGTGATGCACGGAGAGTACAGAACCAGAAGTTCTACCAGTCTACTGTCGCCGCAATAGAAGCACACAAGCAGACGAACGAACCTGGGTTAGCTGCAGGCAGCTCCCCGGGTGAGCAACGGTTAAGCGGGAACCCGACTCAAGGGGACACAGCAAAGCCCGCAGACGACAAGATGGCGCCAGCGATTCCAAGAAACCGCGATGAAGAGACGGAGGAGATATCGATTGCCGGGCGGAGAAAGATGACGGTTCCTAAAGACCGCAACAATCCAGAAAGACAAGACCCGGCATCAGGTACCGATGAGCGTGTGGAAGCGAAGACCGAGCTTAATAGTATACTAAAACGATCGCCGAGTAAGTAGTTGCAATTTTCACCCCTTCCCGATGTACATGTCGTTCGGTTGCTGAGATTTATGCCCGCTGCGCAGTTATTGTCTTTTCCAAGTCATATTGCCCCCATAGCGCCCGGGCCAAGTCTATCCTCTTAGACAAATACTCAATTGTCCCAGCACCTTACGTGGTAGAGCTTGATCAACATGCATTGGGCCAACCACTGCAAGCTCTATTGGCAGAGAATACTGGCCGCCGCACCGTGCCTAATGTTCTAGTTAGTGGAAGAAGCATTGGTGGCGGGGATGAAGTGGCCGCTCTCGATGAGAAGGATGAGTTGGCGTCAACATTCAGGACGTTGGGAGGACAGTGGGTCCAGGAGGTTAGTCGTAAGGAGACAGGGCACTTAGACTGACTACACTTAATCATGACGATAAAGCAACCACAATGCTTACGATTATGAATAATACATAATATATATACTTTACATCTAGGGTTGGAGGCTCTTTGATCAAAGGAATCTGTTGCGTGTTGCGTCTACGAGGGTAGGCGAAATGTTACACATACCCGGGTAATCATAAGTCATCCGTGGAACCCGGCCTTAAAGTTAGGATGAGTACGGAGTATATCTCTCCTGATGATGATAGGATCATGTATGTTGTTGATACTAGTAGTAGTACAGTTCATACTTTGGCATTCACGTGACACCACGTGATAATCCTAAGAGACCGTAATTGATGGGGATGAGTTGCACCGGAGGAATAACGGCCTCCAAACGTAAAGATCATATAAGATGCACTTGTCGGTCCAGCTCTCTGTAAATATATACATTCATCATAATCAGTTAATATCATGTTAAATAGATAGAGTGTGCCAGGTTGAGCCTTAGGTAGGTAATGGAGTGGTTATGGAACTGGTACTGTATATTACCAAAGTCCGGAACAACCCTAGGCAAAGCACGCTAAGCCTGAACGAGTCTTAAGCGACGCACAACCCGTGATTTTCACTCCACCAAAGAAAGCGACCGGTTGCCTTTGAGGAATTTCGATCCTTTCGAACGACTGACCGCACGACGACATCGACAATTCTCCCTCGGACATTCCACAGCCCACGCAGTCAAGATGCGGTACATTCACTCCGAGGAACGGCTGCCCATCCCCGAGAATGGTGAGCATTGGATCGTCCCTGAATATTGTTCTGTTTCGGTTTTTGGAGGGGGAGAATCATGAGAGGCACATCGCGCAATGAGAGGTCTGCGCCAGGATACGCCAGCGCCGGCAGGATATACATGAGGGGAGGAAATATTTACTCAATCGCTGTCACGGGGAATTACGACTGGTCTTGTTCATCGCTTTTGGAAGGCTCTGGAGACTGATTCGAATTTTGTTGTTTAGTGAAGGTTCACATTCGCTCCCGGGTTGTGACCGTTGAGGGTCCTCGAGGTATGCACAAACCCCATAAGCTGAAGGAGATTTCCTACACCAAGAAGTCGCTTTACAAGGATCGTCAGCGTCATGGGACAACCATGAACGGCCTGATTGTTTTCTCGACTCGATTCGGTCACTAACGGGACTTCTTCGAATCATTCAGGCAAGCTTGTTAAGGATCTCTCCCATATCGCTGTCACCTTCAGCCGCCCTGAGAAGGATGTCATCTCTATTGAGATGCACCACGGTGCCCGCAAGGGTGTTGCTGCCCTGCGTACCGTCCGCACCCTCATCAACAACTTGATCATTGGTGTCACCAAGGGCTTCAAGTACAAGATGCGCTACGTCTATGCTCACTTTCCCATCAACGTCAACATTGAGAAGAACGCTGAGACTGGCCTCTACGAAGTTGAGATCAGGTACGCCAAATCTCTACATGAACCCAAAGTCTGCTTTCTGGAGTTGGGAATGGACCAGGGTTCACCGGGTCACTTGTTCTACGTATTGTGGAGGAAGGAATTCTTGCTGATGGGTTGTTCCAAACAGAAACTTCTTGGGTGAGAAGTACGTTCGTCGTATCACTGCCCAGCCCGGTGTTGAGGTCGCCACTTCCCCCAACGTCAAGGATGAGCTTCAGCTCTCCGGAAACTCCCTCGAGGGTGTCTCCCAGAGCGCTGCCGACATCCAGCAGATCTGCAGAGTCCGCAACAAGGATATCCGAAAGGTAAGATTTCCCTTGTAGATCGATGGTGATAATTGTGAAGCGGTTGCTGACCATTCTCTCCCAGTTCCTTGACGGTCTGTACGTGTCAGAGCGGGGTAACATTGTTGAGGAATAAATGATGACGGGGATTGTCCGCCTTGATGGGTAGTTAAGGATGCCAGGAGAATTTAATTTTCGCCTATTTGCATAGGGAAGCAAAGCGGAATTAAAGCTAAAATTTATGGACCATGGAATTCAAATGCCCCCCTTTACGTGTCCACGGGTATGGCTTTTCTCGGCTTGGGGAAGAGGCGTGTAGAAAAAACGACAAAAAGATGATGGGCTTCTTTAGGAGCAATCCAATTTCCTTTTTCTCTCTTCAACCGCTCCCATGTGATGTGGAAGGAATTGTTCTGAGGATCCCAAGGTAGATCAGGGGCCTTTTTGTGTATATGTTGTAGTATTGAACCAGTCATGTGAGCCCGATTCCCCCAATTGGGGAGACGACAAAGAAATGCGGAGAAGTAGTTCCTCGTTCTCTCACACCTACCTACACCTAGTATTCTTTACTCTTTTACCTGACATATATTGCCGCGACCCTTTCCCTTCGCCATTAATCATCGGTGGTGATCTGACCTTGTGTCTTCCGGATGACATACTCTCCCTCCTTCCTCCGGCTAGCGAGCATGTGATAAAAAGGCCACCTGCTCAAGTACTCCCGAACATGTACCATCCCTTCCCATGAAATCTCCCTCAAGTCGCCTGCGGTAGGAATGGAGTCTTGGTTGGCCATTTGCGGGTTATTCGCCGCAGTCGTGAACATGATACTGGACGTTGCACAATTTTGGAAAGAAGTGCGTTCAAACCGCATTCTCTAGCTAGGCCAGTGCGAGGAGGCTAATATAGTATAACTTGCGACAATTTAGAGGTTATTGTCATGGTGGAGATCAAAATCGCCCCGCAGCAGACTACGATACGGTCTAGCTAACGCCCAAACGTATGAAGAATGGGAGGAAGCTGCTTTCGAGTTGGATGAGCTTCTGAGTATGGATCTGTGGTGAGCTTATTATCCTCGAGCTTCTTATCATTGGCTGCAGTGTAGCAGACTCTCACCGAAGACAGGCGCCAAAACCCAACAAGCCGTCATTATGACTATCGACTCATTCTGGGCCGACTGGAGGCCTTGATGAGTGCTCGAGAGGACGAAGATATCCTGACATTGGTTAATCTCCTTCGATCCGGACTTGTTCGCAATCTAGGCAACATCACCTCTCCCAGACTGTCGCTCCACGCTTATGCTGGTACAAAGCTCCTGATAGACGATTATATCACCCAGGTTGCACTTTCCATCCAGCATGTGACAGCTCTGCAGACAGCCACTGTTTCTGAGGGTAGATTTGACTCTCAAGCTAAATTGGAGTTACTACACGACACCCGGCAGGCCTTTGGCAGAACAACGCTCCTTCTGCAAGGCGGGTCGATCTTTGGGCTATGTCACTTGGGCGTGGTGAAAGCTTTACACCTACAAGGTCTCTTGCCTAGAATCATTACAGGGACCGCCACCGGGGCACTCATCGCAGCCCTCGTTGGTGTTCACACAGAAGATGAGTTGCTGACTTTTCTCAATGGTGATGGCATTGATTTAACCGCCTTTGATCGCCAACGGAAAATGAGACTTGATACCGGAAACAATCAGTGGCTACCATACACCACGGGTGACAGTTGGTTGTGGACTCTGCTTCGACGAGTTCAACGGTATATTCAGAAAGGCTACTTTCTGGATGCCGATGTATTAGAAGAATGTGTGCGAGCAAATCTTGGTGACCTGACATTTGAAGAAGCGTACGCACGGTCGAAACGCATTCTCAATATCACGGTGGCGACGTCGGATAAGGGTGGTACTCCCAATCTCCTCAATTACCTGACCGCACCGAATGTGGTATGTACATGATAGCTCATACGTTGTCCTCCAGAGCCGTTAGTGCTGACTATCATTTTAGTTGATTTGGTCAGCAGCAGTGGCCTCAAATGCTTCGTCAAACTCGCTCTATCAGCCTGTTACAATCTATTGTAAAGATGAAACCGGCTCTATTGTCCCGTGGGGTCTTTCGCGACATGGTTCCTCCCAGTCGGGGCGCCGCATGGAGTACACAGATGGTGAATCACCGCTATCCCGGATTGCTGAGCTGTTCAATGTGAATCACTTCATTGTTTCTCAAGCCCGACCATACCTCGTCCCCTTTCTCCGGTCCGACGTGAATCTTCTAGATCGCCGTCCTACGGGACAGTGGACTATCACCCGTTCACTGATGCGCTTGGTCGCTACTGAGATCCGCCACCGATTGAGACAGCTCGATTATGTTGGTCTTCTGCCACAAGCACTCGCACGACTTCTCATCGAAGAGACCATCCCTGGCCCTAATCTCACACTGGTTCCCGATCTCTCATTGAAGGACTTTACTAAGTTATTCCAGAATCCAGACAAGGAGTCATTGGCCCATTGGATCCTAAAGGGTGAGAGAGGGACGTGGCCTGCGATCAGTGCCTTGAAAGTCCGGTGCGTTATCGAAATCGAATTAGACAAGGGCTACCAGGTTGTTCGTCGACGACGACCAGCTGAGAATCCTTCTTCTGCTCAACATACTATGGGTCAGCGCCGCATGCCAAATGAAGGGATCCCGAGGAAATGGAGAGGGTATAATATCGATCACGACAGAGAAATGACAGGTTTACTAGGAAATTTTGATCGTCAACAAGACGACCTCAATCCGTGAAAACTTCTGTATCAAGTTTCCTACTTGCTTACCTATGTTCTGACTGAGATTCGACTACATAGTTGATTGATCCTGCATGCACTTTTCTAGCTCTGGGGTAAAATCGAGGATAAACATCTCACATCTCAACCCCACGTAGGTGTGTTAGTTGTGTTTTTCTAAGTAAGGCTTGCTGGGTTTAGAAAGCAGAACTTTCATAAATTTGATTCGTAGAAAGAGACTTTTCTTGTGCTGCGCCCATTTCTATCAATTGCTACTACCTTGACAAATATGCCGTGGAGATACCCCTTTTAATGGAAGCCACAAGGCTCCATACCCTACTAGGTCTCTATTGCTCAACAGCACTCATCTTTGGTATGTGATTATTGATGCCAGGGTAGAACATTCATCAGTGAGTCACACGTCCAAGTTGTCAATTACATTGTATCAAGAGAATACAATAGCATTTTCCCGGCATATACCAGCAATCTATCAGGACAGATATATTATGATGAATATCCTACGTACGGTCTGCCCGAGTAGAGTTTGAATATGCAGTCTGACCACAATCGCTCGGCATGCAGTGATGGTAGAATCCCTTGCTCCCTCGGCTTCTGTTCCTGTGCGCGATGTACTGGCCGAGATGGCGATCTAGGAAGTCGACTGGATCCCTTCGTGGGTTTGACGTCCTTGCAAGGGATGTGAAGAGAGTCATCAGGTACGGAGGTGTCATAGCCCAAAACCAAAAAAAGAGTCATGTAGATACCGGTAGGGATTGCCAAAGTGGTATGATGAGAAACACAGATGAAGCTTCAACTCCAACATTACTCGGCCACAGGACACGTCCGGCTTGGAATTTAACAATCAAGGATAGTATTACTTTCCTTGACAACAGAGTTATATCACAATATACAAGATTGCCAGATGTATAACAAGAAGCAGAAGAGAACCGGTCAGCAAGGGAACATTGCGATCACCCTATTAGGGGTAACTGTACATGAGTAATAAATTTACTACCATCGCAACAAAAGCGTATGATCCAGGGACGTGCAGATTTTGATGGCACTGATGTCTCACGTACTGAAGGACACTCAAGACCCTTTTACATGAAAGGCTTATACAAACAGGGAACACCAATTCAGGATCTAATGATTAATTGACAGCAGTCTGTGGGCGAGCAGACTGGGGAGGCGACTCAGCGTGGTGGGATCCAGAACGTACGGAATGACCCTGCGACGTCGGGCGCGCATTGTCTTTGGTTGGATCATATGCCAGGAGAGGAACTAAGGTATATCTGGTCAATTACAGCTATATCGTGGTGCATTGGATTGGAGAAAACACTCACTGCTAAATCCATATCCTTCGGTGACCCCTTCCCGGTTTTGTGGGTCGATTTCTACGCGAATGGCTACATCCAGACCGCCATATATGCCGCTATTGTTGCTGAAACCATCCGCTGCAGAGTGTTGTGCACCAGCATTGGTCTCCCCCGCATGGAGGGGAGAGTGGCCGTCTTTGGGCAGCGGTACCACTGTACTATCGTTCTGTTGTATTGGGCCACCCCCATTGGCGAAGGGGGTATCAACTTCGGTGATACATGCATAGTTGCGTGATGGCATTGTCACCTTGTTCCAGGAAGCGCTTTTCTCCTGACCTCCTGGCTGTTGATCAAACATGTCCATCAACGTTTCATCGGTATTTGGGTCGAGATGATGGAGCTTATTTCTTCGGGCTAAAAGATTCGCAACTGCCTTCGGAGGTGGCTTGTTTGTGATCGCGCTGCTGATGATGTTGACCATATATCGAGGGTCGTTCACACTTTGAAGACCGAGATTAGGGTTCGAATAAAAACGTCCAATAGCTGCCAAGTGCACATCTCCACCCAGGATCGTAACCCGAACTGAATAAACCTTAGCTAGTTCTTGGAGACGTTGAATAAATAACCTGCGTTCGCGCTTGTGCTGACGAGCTGTGTAGTGGTCGTCTAGATCATCAAGCAGGTCTACCTGGCCGTCAAATTGGTTGAACAAGCCGCCTGCAAACCCAAACCGCTTGTTGAGCAAGCGAATTGGCGCAATGAATGGGGAGCTGAGAATATTCTCCAGCCATGCAAGGCGCGGATAAGCAATAGGGACACCCAAAAGCACTACCAGATGCTTAATATCACCATTGGCTGCGGTCAATTCGTGCTCAAGTCGAGAAAATATGAGATCGTATGTATCAGGATAATTCACCTGATGGCGGGTGCGTTCCGTGCGTGCATCGACACCGATGAAGGCGATCCGCTTCCCGAGACGCATGTACAAGTTCCTGCTCTTCTCCTCTACATAAGGGCCTGGCCGCTTTCCAACTATCCAGCTATCGTCCTCGGCCTGATTTTCCAAGACAAAGGTGTTCTCCAACTGTCGAGGATCCGCTCCTGCTGTTCCATTGACTGCATGCATGGTCTGCGGGGCATCCGTCGTGTAGGTTGACCTGGGCGGTGCGACGTGATGCTGAAACAAGCAGTAATACTTGAAGGCAACGCCTCCAATGCCACGAAAGACGGAACAACGCATGAAGTGATCTGTGTAGGAGCCGAAGCCATCGATTATATCGTGGTCGTCCCAGATATTGATCTGAGGTATGCGTCCATTTGCCGCTTTAAACGGTTCAGTAGAATACCATCGTACGTAGTTTTTATAGTAGTACTCATCACATCTAGCTCGCAAGTCATTATCAAAATTGTGCGCACGTCTTTTGTGGGGGTTGGAGATAGAGGTCCATTCCTTCAATGGGCCGTCGACGCGGATTCCATCATTGTAGAGCTGGTCACCACCACCAATCATCGCATGAAAGGGTCTTTGCGTATGAACGCGCAGCACATCGTTCCACAGGTTTGGACCGATCCAGGCATCCATATCTGTGCCAACGGAGAAGCCATTGCAGGAATGAAACATGAGGCGCATGGATTGGTTTATAGATGGGACCACGAAATCCCAAGACGATCTCACTCCCTGTCCCTCCACATATCGAAAACCTGGAATACTGTACTCCCAGCGCGCTTCATATGACTCGAGAGGTAGTGAGATCGAAAATCGCCAGAATGCTTTCGATGGATCTTCGAAAAGGCGAAGACCGTCGATCGTACTGCTTTGGCTATTGTATAAGTCCCCCTTGACCGAGGCATTACCCTCGACCGGGCCAGCCTGGCGCAAAACGAGCTGCGGCTGCTTTTGACCAGGGCTTGTCACAATCAGAACACTTCCACGCCAGATCGAGGTGGAAGGAGTGACATCCATATTCTTGAAATTGATTAAGGGCCCACAAATTACATCTATTTGCGCATTCGAACCGCGTACTTGGCCATTGAAGGCTGCACCTTCCGCAAATCGACCACCGGGCAAAGTCAGCGACATGATCCGCTTTTTGATCCATCCGGATGTTAGTAGAATGCTTACCCAGTTGAGTGTGTTCGGCCATTGCAGATCGACTGCTCAGGGCTGCGAACTGCTCGTGACAGATACGGTACTGAAAAAGGAAACAAGAGGGGAAAAAATATGAGAGAGAGGGGGGAGGAAGAAGAAGAAGAAGAAATTACTAGATGTGCTCTCGCGGGCAGAGTAATCAATTGGACTGAAACCGCCAGGGGAGGGTATCAAGACAAAGACCGAGAAACAAGACACAAGGAGAGGAAAAGCTAAGAAGCGATCACCACGTTATTAAATTCCGGATGATTCAGAAGAGATCACAGTAATCTGGTTCACCGTACACAAGCGAGTGGGAAAGGGGATACAAGCGTCTGATTATGGGTCGGTTAAGAACAGGGGGAATAGAGTAATGGAGAAGGCAGCAATAACTTGGCGCAATTAGCAATTAGGAAGATAGAAGGCTAAAAAGCGCGCGCGCGCACACACACACAGAGAGAGACAGACAGACAGACAGACAGACAGAGAGGGGGGTGGTAGGAAAGGGAAAAAAGGATGTATATATATAAAAAGAATGAAATGAGGAGAAAAGAAAGAGAGATCCAGCTAAAGGAGCGAGGTGGAAATCAGAGGGACCGCAAATGTATGTCACCCAGCAATTCCGCAGTAGGGCTGAAGGGCTGAGCGGAAAAGAAAAAAGTGAAAGGAGAGAGAAAAAGGAAGACTGCGGAAGAGTGAAAATTGGACGAGGAATAAGCTGTCGAGCAGTGCTTGGCACCGAACCTGCAGTGTACCAAACTACCCAGAAGATGAATAGTTCCTTGGCAGTGATGGATCGAGAGAGAGAGATTGGCTTCATGATTGAAATGATGATGAGGAACACGCCCGGATTCTGTGGCGGTGGATCAGTGACTCCACTAGTCTAATGCACTAGTATTATTAGTATTGACCGTTACCAGGTACCGTACGTGGAATCTCCGAGGCTGCATGATTATCAGATGATTAATACATAGATAACAACTATGAGATATGTATGTATGTATGTATGTTCTGTTCTCTTCCAACATTATTGAATACCATACAAAGCAATTGCAATCACAAACATGAGATAAATAACAAGTGCTCATAGTCTCAGAGTGCGACAGATCGAAAAGTGACAAGTCGGACCCAGAAATATTTAAATGTAAGGAAGGAGCACATCTGCAATTCTCCTTTTCTTTTCTTTCGCGCGCACAAGATAGAGAAACACCCGAAGCCATCGACCTGCAAGGTATCAGACAGAAACAAAAAAAAATATTCAATTAGTAAATTCCAAACTCCAGGTTCGGGGAAGCAATGAACACACACACACACACACACAAAAGAAAAAGAAAACGTGCCGGACAAGGATAGCAAGGCTAAAGCAACCAACATGGCCCCTCAAAGCTGAGAATCCAAAGATATTTAGATTCAACTAGCAATCTGCCCGTGAGGTTATTGAGGAGCATAACTTAGTCGAGTACCAGGCTGGAATGAAGACAATATTGGGTCATCCGCGCTTTTTGCTCCAACATCGATCGTGCTTCTACTTTCCAACTGTCGCTCTCTTGACCCAATTCTGGAACAACCGAGCCATCTATGGCCTTTTGTTGGACTTCCATTCCAAGTGCAGTCAGCAATCCTCCAAAATGAACACGATTTTGAAGGCAATCCAATTCGGGTCGGGTCTCGACTAGGTCAAGAATCTGCTTCAGGAGGAGAGAAAGTGGGGTTTTGTGGTACCCTTCATCCTCAAATTTGCCGGCCTCGGGAGACATTGAACTCCAGCGGTATAAAGGAATCGACCCATACTTAGATAGGGGTGGAGTACTGGGAGTTCTAGCGGGGCACAATGCAATTAGACTCGCTTTGGACCTGGCTATCATCCCTCCCAGAACCTCCTCTGGGGATTCAGGAGGTGTGTCACCCTCAATGGTGAAGAGACTCTCTAGTCGTTGCTCCGTCTCTGCTCTTCTCTGGACCCGGTCCTGGTGACGGAGCATATTGCAAGTATCCAAGCCTGGTGCACGCCAAAACTGGGTTTTCAAGCTGCCGTCTTCTACGGACTGGCTAAAAGTGAAAAGGTCGCTAGTGAACTTGCCAATAGATGAGTTCCGCTGGTAAGTTGCCTTCGTATAGCCGCCTTGTGAAACAAACCATGCCCTATACGAGGCCCGTGCCAAGATAATACGACATTCTTCCATGTAGCGGGTGAGCCTCTCTTTGAATCTTTCCATGATATTACCGTCCTGCTCGAAGATAACCTCCGCGAAGTCCAGCACCCACCGACAGAAGAGAACAGTAATGACGATCTCCATCCCCGGATCATCACATGACCCCATGGCTATGCAATAAGGGCTTGAGCTAAGAATTCCCATGCCAACATGCACATCCCCAGAAAGCCCAGTCTCTAGAAGAATGATGAGATCTGGTATGGTGATACTGTACATGGTGAACCCAAGGTCCCACACACACCAAAGATCATCGGTCTTGTTGGGCATCCACTCAAAATGGCGGGCGAATAAGGCTCTGTTGTTGTAGTCAAATCCCAGGACATAGTGTCTGCCATTGAAGGAAGGTCCCAGATCGGCAATGGGAAGGTTCCAATATAGGAACTGAGGTTCTTCACCAACATTACATGGCTCAAAAGCATGTTCTTCCAATAGCTCACTATAATACACAGGGCGACAATCAATACCGTCATACACGAACATCCCATTGCGTCGCGCATGTGTGTCTTTCCCCCTTTCAACGGAGCAGAGGTACAAGTGGTAATCCACAACCTCCCAAGGATGGCTCACACTGTACGTGGGAGGCTCGTTTCCCGGTGCTCTGATCTCCAAGTCGGCAGAGTCATCTGAATGTACTGAGTCAGTCTCGGATATATCGCTGGAGTATCCCTCTAGAATCTCTATTCTTTGAGCAGGATGTAGTGTGCCTTCATCGAAGAAGGACTGGCCAACTTCCGAGGGCGATGCTGCGTCATTCTCATTGCCACTATGTGCACATTTTATCGCCCCCCAACTTCTCTTGAGCCTGAATACGGGGGAGACAGGCGTCTCGCTGGCTGTAGTGAAGTAAATCTTGTAAGGCATTCTTCCGCAGTCCAAGCTTGGGTTCGAATGCTAGAGTTTCTCTGGTAAATAGAACAGAGGCTTCGGCATCAAGGGAAGAGAGACAAACTCTTCACACTTTGTGCAATACAGAAATAAATGACCAATAAATGACCAATAAATGACTTCGAACAAATATTCCAAACAGCTAAAAGGCGAAGAGCAAAAATGCAAAAATGGAAGGTGAAGGGAATATGATATGGAGCTGAAGAGGCTGCTAAATATGTTAAGGATGAGGATTGCTAGGGGGTAGTGAAAAAAAAAAAAATTGAAGGGCAGGAGTAGAGGAAGTGAAAGAAAAGTATTTGAATGAACACTAGCAAAAACTTTTATTAGCATCTCTAGATTACTCTAGTGATCAATGGCCCTCATAAGTTGCTGGATGTAACTAGAGATTTGAGTCATTTTGATTGATGGACCATGATATTTCTATATAACCCAGTCCTGTGAGCCACAGTATTGGCAGTCAAGTTCTACGTGCTCCACCCACTTGCATAGTTATCTATTGCTAAGAGATGTAAACGCATGGAGTGAAGTCCGATCAGATGTAGAGCCTCATGGCTTTATTCACTCACGGGACGATAACACAAGATAGCAAGCATCAATAGAGCTGTAGCGCATAAGTCTCCTATCTGGGAGATTTTCTTTTTTTCCATTGTCCAGAACAAGACTTCTCTTTAGCCTTTAAGCTTCTCATGGATGGATACCTACTGCAGTTGCTGAGAAGTGGACTTTCTTGTTCACGCTCAGTCCTTCTAGAAACCCATGTCTGAAACAATGGTTGCAGATTCTAGACTAAATAACGTGCATGCCCTGGTCCGTAGAATTGTTATCTTTCTTGCCTATCTAAAGTTGGGCATTCCTTCCTTCCTTCCTCCTATTCCCATGGTTGAGATATGCAAGAACAAGATCGTGATGAGGGAAGAAGAGCGAAGGAAAAAAGGGAAAAAAAGACCTGAGTAATATACAATAGGCATAAGCAGAGGGTTAATGGGAGTGTATTGTAGGGAAAGTCACAGCTGAGTAGGCACATCGTAGTTATACAGCTCTAATCTTCCTATCAACATCAATCCCGAAAGGTGCGCTCAAACCATGTCTTATTTATTCGTTGTTCGTTTCCCTTTCGCATCTTGTATGCAGTTGACCATAGTGCTCCCGCCAGGAATCCTCCAAGGTGAGCCCAGTAATCAATCAATGCTCGGCGGGTAAACATGTTGACAAATTCTAAGGCGACAAGGCCAGTTAGGACCATCCATCCTTTTGCTGAAGCAACTTCCTGCCAATCAGGTGGAAGGAAGAAAAAAGTGAATTTCTCACTGTCCATATAAGATAGCCATTAGTATGGGTTATGCAAGCTGTATCACAAGAAGCCATTCAATACGTACTCGGCATGAAGCATGCACCAAGCAGCAACCAGAGCCGAGATAGCTCCGCTAGCTCCAAGGGCAGTAAGACCCAAATTCCCTTTCAGGATATTGGCGGTCAAAGATGTGAAGGACCCGAACACGCCGGAAGCCAAATACAGAGCTAAAAAATTCCCACGGCCAATCTCATCATGAACTAAAAAAAAAACGAAATGGTTAATGTCACGGCCACCAGACGGATTATCCAAACACTCACGCCTTGTCCCAACAAACCATAAGACTACCATGTTCAGTGCGAGATGATTTACCGTTTGATGGCTAAAGACGTTCCCGATCAAGCTGAGTGGACGAGGATAGGCAGCGACAGTTATAAAATGACGATTAAGAAGCCTCCAGGCCGGGGGGCAAAGCTTCCATAGAAGGAAAACACCGACATTCGTTCCTATTATAGCCATAACCGTAGCTGCTGCTGGGGGAATATCAGGCCACAACCGATCAGCCTTGGCGGGAGCTTGGTAGTTGTTTGAAAAAAAGTAGCAAAGGCCAAAAGTTACGAGTGTGATGCTAAGGATCCGGAAGATACGACCGCCCTATCGGCGGAAAAGTTAGTCTAGACAAGCATGTACAGGACGTGTATCGGTAAACATACATTCGTCAACTTAGACACATCCAAGTCCCAGTCAGTGGCTCGTAGATGGTGTTTCTGTATCCATGCGAGGAGTGGACGTTGGTTGGGATCCGCACGCTCCCGCACTACATGAGTCGTTAATGCCTTCATCCCGAGAATCCTCAGCGCCGGAGTCTCACCTTCCAAAGACGCTGTATCTTCGAACCTCTGGAGTGCCATATTCTTCTGCCTCATATGTTCTAGCTTTTCACGCTCCTCTTGTTCACCGTCGAGCCATTCTTGGCGTTTCTTTTCTTGTTTAGCTAAGAGCCGTGCTTCATTTCGCGTCCTGGTTTCTTTTAGAACACTTTTGCCATACGGGTCGTTCGAATCGCCCAGTTCAGCACCATAGGAGCCGCTTTGGGGTTTGTAGAGACCCAGTTCTTCTGCGCGTCGGACGAGTTTTTCCTCCTCCTGCAGCTCTTCTCGTTCGATTCGTGCGAGAATAGCAGCATCTTCATCGAGTGGATAATTCTTGCGTAGCCATTGCAATGCTGCATCGAGACTAGAAGGACGGATGGAGCGAGTTATATCGGAAGGAAGGTCAAGATCAAGGGTGCCATCAAGACGCCTACCCTGGAGAATAGCGAGAATCCGGTTTCCCAACTGAGGGGTTATCCTCGCACGGCTCCCAAAAACCGCATTAATTTCAGCCGTCGAAAAAGGCTGCTGCCGGAGCTGGACACCGTATTCAACTTTAGGGATTGGTTTGGTGCGCAAGCATCTCGAGCTTGTGAACAACCGGACGGAGCTTGGGGGCTGTGTTGACGTCGTACGGGAGCAAGACTGGTAAGGAGTCGTAGGAGGAAAAAGGCTCAAAGGACCAAGGCGCCGCCCGAATATGCTACCATGATGCCATGGAGAAGACACACAAGAAGTGGAGCGCAGCGACGCTGGATTAGATGGAAGCAAGCTCAAGGAACGGGGCCCCGAGCATGGGATCCGCCATGTTATACAGAGCACATTGCTCATATCCTGCGACTGGCAGCCAAATACTGCCTGCAATGAGCTTTGTCGGCCTCTAAGTGGAATGCTCAAAAAGTTATCGATGAGAGTACAATGTCGACAAGGACTTCGCCAGAGGTTCGATGGTGAAAGCCCACAGACTTCTCCGAAGCGCCCGAGTATTGTTCCGGTAATACACGTATACAGTGAACTGAGCCTGGGTAGATAGTACTAACTGCAGTATGTGAAAAATGGAAGACGAAGATACAATGTTAACAGCCCAGATATGCTCCGGATCTTGCTTGGAAAATATTGATTATGTATGCTAGTATAATATATGCTTTGCACTGCACTGTAATTGTAAGATACTGTTCAGAACGAAATTGGTGATTTATATGGAGCACTCTGTATGTAAATCTTGGATCACTCCAACCCCTTCAATGGAACTACATCAAACCACCTGACTACCCTAATACTTTAAGCATTACAAGGCCTGTGGACTTTTAACCTTGGTCACTCTGTACCTATCCTCCTTGGGGATCAAGATATCGACTCCTCTTATGTACAGAGTACATACAGTCAGTGCATACGGTATTATATAGTACTGTCACGTGAAGATAAAAAAAAAGCAAACAGTGATAAAGAGTCGCCAGTTTACGTAGTGTTCAACATAAACACAGGAATTCAACAGGAGAAGGAAAACCAGTAGAGACAACCCAGATAATGTCTGCTGAACCCCTTCCAATTACTCTCGCTGCATTTGAGGAAGCTATCAAAGAGCTTCCGCTTTCCTCCGTGTATGCCAAAGCCTCCGAACTCTCCAACTCCATCGCACATCTGCGGCGCTCAAATCAAGAACTAAGGGCATTCGTGAATGAGTCATGCGACACCGAGACTGAGAAAAGGGAGCTAGAAAAGTATATCACTGAAAATAATGAAGTGATACGATCGATGCAGGAAAGGAATTTACTACTAAAGTCGGAAATAGAGGGACGGGGCCAGCAATGGATCGAGATGGGGGACATCGCGCTAGATACAAAAGCAGATGAGAATCAACAGCCATCTGCATCTGAACCCGCTACAGGCGGGGCGGCTGTCGAACGACCAAATGGTGCGCAGCTGGAGCAATCCACCACGAGGTCTGTTCGTGATACCCAAAATGGCCACGAACAAGATGGCGTCTTTCTTTGAAACTACCCGCGCAAGCCAAGATTTATAGACTTGCATCCATCGCCCAATGAGCAATCTTATCCACGCAATATGTACGAGAACCTTTTGCATTGAAACATAAATATCTCTATATGTAGGTTCAGACAAAACTGAACCCAACTATATTTTGCAGACCCAAACTCTATGGTCACTAGAACTCACGGTTCTCCCAATCCGCCATTGTACTAGGTCTAGCGAGCAGTCCTGGGTCTTCTGAAATGACTAGTACAGATACCTGCACTGCGATTAATTTGAAGCATTTGATGTACCTACGTTGCTCGAGTTGGATTTCCCAGGTCGAATACATGTAGTGAGCATATCTTCTAGTCTACAATTATCACCACATGCTCACTTGGCTCTATCGAAGACAGTCATTTCCACATCGCCCTAGCTCTAGGAAAAATCAAGAGTATCTAGGCCCCATCACAAAAACTTGTCATGGAGTTCTATGCACTTATTGTCCAGGCCAGGAACAGCAGTGTTGGTGATTAAAACCTAACAGGACAGATTGCTTTGATGGGTAAATGCAAAAGTAAGTTGAAAGAGATATTCACATCATATGCTTAATGCGCAGACTTTCAACTTGAGCCGTGTCGTCCACTATATCACGCTTTTACAGTCCAAGAACAGGAGAAAGATGAACCAATAAATCAAAAAGATAAAAAAAGACTGGAAGGAGATGCAAAGCTTGACCGTAAGACCAACAAATTTCCAACGCCAGGTTAGAAGACGATCAATTGCCAGTAAATGCAGGAATACAACGATTTCTAGCTCAGCTAGAATTTGGTTGGCCCCAATGACCACCTGAAAGCGCCTCGGTGGGGATTCTCTGCTGTTTGATGAAGAGATCAATCAGTGGTTGCATAGGCTCCATCTCTTTGTCAGAAACAAGCTTGTAATATTTGGCGACTGTAACAAAATGGACGAAACACATGTTAAGGATGTCGTGCTTATTAATGTGCCAGAAAGGGTGCAGCCAATGTGCATGGTACAGATGGGCGTAGCAACGGAACATCTGCTTCATGATTCCTTGACAGTCTTTGTAGAATGTCTGGGGGAAGCCGCTGGATTTGCCAATCCACTCCTCGCCAGGCGTGTTTGCGCCAGGACTGGAGGGACTGGTGCCTGAGATCTCATGAAGCGCGAAGGTATCCGGCAAGCCGTTGACCTTGTCGGTGGGGAACATAACGGGGTCGTGGATTTTGCTGATAATCCATTTCTCGACGCGGTTGATGAACTTAGGGGCCGAGATTTTGGCAGCACGACCATCTACGAGCCAGGTGTACGTTAGGCTGGAAGTTAAGATTGTCAGTCGTGGACCAATTCACTAGTTATACAGTAATGACCATCTTTCAACTTACCGTCCAGCAGACATAGTCGGGCAGGTGGTCTCGTTACAGATGGGGACACCAGTAACTCCATTAACCTCTTGGATAACCTGTAGCATACCATGGAGCAAGCGATATTGTTCGACGACTACATATGGCACGCGATCAACATATAGAGTTTCAGGAGGAGTTTAACGGTTGCGCTTACTCTGATGCGCCAGCCATTCCCCAAGCTCCACATTCTTAGGGCAGGCACACAATGTCAAGAAATTGCCCTTGACATTTAATGGGGCATACTTTTCCTGGAAAAAGTATTTGGGTGCGTCGGGGTCGTATGCTGCGGGGCCGTCCAGGGGCATGTTGGGAGCGATAGACGGCGAGTTGGGTACTGGACCCGCCTGGGGAACATGAGGAGCTGGCGACTGAGCTGGGCTTCCATTGTTCATCTTAGGGACGTTATTATTGTTGTTATTCTTGTTATTTCCACCCCGGCCAAACCCTTGGCGGCTGGAAAGAAAATCGTGTCACAGGTCAGTATCAACAGTCCGATAGGGGAGACATTGGGGGAAGAGAGAGGCAGAGAAAATTAACGGAGATCACTCCGTGGGGAAGTTAATGTGAGAAAGAAAAACAACAAAGTAGGAGTAAAACAGTTGCATAGAGACGAGCTGACGGAGCTGTTTGTTACACTTTAGGGGGCGCATGATGTGGAAGCCAGAGGGACTTAGGGGAAGGCTGACAATGTGAGGGGACGGTACATAGGACAAAATGATATGGGTGAATGAAGCTGGTGACTTACACGCTTTGAAAGAAGGTCGCCATAATTAAATCTTCAGAGACTAGCTAAGGGGTTTTTTAACCGAGAAGGAATATAACAATAGTAACAGCGGGGGAGTACAGAGTAGAGAGTAGAACGTTGGAGTTTATTGATATTATTCTGTGATCTCTATCGGTCTGGCCCCGGGGAGCTGCCGCCGATGCTAAACTATATTGGGAGCGGAACGGATTATCCTTCGTTTCTCTATGGCGCGAGTATCAATCAAACATTACCTTAACAGAAGCTCCGCGGACATTACAATTGATGTTCTTGGTATCTCACCTCGACTGCGAGAGGGGTTTCTCTTTTCTTTTCTTTTCTTTTCATTTTTTTTTTTGAAAGAAACACAAAGCTACCCACTACTAGTATACCGGACATATAGTTGGGAATATATTCCGCCAATTGAACTGTAAAGTCTCGCCTCTGAGCTGCGACATCATATCTTTTTCTTCGTCTGTGCCTGGCAGTTGCACCCTTCCTATATCTGATACAACTTCCAGCCCCTGCAACTTCGAACATGTCTTCATCCGATGAGGACATTGTCCGTCGTCCTGGTCGTGGCCCAGGTGCTGGTCAGCCTGCCAGCCCGTCCGGCAGCGAACATAGTAACCCTGCCACTGCACGGAATGGCAGCCCGATCGGAGCTGACCCTGATATCCTTAACGACGATGACGATGCCGATCTTTTTGGCTCTGACGGATCGGAAGGTGGCTTTGGAAACGATAATGAGTACTGCCCACTTTTTTCATCTTTACATACGATAGATATATTAACCCGTTGCTAGTCAACCGCAACGTAACCTTGACGATGAAGAGCTAGATTCCGGCGATGATGAGGATCGCTATGATCGAGTAGGGGACCGTATGGACTATGAAGATGGTGGAGAGGGACAGTACCAGGAAACGGTCAACATCATGGACTTAAGCTTGGGTCGGGCGCCCGAACCAGTAACCTCCAATGGCGAGGTTCGTCACACACCACCAATTTATAAACAGGTCGTCCACGTGGCTCACTGAACCATTATAGATCTACACCATGCCAATCCCTAACTTCTTGTCGATCGAGACCGAAGAGTTTAACCCGGGGACATATGTTGCGCCTCCGTATAGTACTGCAGCCACATCTCTATGTTGGCGCCATGATCCTATCAATGGCGCCCTCATTCAGTCTAACGCACGCATCATTCGCTGGGAAGATGGCTCCATGACACTACAGCTAGCTTCTGCACCTAAGGAGCAATACAGGATAACAACCAAACCGCTTGCGCCTCTCAACAAATCTGGTGACTATGAGACGAAATTAGATTCGCACGTGTACCTAGGCGCAGCTGCGGAGACGTCTTCCGTGTTCCGACTGACCTCTCACTTGACCCATGGACTTACAATCCACCCTACGACTGTCGAAACAGATGATGCTGTACAGCGTCTCCAAGAATCGTTGGCCGCGGCAGTTCGCGGCACGAAGAAAACAGTAGATGGGTCCGCACCTGTAATTGAAGTGAAGGAGGATCCTGAACTCGCCAAGCGACAGGCGGAACTTGCAGAGCGTGAAAAATTGAAGGCCGCCCGCCGGCGCCAGCAGCTCGCAGACCGGGAGCTTGATCGCGGCCGCCGAGTTGGTGTTCCTCACCGCACTGGAGGTGCTGGTCTCACCATAGGCGGATTGGAGGACGATGATGGATTACTTACCACACGACCCCGTGTAAAGAAATCTCGTAAATCCAATCGGCGAGGGGAAATATATACCGATGACGAGGAAGATTACGATCGGCGGGGTCGAACTAGGGAAGATGAATATGACGAAGATGACGGTTTCCTTGTCGGCAGCGATGAAGAACCGGAAGAAGTCGAGGATGATGAGGAAGAGGACATTCTTGAAGATGATAGCATGGATGCCGAAGGCGAGAACGAAGACGAACTGCCAGCCACGAGATCGAGGGAGACAAAAGGCCGTGGAACAGAAGCTGGGTCGGGCGCTGCAGGAACCCCTCCTACTAGAAAAAAGAATCGTTACATTGTGGACGATGATGAGGAGGAGGAGGAGTAGAAGTGACCGACTACAAGTTTTGTTTAATGATCAGTCTTACCAACTTCTATGAATCAGTCCTTGATGACATCTGTATCTATATGAGAGTTTTTGGAGTAACCATAGCGAATGAAAGATCACTTACAATTAGCCCTAACGTCAATAAGCTAGGCTGAACCAGAATTGTTCTGTACTTAGCACTTCAAGTTGTCAATTCAATTGTATTGATAGCTTGCAAACTACATGCCTAATATTAATGACCTCAACTATTTACTACTAGTTAATGCAGGGGTGCTTCCATGTTCAAGGTGTGTTTCTACGCATGGTATGTATCAGGGTTAAAGACAAAAAGGATGGAGGGAGACACCAGCTACGCATAGTTCGTGTGAGATCATACTCTTCCTAAAACGCCCGTCACACCAGCAACTAATCGAGTATTCACGATCAACCCAAAAAACGCCAAATCAATCGTCACGTGTATTATCGTCAAATGGGCTTTGTTGCTGTCGCGACAAATCTGCCATCACATGTGTTCAAGAAATCACGCCATCTGGGTATTCGTGCGGCTCAAACTCGAATCTGGAAATAACTTCTCTGGCACTCTTAGCCACTCGAAAGCAGAGCCAGCCCTGTTCATCACGCGGGTCAGGACCAATTACAGTCGGTGTCTTGGATCCGGCGTCTGGAACATCGGGACGAGCCTCTGGGTGCCGCTCAAGATGCCACCGTCGCTGGCGTGTTTCCATCTCTTGGACCAAGGAGAGCAAACTTGGTGAATCTGAGCACGCCACGGAGCCAGCTGGATCAGCGGGTCCACCTACAACACCACTCCGGACTATCTGCCGGAGCCAGTCTTTCCAAGCCGCTGCAGGGTCAGCTGAGCTCTTGTTTAGAGCAGCCACATAGGCCGGCGGTGCCGCTTGTTTCCCAAGTTCTTCGGCATTGGTTTTTGACACTCGCAGCCAGGCATCGGCGACAATATTCAGGAGGGTCCCAGTGAACATGACATTCTGCATAGCTGTCGCGAATTTCGTTGGACATGTTTGACAACGGATGACTGCTCGTGCAGTTTTCGCAGCAATGAAAAGTGAGCATAGTGTATGTTGAGATATCGGGAATGGGGCAAGAGAGGACAGATGGCTAAGGCATAGATACAAGTATGATAAACATGTGCACTGAGTTTCTGAGCATTCCGAGTCCGAAGGAGTTGCAGGAGGTGAATGTGTGTGCGATAGTCCCGGCGGCATCGCAAACGGATTAGACGTTGCTGCAGATACACTGGAGAAGTCTGGCCAAGGCCCAGTTGTTTCAGGGACTGGTTCTGTGAACTTTTCGTGATTCAGTTCCCATGAATGGTTATGGTTATCGTCTGTAGATAAAAGGCGACGAGAGGCTTGCGGGATGCTAAACGGGGCACTGTAGACAGGAGCGCAGATACGGAATGCGTCTGATGCGGCCGTAGCTTCCGAGCAATGACTTGAAGACTCGAACGTGGAGTTATTCAGATCAGACCATATTTCGTCGCCTGAACAACCAAAGAGAGGTAGTTGGTCACTATCTTCTCTTGCACGTTTTTTAGGAGGTCGCCCCATTTGTTTCTGCACGGAATAATGACAGGCAAGAGACTGCTTCAGACAGCGGTCACAACCCGTTGCTTCACCGGAGCATTTCAGCTTCCGTTTCCCTGTTTCGTAAAATGATTGTAAGTATACTCTAGGTCGTGCATAACCCTTATTTTGCAATGGAGACCTACTGCACTCGTCACAAGCTGCATGTCTTTTGAGTGATGGAACCGGAATGCCTGTAAAGGCAGGCTTGCCCGAATCACTAATCGTGGCAGCATGGCACTGGCCCCAGTCACACTGCATCCTAAAATTGGGATGATGGCGAAATGTTGATAGTAAATAGTAATGAAACAGGTACACCTCCCCCAGCAAGGCTGGTACTGCTTCTGGGTCTCCCCGCCTGTATCAATATCTAGGTGACGATAAGAGCGGCCTTGAAGGCGGTATGTCACATGGGCGGTCAGACCACATGAAAAAAAAAAGAAGAAAAAAGAAAAAATCTCGGGTAGAGAAAAAGAGGGAACAAAAAAAGAGGGAAGAGAAAGAAACAAAAAGCTTCCAACCAATTTGTTGGACTAAAGCGGACGCAGGTATTCACCATGATGGATGCCTCTAAGTCTTCAAAAAAACGAAAGGCAATTACTCGGGATGTTGAGGAGGAGGCTGGTGTGTTTTCTGGAGATGAATTGCAGGCTGACGTCCTAGACGGCGCACTTTCAGATAATGCAGACGACCTATCTAGCGACGAGGATGTGAGCGATTCGGAAATCGAATTAGTGGATGATTTTAGCGATGAAGAAGACGGTGATGAAGAGGAAGAGCTCGATAGCGATGAAATTCCTTCAGATGGGGAAGAGCCCCTTAAGAAGGTGTCTGGCACTGCAACCGCTCGTGATGAAAGCTCTAGCGATGAAGAACAGTTGAACTACCGCATTGAAAAGGATGCCAATGGAAATGACCGTTACGTCTACGATGAGATAAACCCAGACGACAACTCTGATTATTCTGATGTCGAAGAAAATGCGAACACCATCGGCAACATTCCCTTGTCCTTTTACGATCAGTACCCCCATATCGGCTACGATATTAATGGAAAGAAAATCATGCGCCCAGCCACAGGGGAAGCACTTGATGCGCTTCTTGACAGCATCGAAATTCCTAAGGGCTGGACTGGTCTTACCGATCCCTCGACCGGCAAACCATTGGAATTGAGCCAGGATGAGCTGGAGTTGTTGCGTAAGGTTCAGATGAACGAAATCCCTGAGGAGGGATATAATCCCTATGAGCCCACAGTGGAATGGTTCAGTAGCAAACAAGAGATTATGCCCTTGAGTGCTGCCCCCGAGCCGAAGCGTCGATTTGTGCCCTCAAAACATGAAGCCAAGCGGGTTATGAAGATCGTCAAAGCAATCAGAGAAGGCCGCATTCTACCTTATAAGCCCCCGACGGAGGAGGAGGATAAGGAACAGGACGTAATCAACTATGACTTGTGGGCCGACGAAATGGAGCGACCAGACCATCCCATGCATATCCCTGCTCCTAAACTTCCACCACCTGGTTATGAGGAAAGTTACCATCCGCCCCCTGAATATTTGCCCGATAGGAAGGAACGAAAGGCTTGGGAGGAGGCTGACCCTGAAGACCGTGAGCGGGAGTATCTTCCCAATGACTTTGGCTCACTGCGGAAGGTTCCTGGGTACGAAAGTTTTGTCAAAGAGAAGTTTGAGCGCTGTTTGGACCTTTACTTAGCACCCAGAGTTCGGAGAAGCAAGCTGAATATCGATCCTGAAAGCCTTCTTCCAAAGCTCCCTAGTCCTGAGGAGTTGAAGCCATTCCCGACCGCCTGTGCTACAGTGTTTAGAGGACACAAGGGTCGTGTTCGCACCCTAGCCGTTGATCCATCTGGACTCTGGCTTGCTACTGGTGGTGATGATGGAACTGCGCGAGTGTGGGAGTTACTTACCGGCCGCCAGTTGTGGAGTGTGAAGTTAAGTGAAGAGGATCCAGTGAACGTGGTCCGTTGGAGGCCTGGGAAAGACGCTGTTATCCTTGCGGCTGCAGCAGGCGACGATATCTTCCTTGCAGTGCCCTCTATCGCGGATCCGGAAACTGAGAAGGCCAGTTTGGAGATCATTGACGCAGGTTGGGGATACGCAGCGTCGAAGCCTCCCCCAAGTGCCGCAGAGGAAAACAAGAAGAATATTCCTCCACAGTGGATTCGCCCATCATTATCACTCGCAGAATCTGGGGTGTGCGCCGTCATACCCCTCCGGTATGTGGTTAAGTCTCTCTCATGGCATCGTCGCGGTGATTACTTTGTTACTGTGTGCCCCGGCTCTTCGACCCCAGCTTCTGTGGCCATATCTATCCACACACTTTCCAAACATTTGACACAGTTTCCCTTCCGCCGACGTATCAAAGGTGGTGGACCACCTCAAACCGCTCATTTCCATCCCTCGAAACCTATCCTTTTCGTTGCTAATCAACGAACAATTCGTGCTTACGATTTATCCCGTCAGCTCCTTGTCAAGATCATCCAACCCGGAGCTCGCTGGATCTCTTCTTTCGACATTCACCCGACGTCTTCCACCGCCGCCGGAGGGGATAACCTCATCGTTGGATCGTACGACCGCCGTCTACTGTGGCATGATCTTGAGCTTTCTCAGCGTCCGTACAAGACGCTGCGGTACCACCGCAAGGCTATCCGCTCTGTACGGTTTCACCCAAGCGGACGCTATCCTCTGTTCGCCGACGCAAGTGATGATGGCTCCCTCCAAATTTTCCACGGCAGCGTTACGGGTGATATGCTCAGTAATGCCAGTATTGTACCTCTCAAAGTTCTTAAGGGTCACAAAATTACCGGAGAATTGGGTGTCTTGGATGTCGACTGGCACCCTCGGGAAGCTTGGTGTGTCAGTGCAGGCGCGGATGGAACCTGTCGGCTGTGGATGTGATGACGCACCATCCCCGAAGTATATATTGTCAGTCTGCACTACTACCATTTGGCCCAGCCATTTCTACATGAGGCATCCGTTGTGTATAATATTAGTCCTAGATATCCATCGCAAAAGTTCTATCCACTTGATACATCCCTTGTATTTCTGTCACAGACTGGCACTCTACAACATCAACCTTGTCGGTTGTTTCGTACAATCCCCTCCCCTCCCTTTCCTTTCTCTTTTTCTCAGCTGGGAGCAGTATAATACCTGACAAGCGGTGAGATTGTATGATATTTTACTAGCATGTAATCATACACCTATAGCGTTTTCCCCCAACAACCCACAACAATGTAACATGGATGGAAAAGAGAATGATCTAGTTAAAGAATTATCTATATAACACCTCCACTCCAATCCCTCCGCAGCTTCTCATATTTTTTGAGGTCTGTAACGCTAGGCCGGATGAATGCTTTCGCAGCCACAAAATCCTCATGCTTTATTGTGTCCCTCCGCTTGATGGCAGCGTATCCAGCACGGCGGAGCAAACTTCCTAGGTCAGCACCGCTGAACCCTTCACAATCCTCGGCCAACCTTCTGAGGTCATCGTTGAAGTCGACAGGAATATTGCGGACTAGCGTCCGTAAGATCTCAGCCCGCTCCAAGGGGCTAGGCAGGTTCACGAAGAGAAGTGTCTCCAGTCGACCCGGGCGAAGCATAGCGGGATCGATAATATCCGGCCGATTCGTGGCTGCTATTATGTAAATACCTTGGCGATTACTGCCCAGGCCATCAAGCTCAGTGAGTAGCGTATTTACTACACGTGCAGAGGCTTCAGAAACAGTGTCGTCTCGTCGTGGTACTAGGGCGTCAAGCTCATCAAAGAATATAACACAAGGGACGGACGAGCGAGCGCGAACAAATACTTGCCGCACCGCACGTTCGGATTCACCGACGTATTTATTAAGTAACTCGGGGCCCTTGACACTGATAAAGTTGGCATGAGATTCGTTGGCCACAGCCTTAGCGAGCAATGTTTTACCGCACCCAGGCGGACCCCAGAGGAGAACACCAGTGGGGGCTGTAATACCAACACTCGCGTACAGACTGGGGTTTTTGATAGGCTCGACAATTGCAGTAGTAAGTTCTTCACGGACACCCCCGAGAGCGCCGACATCTTCCCAAGTCGTGTCTGGGATGGTGGCAAATCCCTCTCGTTTAGAGGAGGGTTGGATCTTAGGAAGTGCAGTTAGGAAGTCTGCATTTGAAACAAGAACCACTTGCACTTCCTCTCCGATTGGCGTTTCTTTGGCATGCGTAATTAACCGCCGCAGCTCCTTCACCTTGGGACTGAGATCAACTGCCTCTTCGATATCCATTTCCTCTCCACTGTTTGCTTTTATTATCTCCAAGTATCGTTTTATGGCAGCAGAACCAGCAGTGGAAACTAAATCATTAAGATCGGCTCCCACGAAGCCAGCCGTTCTATTGGCCAAGTATTTGAAATCTATATCGTCTGCCAGACGCATCTTGCGCGTTAGTGCTCGTAGAATCTGTTCTCTGACAGGCTCCGAGGGTACAGTCATGTTGATTTCCTTGTCGAACCTCCCTCCTCTACGCAAAGCAGCGTCCAGACTGTCCGGTCGATTCGTAGCGGCAAGAACAATCACAGGCTTTCCATCGGTTTTCTCCAGCGCCAGGTCGTCCATGCACGTTAGAAGCTGAGCAACAATCCTCTTTTCCATTTCCCTCTGTGCACTTTCTCTCTTTGGAGTGATGGCGTCTATCTCGTCGATGAAAATAAGGCAAGGTGCTATCCTCTTGGCTTCCTCAAAATATTCTCGTAGCGCCTTCTCAGACTCTCCTGACATACCAGAGACAATGGAGGGTGCTGATATGGAAATGAATGGGACACCCAACTCCGCCGCAAACGCGTTTGCAATCATAGTTTTCCCGCATCCTGGTGGACCATGTAGCAGCACACCTCGGGGAGGCTGTACATTCGATGACATATAAACCTGCGGACGAGTCATGGGTAGGATGACAAGATCTCCAAGCTCTTGGACCACGTCGTCCAATCCACCCAAATCTGAAAGGCTGACATGTGTAGGCGGAGATCGATCAATCGCGCTCTCGGCCTTGCGGCGCTTGGAAGAATGGGACTCACCCCCATGCTGTCGTCTCTTGCTTGACTTAGGCGCAGGGGTTGCAGCTTCTGCGCCATTGGCCTCAGGCGTCTTAGAGGGTGCTGAGGACGTGTTGTTCCACATGCCTACGATGCTCTTATTCAGGCTATTGGATGCCTACAACAGTTAGTCGCTTTCTGACGTTACGTGAGGCTAAGAAATAAAAAATGAGATCCTTACCGTAACAGGTGACTGTTGTTGTTGTTGTTGTTGTTGTTGTTCTTCCAAGCCTTCAAAGTCTCCGGTTACGGAGTCATCTTCATCTTCCCCAAGTAAATCCGTTTTTATTACCTCCACAACCCGTTCGATACTGTCTTCTAGGATTCTCTTCGGCTTTCGGTTCAAACTAGAGTTTGACCTTTTGATGGAGTCGTAAATGGTCGGTACCGAAAGGCGAATCTTATCATTCTCGGCTTGGTCCTCAATAAATTTGTGCACGACCTGATAAACCTGTAGACGAGAGGCAATTGGCGATAAGAAACAAAGATTAGAGGCTGGAAGTAGTATGTGGTCCTTACCTCACGATCTAGACCTTGCCTTAAACTTGGCCTACCTCCGCGACGCATGATTTGCAACACCAATCCCAGTGAGCACTTGGCTCTGCAAAAAAATGTACCGAGAAACGGAGATGGCTACGCTAGAACTGACCGATAACAATATACAACGGAGGGACTTTTTTTCTCCGACAGTCTTAGGGTTCGGGGAATAGATTTGCCGGCGGACCGTAATGTATGTACATACTACATACATCACATATAGCCCAGTATTTACCGAGTATTGTACGGTACATACCGAATCAATTCGTCTTTACATATATATAGTACGTATCGTACTTAACGGTCGTGTTCTGAACTAACGTCATTTCCATAGCGCACTAGGCCGACAGGTGGACCGGACTTCATCAGTACAATATGTGTCGATAATGGGCAACACGAATAGCTCCCATAAGGTATCCGCTCAGGATAGGTGAGTAGCATATCGACCCTCTTTTATTTTTATGTCCATCTGTTGCTCGGTCCTATAACCATCCGTGAAACATGGCCTTTGTGACCTGACCCTTCCCTTCGAACTACTAACATTGAAGTATTGCGTAATTAGAGCCATTCTTGATTTAAAAATCCAGCGGGACAAGCTCCGCCAGTATGGGAAGCGTATAACTGTCCTCACCAATCGTGAAACTGAGATAGCAAAGGAATGCCTTGCCCGGGATGATCGCAAACGCGCCCTCCTCGCTTTGCGCCGCAAGAAATATCAAGAGTCGCTTCTGATCAAGTCCGAAAAGGAGCTCGACCAACTAGAACAGTTGATCAGTCAAGTTGAATTCTCGCTCGTCCAGAAAGATGTCCTCTTTGGGTTGCAGCAGGGTACGCAGGTACTACAGGCTATCAACAAGGAGATGGGGGGTATCGAAGGAGTTGAAAAACTAATGGGTGAGACGGAAGAAGCACGGGCGTACCAAGAGGTAAGGACTTCTGAGCCAGCTAATATGTGGAATGTATGCATGCTGATGAGACGGTGGTGGAACAGGAGATCAGTCAAATGCTCTCGGGGAATCTATCGAACCAAGATGAGGATGAAGTTGAGGATGAGTTGGCTGCATTACAGCGGGAAACGCAGAGACTGCAGAACCTACCACATGCGCCAAAGTCGAAACTCCCAGAAAGGCAAAACGAGGAACAAAGCCAGGAAATACAATACCAAGAAGGCGGCAAAACTAAGGCCCAATCCGCAATTCCAGCCTAAAATATATGCTATTATCCCCACGCTTCGCTACAGATTGGAGTCGTATGTGAAATATCACAAGCGATCCTGGCGTGGATGGAACTGCCGGATTAATACCATCCAGTACATCCCTAGTTATCTGCACTTCCAATAATAGAATTTAAATTGATTTGGGATAGCATTGTCAGCCCAACTCTGATACCGAAAGCTCTATTGCGCCGCTTCCTTCACTGCCATCTTGGATTAGTCGGTCATCATGTATGACACATACTCCCTGGCTTGAAGCGGTGGCTCTCTAGAAGCATACAATGTGCATACATGACTCACTGCCCGGACATGATCCTACCTCCCACGCCAGTTACGCCTTGAATTGCGACGTGGTCACTGGGATTAGCTGCTGCCTCATAGAGAAAGCTGACGGGCTCCCTATTCAAGGCCATAAATTGACCCTTGAACCCAACATAACCCACCTTAGTCACATCCTCATTCCCATCGCTCCAGTTGTCCTCAAAGAACAAGGTAATGGAGGTTGTAGCATTCCAGTGAGCGCGGTTCAATGGCAACTCGAAAACATCAGCTCCGGGAACCGGCTGCGGGATCTCCACTGCCTGTGTTGGCTTCAGCTCTGAAGCAGTCGCAAAATCTAGATCGTCACGATTCTTGAACAATTTCAGAGTCTTCGGGGCGGCAGGTGTCGGAGCCGTGTAAATGATCAAAGAGTGAACCTTTACTTGACCAGTAAAGCTGCGTAAAAGGTCAGAGCTTTGAACTATCAAAAGAGAAGGGTAAGGAAATCAAAAAGACGGCAAAGGAAGATAGGAATCATCAGAAGTGAACTTCGGGTGTTAGGTTAAAATTATCTTGAGACCAGTCAGAGGGGAAGGGTCCAACCTGTAATAAATAGGTGGGGTAAACCAGAGGAGCAAAAAAGAAAAGAAAGAAAAAGTTTCAAGCAGAGAAGATCACACCACTTACGGGATATACATAAGTAATTGCTCGTCTGCATCACTTTCAAGTTCCGGCTGGTCATTTAGTCTTTCAGCCCATGTTTTTTGGACAATCGCAGCGCCGGCGTGGGGGTTGCTTCTATAACTTCGGTTTAGCACTTGTATCGAATAATATAATACAACGTCTGTAACCATGTCACTCTTACCATTTAGCGTAACGATAGAATCAAACTGAATTTGGGAATAGAGGAGGAATTGGAGAGCTGGAGTGATATCATTTGAATGATCATGTCCATCTTCTCCATGACAATGACTGCCATGATCGTGGTGGTGATCACCGGACATACTGGGTTTGAATATGGTATTGTTGAAAGCCAGTTTTTCTGGCGTAGACCAGAAGATAACTATCACCTGTACCTGAAGTCATGCACTGCACATCTAAAGGTGGAGTGGGGTGGGGGGGTTGGTTTCTTACAAAGCTGCGGTGAGAGAGTAATTAATTATGTTAACCTTTTAGTTTGTGTGCTAACTTTCCGATTGTCCCTGTTTTAAGAATGATTAAACATATGGTAAGGCCTTTTGAATAATTCCCTCTCCCCCTTGATTTTTTTGGAGAAAAGAAAAACTAGAGTGAAAATGAAAAGGAAAAAGATCAAATTCAGGATAGATTTTCTGATAAATTCACTTTTTCCCCTTCTTCTTGCGACCTTCTTTCTTCTCTCACTTAGTACGGAGTATAGGCAGCCCATTTCATCTCTCCCCAGGAACGTAGACTGTTGCCGCCCCCCTCTACTTCTCTCTTCTCGCGTCTTCCTTCACATACACCTTGCTTTCTTCTTAAACGTGGGTTTCAATCGCAGCCTTAGTAGTCATCTAGAATACATACATCACCTAAACCTCTAGGTTCGCTCAGTAATCGTGTGGTGTTTTTGCCCCCAATGAACCGAGCTAGGGAGCTATTAGTTGACTTTGTAATAATTGGGGGCGTACTCCAGAAGATAGCCCTTTTCGATCTTCGTGATATCCCGAATGAATATCTTTTCACCTGTTTGCAATATCTCGTGGAAAATAACCCAATCCGCTTTTCGATTCTAAACTAGGGTCAGTAGGGAAATCGAAAGGTCGCGACGCTTTCTAAAGAATAGAGACACATACGAACATCAACGAACTGGGATGAGCATGTAGAGTACGGCCACCAGTAGCAGACTTGAATGTTCCGTTTGGTTGCATCTTTGCAGCATGTGCAAAATAACCAGTCGTGAGGCACCTCTGGATATTTTCAGGGTATCTACTGGAATCTGCCTTGTGATGATATGAAGGTGTCTCATCTACCCGGATGCCGAAACGTTCGAGGTATCTCTTAAGCTGAGCCCTGATGCTCATTGCCCGTTGCAAGGATCGGTAATTCAGAAGATTGTCTCGGCACCACTTGGGGTCTTTCTTTCCTATCGTGATAAAAGCCTGATATACATTCAAATTCGTCAGATGGTCACCCTCATCAACAGCGAATCTTCTGCGACTGCTCTCCGTCGCCTTGTTATTACCCTCGTGCTGGACCCACACTGATCCCTGTAAGTTGACCATCGCTGCAATTGAAAGTATCTCACTTAAGCAGTTAAACGATTGTGCAGAAAGGAGTGCTTTCGCCATCATAGGGTCTACAGCTACTTCTGCCATCCGCATACCCAGTGGCTTAGTGAGCTTGGCATAATCATCAACGACCCCAAGAGAGTAAAGGAGTTCGAATGCACGTATAACAAGTTCTGCAGGCGGAGGCGTCAAGAAGTCAAAGTGAGCTATGTTATCTATTCCCAATGCCTTGAGCTGCATGATCACAGGGGCAAGATTTGACCGCTGAATTTCTGGGACTGTAGCTTCCAGAAGTTGTTCATAAGCCTGCTGGGTGTAGAGACGGAAGCATTTTCCGGGTTTAGTTCTTCCAGCTCGACCTGCACGTTGAACTGCTGCAGCCTTCGATATTGGTACTGCTGTTAACGTTTCAATGCCAGTACTAGGATCAAAGGCCCTTAACTTTGCGAAGCCGCAGTCGACGACATATACAATGCTGTCAATAGTAACAGAAGCTTCCGCGATGTTCGTTGAAACAATGACCTTGCGTGTATTTTTTGGCGTTGGTTCGAAAACGTACATCTGTTGATCCGTTGGGAGACCGGAGTACAGAGGTAGAGCGACTAGTGCTTGTGCTCTAGGATGCAGCATCGCGACACGTTCTGATATCAACTGTACTGCCGAATCAATTTCTTCGCGGCCCGTTAAAAATACAAGAATATCGCCCTCCGCTTCTTGTAGATGTATGTCGAAAACAGTTTTTACAGCCCGTTCGACGTAGTCTTCTGCGGGTGACTCGAGGAAAAGCATGTCCACAGGGTACATTCGGCCCTCTAGACTGATAATCTTTCCAACATCTCCCCCTTTTCCAACCGAGTCCGTCTCGTTCTGGAACTGATCTCCGGCGAAGAAGCTCAAAATATCCTCTGCCTGCAGAGTTGCACTGCTGATGATAATTCTTAGTTCAGGGCGCCGTTTCAAAATTTTCTTAAGGATCCCCAAGAGTACGTCAGTGCTTAGAGACCTCTCATGTGCTTCATCCACCATGATTACTGAATAGCGTGACAGTAGTGGGTCTACAAGAGCCTCTCTAAGTAGCATTCCATCTGTTAGGAACTTTATCCTTGTTGTTGCAGAGGTCAAGTCCTCAAAGCGAATAGAATAGCCCACCTCCTCGCCAACCCTGCAACGCATTTCCTCAGCCACTCGAGCTGCGACAGTCGTGGCTGCAACGCGGCGCGGCTACAACAGCTTAGCTTTTATCCCAAATTGACGAGTGTTAATGAACTGAGACAGAACGGGAGATACCTGAGTTACTGCTATAGACTTTCCATCTGCACACCATCCTGCTTGGTCTAGATACTGGGGTAGCTGGGTAGTCTTCCCACTTCCAGTTTGCCCAACAACAATTGTAACGGGATATGTGTCAACAAGATACAGTAAATTTTGCCTATATCTGGCGATAGGCAGTAGAGCAGCGGGTTTGTACAGTGATGGAATGAAGGCAGGTGTGGGGTCTAGCTCCAAAGCCATTCTTAATATGTGAAGTACTAAAGTTCAGTGATACAGTTGCAATCCAAGGTGTTATCAACCAAACAGTATTCTAGTGCCGCCTGACGCATGTGGCTGAGACATACTGGGTATAAAATCTGCCTATATCCCAACGATTTAGGATAATAAGGCACTACGTATATGTTTCCAAAGTCAAAAACAAACTGCAACGGGATTAGATAAGCTATTGATAACGTGACCGACCTGCTTACCGACTATGTTATCCATCACGTGGCCAACGTCACTGTACATCGGAGCTAACTAGGACTGGCTGAGCTTCCAATACTCCGTCCTCTAGGCTACTGCGCAGTACTATCACACGTTGCTCTCTGCATGTCAGGCTCAGCAGCACACTTCCTCCCGTGCTTGTCGACGATATATCGACTACTTTCGATCACATCATAGTTTAATATTTCAGATTCGGTCAGTTTTGCCATGGCTGACGAAGACAAAACTGTTCGTTTCCGTATCTGTCACCCGTACATACAAAACGCTTACTGATTTGATACTAGAATACCAACAAGATTACCTCGGGCCCATATAGTCCCAAGCCAGAGTCTCCTACGACGGCACGCCCTCTGGATTTTGATGATGAACCTCAAGAAACTGGCGTCACCTCGGTGTCTGCAGCCGTAGCTCAGCAGAATGCGACAGAAGTTGCCCCGCAAAAACCGCCGCGCCCATTGAGCCCGCAACAACAGTCCGAAACAACCCTCAAAGAAGCGTTTCCTACTATTGAAGTGTCAGTAGTCAAGGCAGTCTTGGTAGCCAGCAACTGGGATGTTGAACGCGCTTTCCATGCCCTCCTTGGTTTGTGGATCTTTACAGCTAAAGGTGTCATCGTTGATTATTAATGTGTGTAGGTATGACTGACCCCAGCGCTGCCGAGCAAGATGTTCCTCCTCAAAAGCCACCTCGCCCCTCCGCAACACAGAGGCAGCTGGAAGCAGATGAGTTGTATGCTCGCCAGCTTGCGGAGCATTACAATCGCCGTGCACCTCAATCCCGCTTGGAGGGTGGTCATCCATATGATCGGTCGAGAAGGGACAGTGAGCTGTCGGAGGACAGAGAATATAGTTTTTTTGAAGGTATCATTATTGATGGTTTAGGAATATTTTCATGGTTACTAATGGTTGTAGATGATCTTCCGGTGATCCGTGAAAACATCCGCAAAGGATTTCTAGAGACCCAAACAAAAGTTAACTCGTGGGTTCAAACCCTAAAGAAAAGACTAGATGGTGAAGATCAGGATGGGGCTCCGTCCAGTCAGGGCTATCGCAATGAGAGTGATGGCCAGACGAGGAGAAGCGGAGAGCTGGGCCGTCGTAGCGGGGACCGCGAACGCTATGACGCAGACCCCCAGGTTTTAGGTGACGATTTTTCAGCCCTCGAAATGAGAGATACAGAAGGTTTGTTTCATTAGCAGCTTCCTTGATTCGCTATGGCGGCTGTACTGACTTCTGGGATAGCTCCTCCACCAAGGCCGCCAAGGCCGCTTGCCAATGCTAGCCTCTACAAGACTTCGTCGCCTTCACCAGACAGACGTAGAGTGTCTTTCCAAGAAGGTCCGCCCACTGAAATCGGGGGCAATCTTTACGATGCATCCGAGTCGTCTAGATTTTCTCCTGCGGGTGGCAAGCCAAGCAAATGGCAACCATTGTCTACTGTTGAGCCTTCTCCTGTTGGAGATCATGATCCATTTAGTCTAGGCGATAGCGAGGATGAAAAAGAAACCAAACCTAAGGATCAGACTCCTGCTGATGGGGGTGACCGTATCAAGACAGCCACAGCCGACGCGATTGCCGGCGAGCTGCCTTCTGCATCAAAAGCAAATAAGAAGGCAGATGGTGGAAAGCCTTAACGTCGTGTTAGCAGTATGCTTTTTTTCCCCTCTTTATTTCATACGCGGTCATGTTATGCCTTTTCGTAGTTATTCAGAATTGACGCCTAGAGTTGACAATGATACCAGAGACTGCAGCACGATACCAAAAGCTGAGTTAACATACATAAACGTGTCAATACAATGAAGCAAAACACCACAATGTAACGAGTTGCTTTATTGTAACTATATTTCCAATGTCTGGAACGAGGGCATCACTGAATTAAAGCCGCGTAAGGAATTAGAAGAGAAGAAGACGCAAAGTCAGAACTGCATCTATTCACCAAGGTCATTCTCATTCGTGGTGAGCTGTGGGGCGGCTGTGGCTTCTTTTCTCAAGTCCTTTATAATCGTCTGAGCATTTAAAGGGGTCTGTTAGCACTCTAGCGCCTAATGGAGAGAAGATGCATTGGAAAGCCCGAAACTCACAGCAAGGGCGTCAGGATTAACGCCGTTCTCGATGAGTGAGACGCAAAGAGAAAGATCAGTTCTGTCCAAAGCCGTGTTCTACATATCCAGTGGATCAGATCGTCAGGACGGGGGTGACAAATATAGCATTACGAACGATAACGCCATGGGAAGGAATGGATGGCTCACATACGAGAAGCGTAGAGATCTCGTGAAGAATGTCAATAACTTCGCGTGCCGCCTGACGCTTGTCGTCGGATTGAGAAGGCATTTTTAGAATTCGATGTGCCCAAAAAGAAGTAGGAGGGAAGAAGGAAGAAAAAATTAAGAACTAAAACTAGAATAAAATACTGGGGTTTGAAGTATTGGCAAGAATGTCAGATATGCGCTAGAGATGGTGAACTTACTCCGAGTCCTTCGGAGAAGGTACAGTTCTAAGTACCCGGACAATGGATAGATGCAATGGTTACGAAGGTCAGCTGATTGGTCACGACCAACAGCGGCAAAAGGTTCATGGTGGAATTTTGGGCCAGGAACTTTAGTAGTCTTTATGTATAAAGTACTCCGTACTCGATAAGTAGACTACTACTATAATACTCTGTCGCAATGTCCACCATAGGTTCCTTAGTACTTCTATCCAGCGGTGGGGAGAGTTGTTACGCATACGATTGGTTCCTGGCGATCGGAGTATTTTCAAGTTCCTGCCTGGACGAATCTAGTACTCCATACAAATACTATTCACCTTCGCGATGAACAAATCGCTGTCTGCCAAAATACCCTATCAGGATATCGAGACGCGCCACACCACTACAGCTATCTCTAACAACCTAGAATGTAGGTCCCGGAGGGATCGTCAGGAATGTGGAATAGGGAATTGAACATATTAGACATTCATTCCTTGGAAAGGAGCCACGCATTCGAGGTTCTTACTCAGATTACACGCGTCGGTAAAAAGCCGTTCCCCACCAATGAGACATTTGGATCCAGTGAAAGTCACTGGGAGAAGAAGCCGAACACGAAGGTCTTGTATGCGACGAGTGCGGCATTGGATGCACGCTTCCCTTTAGTCGCTTCTGTCTATGTTCAACAGGAAGGAAGAGCGCTGTCACACAAACTCTTGTATAGTAAGTCATTATTGGCAAAGCGTCGGGATGAAATTACTGGGTTATATTCGACTATATCTGCAATAGGAGGCTGCTAGCATATCCAATTATGCGTGGACAAGGCCAGAACCCATCCCAATGCCCTGTGTCTCCAACTTGGATTCGAAGAACGTGAGGAAATCGCCGATTACTACGCGCTAGGGCGCTGAAATCAGAATGATACTAGACGTCGGTCGTGGCCCTTGACGTGTATACCTATCATTATACGATACACCTACCTCTGTTAGCCCCCTGCGAGAGGAATGGGACTCTCAAGGGCACCTTTTTTCTTTCCTCCCTTAGTTTTTAACTTTAGGAAGGGACAAACACGTATGATCGCTGACATTCTTCGCCTACCAACCCCTCAAGTACTCGAAGGAGTCAAGCCCTACCGAAAGTTCTGTTCGGAGGACCTCCTTGGCTTCCACAAACCACTACCCCTTGCATGACTGTGCATTTCGCGAAGTGTGCTTTATCGCGCGGCAGCTACTACTATTATTACTCTTCGCCGATTATTCGCCATAATTTAGTGACGTCAAAGATATCTAGGCATGGCTCGGATGAAGGGGTCTCACGAATCGCGCTTCTCCTGTGCTTTGACTAGCCCTTAGGCGCGATCACCGGGGAGAATGGTAGTCCCTATTCTAAGGATAGACAGGCATATTCTCCAATGTCCATTTCAGGTTCTTCTTACGACTTATTTTCTACTCTTCAACTAATTTTCGCGCCACCCAAATGGTCGCCAGAATATCTCCTGGGTGGACAATAGAATATTTGCCTGTTCTATCGATAAAGTATCGTCTAGAACCGTTCTGTCTATCTCGAAGACATGGCGCTCATCTGGTTGGTTATGCTTGGTTTTACGTGGATTGTTGATGCAAAGTTGGTTTCAAACTACCCGATCAATTCACAGCTGCCACCTGTGGCACGGGTCGCGCAAAGATATCAGTTTTTTTTTTCCCAGGGCACATTCGGTGGGAGTGACCCGTCAACAACATATTCGCTCTCAAACGCCCCATCATGGCTTCGAGTGGATAGCAAAAGCCGCACTTTATTCGGCACACCTGGGGGGGAAGATGAGGGGATTGTGAAATTTGATCTTGTAGCATCAGATGAATCAGAGTCAGCAAGCATGGAAGTCACTCTCATCGTGACTGAAGATGATGGACCAAGACCTGGGAAACCACTGCTTCCTCAGCTCGAAGCGATTGCCGCGACGTCTGCTCCATCGACAATTCTGATTCATTCTGGGGATGCCTTTGACATATCTTTCGATCATGACACTTTTACCAACACCCGCCCCTCCACCGTATACTATGGGACATCTCCAGGTAATGCCCCGCTACCTTCCTGGGTGGGATTTGACCAGTCAAATCTTCGATTTTCAGGTGTCGCACCTAATATTGGACCTCAGACTTTCGCTTTTAGCCTTGTCGCCTCAGATGTGGCTGGTTTCAGCGCAGCCACCATGACTTTTGATGTGACTGTCAGCCCGCATATTCTCTCATTCAACCAAAGTGTGCAGACTTTCTTCGTTAGCAGAGGAGAGCAGTTTACCAGCCCTCGGTTCAGGGAGGCGTTGAGATTAGATGGGCGAGAACCAGCAAATGCTGATTTGACTGATATCCAAACAGACTCTCCTTCCTGGCTAGAGTTTGACAACACTACTATCTCATTTACAGGGACTCCACCGGTTGGTGTGGCGGATGAAAATATCACTATTTCCGTCACAGACAAGTATCAAGATATAGCAAGGCTTATCGTTAGTCTGCAATACTCCCAATTCTTTCACGATATAGCCGAATGCGATGTGGTCATCGGAAGCTACTTTTATTTTGTTTTTGACAATACAGTCCTGACGAATGATTCCGTTCAACTTGAAGTCGATCTGGGAACTCAGCTCCCATGGCTGCAGTACAATCCCGATAACAAAACTCTTCACGGCTTTGTTCCAGCTGATTTCAGCCCAAACAAATATACAGTTAAGCTTACCGCTCATGAGGGGACCGCAGAAGATACCAAGAAATTTGCAATTAATATCTTAGACAATGGAAATTCTCCTGATCAAGGCACAGACAAGTCCGCAGGCTCCTCCGAGGGAATCGATGGAAAGAAAGCCGGAATAATTGCTATTTCGGTCGTGATTCCTTTTGCCTTTTTAACGAGTCTTTTGCTTCTTTTTTGTTGCTGGCGCCGCAAGCGCAGGACACATGAAGAAGAACAGCTGTCGAAGGAGAAAGTGCCAGACTCAAATGGCTCAGAGCTACAATGCTGTCAGCCTTCTGAAGAGACCACTCAATGCAATCTCTCTAAACCGACCAGAGAACCCCCGGGACTATCCTCGAACCCACCAAAATTGGAACTAGGGCCTTTGTGGGACACAAGTCCCTTGGACGACAGTGAACAGGGACGACCTACCGAAGGCAGGACAAACACACTTTCCGCTTCGACTGTTGATTGGGATATCGCTCCGTTGAAAGTATCTGAGCCAGGAAAGGAGAAGCAGGTCGACGATATTGCCATTCCACTCAAGCGGCTGTCGTTCCAGAACAGTCCACCTATGCGCAGGCGGGCTACCACTAATTCACGAAAGCGAGAACCTCTCAAACCAATCCAACCAAGGAGATCGTTAAAGCGAAACTCAGTGCACTCATCCAAATCGAGAAGGTACTCCAAACGTTCTAGTGGAATATCATCCGTTTCATCAGGACTTCCCGTAAGGCTTAGCGGTGCAGGGCACGGTGCCGGTGGCTTCGGGCCTCCTGGGCATGGAGTAGTTAGAGTGTCATGGCAAAATACGCATGCATCTTTCCAAAGCGACGAAAGCGGCGTTGGGAACCTAGCACCTTTGTTTCCTCGGCCCCCACCTCGAGCAAGAGGTAGTGTAGAGCTTTCAAAGCGGATGAGCTTACGAACAGTTGAGCCTGACACACTGACAATTTCGGAGGCTGATTCGTTGGAGGCATTCGTTCACAGTAGGGCGAAGAACCGAAACTCGTCCAACCCCATGTTCTCCGGTCAGTTTGGCCGCAGAACATCTTCAGGTCTTCGTGCCCTGGAGAGAGCTCGAAGCACAGCTAGCCGCACTGATACTTTATATAGCTCCAGTTACTATGATGACTACAGGCGATCCATACATGAACGTCCGTGGTCTACGGCAATGTCTGCCTCTATCTATACGGATGACAATCGACAGTCTACGTATCTCGAATCTCTGTCCGAAGAATCCTTGAATGTACGGCCACTGGGTTCAATGGCCAGAGGACTAAGCCAATCAAGCTTGGCACAGAACTACTCAGAGGCAATAGCACCGCTTCCTCGGTTGCTCAGCGAACTAAGCCTTGCCAGTGCACGGCACGTTGAGTCGCATGACGTGCACGACGACTTAGGGGGTCCGCAACATATCGGTGAACGCCAGATCCATGAACCAGGGTGGTAGGTTCAGCACGAGTTCACTCCTACAAAGCGAAGGTTCTGGCGCTAGTCCGCAGACACTGCGTAAGAGTCCGTCAACATCGTCCATCCAATTTGACGGCAATGTTTACCGGGCAGGTCTGATTCAGCTAGCGGGTCGGGAAGCAGGAGGAAACGAGACCTGCAGAGGGAGATAACTGAAAGCGGGAGGGGTTACAGACGAAGTCTTTTATGTGAGCAGTACCCTTGTGCTGTATATAGTTGTCATTTTGCGCGCTGTGTTGTTGGCCCATTGCATTCTCCATCATGATATCCTTGTTATTCATGTACAAGTACCTTTTATGTTTCATATATCCCTGATCTTCATACCCAAGGGGCCAGATAAAAGCAGTTAGAGTATCGTAGAAGTGGCATAGTAGATACTCTATGTACTCAATTGTGTTATCATCGAAGTATGTCGTGGTCACGTGCCGTGCCCTTATCATGTCTTCAAAGCAAGCTAGCAGCGTCGATCGGGGCCGCAGCCCCATTCCGTTCAGCAAAGACACCGAACTGAAAGCTGCGCAGAATTACCCTCTTTGATTTCTGCTGTATCCTCTCGTCACTATTCAATGCTCCGTATAAAGGGTTCTACATGAATACTTGAATTTTTCTGACTCGGGGGTGTTTTATGGGATACCTAATCTGACCACTTTTACTCTGGTCTTTTCCCGCCTCTTTTCAATTGCACTGCGACTGTCTATATTCGAGTTACTTTACCTTCCCTTTGATTCGGCCATAATCATGGCGGCGCAGGCGGCTCTCATCGCCGAAACAATCGTTGGTATGAAAAGGGCTTTACGCAAAGAAAATGACTGTAAGTCTTACTGCTTTCCTTTAGTTCTAGTTTTCCGGTCATACCTCTTTATCTCGGTCTTTTGACTCTAGTCTCAGGCCCCGATGATCCCATCGCTCAGCCGACAAACCGAGGCAACAAACTACGGACAAACGCTAAACATGTGCGGGAGGGCGCACTGGGGTATATCCAGCCGGAAGACCTTTATAAGCAGGTAGGCACCATTCCGCAGCCATGAAGGTCCCTCCAGGGTGCCCTCACTTCTTTGTTCTAGGCCAGAATAAGACCTCAGCGGCTGACATTCATTATACCTTGGACAGAAAATTGATCATGCTGGTTACACTCGCTATATCCTACAGCCCAACCCCGTGCGCTACGACTCAGAAGGGGATGAGCTAGACGAGGATGATGAAGACTCTGAGGCAGATGCCGCTGCAGCGGAAGAGAATCCATTTTCTGAGATCGCATTAGAAAGTTAGTATCTCGTTTCCCCATTACAGATGATTCATGACTTTCCCGAACGACTGATGCGAATGTGCTTACTAGATTTCCTGTGCCCATTAAAACATCCATCGGAATTACCTACCCACCCTTCCTTGTCCCATGCCTATACGTCAAATGCTCTCTCGAACATGACCAAGGCCATTGAGGCTAAACTACGCCAGGAACGGGCGCTTTTATGGCGTGCGAGGAACCTCCACAGACTGTTCCTTGGCGATAGCTCTTGGATGCCATGTGGAACAGTTGAGACTCCCGAAGACAGATGGATCTTTGAGCCTCGGCTTGTCACCCCGGGTCACAAATCCCCAATCGGCCCAAATGGACAGCCCGGAGTTCCCAGTCTTTCGACGATAGTAGAAATGACAGGTCGTAGCCATGGATCACATAATTTTGTCCCAATTGTCAGGACATCAAATGAAGCCCAGACAACGGAAAGTAAGGACACCCAAAATTCCCATGCTGCAGAACAAGACATTGAAATGGCTGGTGTTCGCAATAATGAGATGGAGGGTGGTGGCCCTATGAATGACCATGAGCAGACAAGAGAACCCAAGTCCGAAGAGGTTGAGACTCCCGTTGGAAATCTTCCCCAGCATCTAGACATTGTTGAAGCTACCACCAGTGACGCAGTAAATTCACACTTGGGACGCAGTCAAATATCTAACGGGGATGGACTCCATGAAAACAGAAAAGGAATTGCGAGTGATCGAACTGACTCAGGAAATGAGAACATCGATACGGCCTATGAGGGTCGCGGAAATGTCCACGGTGATGAAACGGACAAAGATGAAGAGATACAGGACGGGTTTTCCCCCGAGCCACCTCGTCGGATGACGACTCGAGCCCAGACTAATGCAGCAAATCCACAAGAGGATGAATCAGACCACTTACCATCATCCCCTTCCTCTGACACCCTCAGCTCACTTCCTATGCCACACCCTCTCTTTCTCGTGCCTGACTCTATCCGTCCAGATCCCAATCTTGGCCTGTCGTCCATGGAAGCCGAAGATACACGACGGCTCCTGTGGTCATATGTGCAGAAACAGGAGGAGACTGTCAGGGGCTTCGAGCACATGTTGGAATGCCTGCTTCGAGCCTGTCGTATGAAAGATGGTGTGCTCGAGTGGTGCAAAGCGGAAGGCCACGTGGGCGAAATGAGTGACGGAGAAGACTGGTATGACCGGGAAAGATGGGGACTGGCGGAAGGTGAAGATCTCAAGAAGGGCGCGGACGAGGATGAGATAGAGATGGTCGAGGAAAGCCGCGCTTCAAACAAAAGAGGCAGAGGCCGGCGAGCATAGATGCGATGGCTCACTTCTACGGCTCATAATTATTGATACTGGTTACATAGATCGATGACCCAGGGTTTGTTAAGTATTTAACATTTTCTGGCCCTGGAATGAGGTATCTTTGGCAGCCGTTGGTAACTACTGCCACGGCTTTTGTATGAGTCAAAGATCTCTATGAGACACGAAGCATTATCTTTATATTTACCGGTCACTTATCCTACGGAGTTGGGGCGTTGCAAATGATATGCATGATTCATCCTATAAAGGAAGGTGTAAAAGCAGGTAGAAATATCCCGTCTTTTGATTTCTTTTCTGTTATATGACTACTCTCCATATTCGCCCTCATATCATCTGGAACGTGTCTGTCACGGTTTTGTTGCGTCTTCTCAGGCTTCCTTCCATTGTTGAATCCCACTCTAGCATCTTGATCACGTAGTTCCTAGTCAGCCCCCCACCCCCGGGGCTGTGTCTATCCATTTCCTCCCGGCTGACATGGATTGATGGTTGTTGAAAGTCCAAAGACTCAATCCTGTAAGTGTTGGCCTCGCCTTTCAGTCGTGGCTTGTACTGGCCGCAATGCCATATCATTTTTACTGGCTCTTGCCGCCTTGCTTGGCCTTTGCACGTTCGCGCTCGCGCTTGGCATAGATCTCAGCAGTGAAAGGACTACAGAATCGTGGGTCAGTGGGCACGGCATGGATGCTTGGAAGAGATATAAGGGCATGTTGCGTAAGGGCAAGATTCTAAGGAAAAGTATAACAGACTTACTCCTCCCATTGAAGAGCAAACCAGTACAGAATGAACACCTCGGCGGCCAGGAGGATTCCGGCAACTTTGCCCTTGTAAAGTGCGACACCCAGGAAATTCAGAGTGCTTCCCCAATACATAGGGGAGCCAGTGACATTGAAAGGGAAGCCAGTGACGGGGGTATCCATGAGAATACCAAAATAATCTCCGAGGTAGGTTCCGGTGACGCCTAGGGCATACATGCTGGAAAGAACAAGAACGGATCCCACAGCGAACAAGACGCCGCCCAGAATTGGTTGGTGCACAGGGGCATAATAGGGCTGGTCTTCCAGGGCCAACTGATACACATGGTCGCGCACGATTCCCAGGGTAAAGATGGCGATTGCGAGGAAGTAACAGCCGTAATATGGATTACCGAATATACGAGTCAGGTAGTGTCTCCGATATTCTACAAGAAAATGGCGAAAGATTTAGAACATGAGCCCTCTATACTGAAAATGAATTGGGTCCATAGATTGAGGTTTAGTAGTGAAAGAGCGGGAGGAGGCCTTGACCAACCGGCACGGGCAACAATGCTAATGACGGAAAGCTGTGATCAGTCAACAGTCTCCATGAGAAATTCAGAGAGCCGAGGAATCCATCGAGAGAACAAACAGTGAGAAACACCTACTTCCAGAAGATTGGGTTGAAAGCGATGGAGAGTGCAGCCCCTATGAGATCAGCCAGCCGAGTTGAGAATCACATGCGTCCGTACAGATGAGAGTTAAGACGTACAGTTGAAGGACGATTGAGATAGATCAAGGAAATTTGAAAGAGTAGTCATCGTGTGGAAAGGTCCAAGCCCAGGATGAGATACAGAAAACTGAAAGGGAGAAGTGGAGGACGAAGGGAGATTTTGGGTGAGGCGTCGTTGTTGTTGGTTGGGGGAAGTGGAGAGAGAACCGAAATCATAAATACTAGGACCAAGAAAAAACGATAACTAAAGCGGCATGACGTCTTCGCTCTTCTCCGCAAATACGGGATTGGCAGATACTGAAAGCGGTGGGTATTGGGATTGCTACAGCTAGTAAGTGTGCCTACTACTCCGTACGGAGTATGTTAGGTATACTACAGAGTACAAGTACATACATACATTGGGTTAGGTACTACTACGTACGATAGGCGGTACGTACTGTCATTTCAACCCGGGACCTCGGGGTCAACCCAATTGAAACCTCCTCACCGCCCGCCGACCACCATTATCGCCGATCATCCAGGATTAATCCACACGGCATCAAGCTTCCCCCTCTAGCAACCTTTTATATGCCCGGACTTTAACAGCTACCTGCCTTTTTTAAATCGTCATGAAACAATTCTCATTCGTCGTACGAGTGCTCCGGGAAAATGGCCCTGAAGTATCGTGATATTGTCATACTGGGCACTGGTGCTTTCATTGCCTGGGGGTTGGCTGTACGTTGCCTACCATTTTTGCGGTACCTTGGGTATGCCGTTGGACTAGGCGTTCTGCTTTCTTCAGTCGCCTTCTTTGGTCTTGTACTCTTCACAACCCGGAACTCTAACGATGCAGGCAACTCCCGGCCCCAGTGTCTGCCTATCGCGTTTCTCACTCCCCCCCACTGGCAAAGTGAAATTCAAGGTCTAAAGAAGCGCTCCACTTATAAATCCGTCTCCCTCTACCCGCAATCCTTTATGGTGTCTGAAGGTATCGACGAACTTCTGGCGCTTGTAACCCGGGATTTCATAACGTCATGGTATCGAGGTATCAGTCCGAACTCAACGTTTGTGAGTGAGGTAGACCAAGTGATTCGGGCTGCCATTGGAAACCTACGCGATCGGTTACTTACGGAAGATCTTATATCGCTCATCGTCTCCCGTATATTTCCTATTCTGACCACACACCTTAAAGAGTTCGACGTTGCCGAACGATCGGTGCGGGGACGGAATTTGACTCGAAATGTCACCGAGTCCGATGAGCTCGACATTGCAATTGCAAGCAAGTATCGCGACGGCCATCTACATCCCGCTGCAGTGCTGTCTCTCTCAGACCAAAAGCTAGTAGAGCAGGAATACCTTAGGAACGTTACAGTTGGGCTACTGCCTCAATTGTTTCCTGAAACCGTTTTAAGCAGTCGTATCGTTTCCGTTTTGGTGAGGGAGCTACTCTCATGCGCTGTGCTCTTCCCTATACTATCCCTTCTGTCAGATCCTGACACCTGGAATCAGTTGGTGGAAGCTTATGGACGGACAGCTCTTCAGGATCGCAAAACGGTGCGCAAGCTTCGAGCGGCATTGGATGAGCATGCATCACCGGTGCCCAAGTCAAAACATGGTAATCCATTCCCGCGGCTCTCGCCAACTGATTCCGAAAGGGCTTTTGAGCGTTTCGTTCGAGCCATCCGGCGTTGTAACAATCTTTCCGATGCTAGACGGTTCAGAGCTCTTGTTGCAAGCCAGTTGAAGCGGGAAAGTATGGTAGAAGGGCAAGATCCCGTCTATCTTCGGCGATTAGAGACGGGGAAGAGAGTTCTTGACCAGAAGGTGAGAAAACTTTCAGCTCCAGCTAGTAGTCACGCATCGCACGCCACCGCAGCTACGACGCACTTCCGCTGCCAAAAGTCTCCACCAGCTCAAGAGGCGTCCTTGGTGGATGTAATGCATGATGCATCAGGTCTCTCTTACTTTATGGAGTTCATGGACCGTCAACAACTTATGTTTCTCGTGCAATTCTGGATTGTCGTTGATGGCTTACGCAACCCACTCGAAGATGACTTTGGTGATGAGACCTCCCCAAGCTCCACGACATGGATGGAAACAGATAAAAATGACATGGCTTTAATCAGCGAAACGTATCTGTCGAAGCCCCAACTTAAAGTAACGGCCGAGTCGCGTCGAGCTGTGAAAACCTTCTTGAGCGCCGGGGGGCGAGCTACTCCGGAGCAGTATCGCCAAGCTCGGACAGTAATATTGAGTACTCAATCTGCGGTATTAGAGGAGCTACAGAATGTGTATTACCCCAAATTTCGACAATCCGACTTATTCTATAAATATCTCGCCTCGGATGAAACATCTCATTTTGAACCTCATACGGCAACTGTAGCACATGAGGATGTCGCCCCTATCGCGGAGACATCCGAGAGACGGCCACTTCCTCCATTGATAGGCCGTACAGCATCTCATCCTGGGTTCAAATCAAAAGACCTGCGCAGGGCCGCCGTTTCCTCTAGTGATGTACGGGCTATGGGGAAACTATTTGACGATGAAGATTCTCCAAGACGTTCCTTGGACTCCGAGCAGTCTGCCCCGTTATTCGATGACGACTACGATACAGACCCTCTTGCGATGTCAACGCAGAGCCTTGGCCGCGACTCACAGAATGGCGAGAACGAAGCGAGTCAGAATCAAGTAATTGAAACTATGGAGGCTGCGTTGAACGATATCATTACGAACGAGCCAAAAAATAATAGATTAGAAGAGCTCAGAAACAATGATGCCTCGTCATCTAGGCTGTCCAGCAATGATCGATATCCACAATCGCCTCCTAGTTATGTGGAATTCACACGAGCAGACGACAAGGCTAAGCCCAACATCTCTTCTCTAGGGTTGGTGGATGAATCTTCGCGACTGGGTGTTTTTGCTGATGATCTCTTTCCCGACCATCATAAATTCATTGAGGATGAATATGAGGAACCAGTTGAAATAGAGGACAAAGATCCAGCCGACGAGGTCCATGAAGCCGCTCCTGGAGATCTTGGCTTGACGGAAGCAATCGAGGCACTCACGGTAGAGATTGAGAAACTTGGATCCCAGGAATCAGTAGTTGATGCCTTGACGCGGAAAGCTGAGCTCACAAACAATACTGCAGAGCTTAGAATTCTACGAAAGTCAAAAGCTAGCATTCAACGGGAAATCCGCCGCAAGGACATGCAGCGGCAACAGTACATGATCCAAGAAAGCGACAACAGCTTGTATGGTCGTTCAACCGTTCGAATTACATCTATTGTTGTAGGGAAAGAAGAGGACGGTCGAGAATTTGCAATGTGTATGTCAATTTCACCTCCTTCCTTTTCCAGATAGTGTTGCTTGACTAACGATTGTTCTAGACGTGGTTGAAGTGCAAAGGAATGCTGGAGAACAAATGCCAGCAGCATCCTGGGTTGTTGCCCGCAGATACAGTGAGTTCCACGAACTTCACCATAAACTTCGCATGAGGTATCCATCGGTGCGGCACTTAGAATTCCCACGGCGACGGATGGTCATGAAGCTTCAACGGGAGTTTTTGCAAAAGCGGCGCCTAGCGCTAGAGGCGTATTTGCAGAAATTGCTTCTCCTACCAGAGGTTTGCCGAAGCCGTGACCTACGAGCCTTCCTCTCCCAGCGAGCCATCATCCCACGCGACGAGACCCCTCGTGATGGAGAGACTAAGGACTTAGTGACCCGAATTTACAATTCGGTTGCTGATGGTATGGATGATTTCCTGGGTAACTTTGGTGTACTCGATCAGCTCTCGACAGCAGGGCAGAATCTCATCTCTGCAGCGACTAGCCAGCAAGCCAACACTATAACTGCCGCAGGGCTAGCGACCGAGGACGTCGTGACTACAGCCGAAGCTGAGGCAGAGCTGAACGCATTTGAGGATCGAGAACTGGAACCATTTATCAAACCGATATGTGACCTGTTCCTAGAGGCCTTTGAGTTAAACAAAGGCAACAACTGGCTCCGGGGCCGTGCGGTTGTCGTCGTTCTCCATCAATTACTCGGAGGAACCATCGAACGGAAGGTCCGCGAAGGTGCCCGGTCCCTAGTACAGGACGAATCATTACTTCGATACATTGGCGTAGTCAAGGAATCCCTGTGGCCAGGTGGCTTCCTGCGTGAAAATGGAATCCGAACGACATCAGAGCGACTGAAAAGTCGCACCGAGGCTAGCCTGGTCTTAGCCACCTTAATCCCGGATATGGCAGGCAATGTAGTTGGACGGACCAATGCTCAAGGAGCCGCGCGGAGAATCTTTGCAACTTTGAACAATCGGCGCCTCAACACTCACTTGATGTACACTATTTTGGATGAGATTGTATTGGTGTTGTTCGGTGGTGGTGAAACAGGACGGATACGATAACGCATGTCTGCCTCACCCATGAACGGCTCGGGCTCTGGTCACCGTGGTTTCTTCTTCTTCTTCTTCTTCTTTAACCTTTGGTGCACCTTTGCGGGCGTCTGGTGAGGCATTACTCTTATGGTGAGGATCAAAGTCTTTGCACAGCGGTGTACCGTTAGTGTTCCAGCATCAGAATAATAATAATAATAATAATACAATAACGACAACAACAGCAACGACAACGACAACGACAATAATAAAGGCTCGTATATTCGTAATCATTGTTGCGTCACTGTGCTTCTCAGCCATATCATTGCTAGACCACAGAGCTCTCTGGTTTCCGATTCATCATCTTGAATATAGAATGCACAACATACGGCCGAATAGCTACTATGCCTAATAAATCAGGCATAGTCTCTAGGTTATGCTAGCCTCGGATTTTTGAGGAACACCATCCCTCATATGTCAGTATTGCCAGGAGTGAGAGAGATCTGTTCTACTGAGGGTAAAGAGCAGGGGCTTGCCCATAACTCCATCCCAATAAGCAGACTAGTCGGAATAGGTAAAGACTGAAAACAGAAGTGAAGTAATATTGCAATTGTAGAATCAAATCAAGCTACGTAGGGGCAATCGCCCTCTAGTCCAGGATTCTACATCCCGAGCCAAGTGCTAAGAAGATGAGAGTAATGATTTAAGTCTGGAAAGTACGTCCTGGGCAGAAAAGGAGAGCAACCATTGGCACTTAGCACACCAATAAACATGCCCGTTCTATGCCTCCTCCTTCTTCTTCTTGGACTTCTTACTTGAGGTCTGTTGGGCCGGGCCTTCCTTTTTCTGGTGGACGATTAGGCGTGTCCAGCACTCTTCCTTGTCCCACTCGAAACCAGCAAGGTAGGGTTTATCCAGCTCATCATTAGCCTGCGTAAGAACAGACGTTCGTCAGTCTCACTCTTGTAACCTATAAAGTATAATCGGTACTGTCTCATCGCAGCTGCAATGAGATTTATGGCAGAGACATTCGGCATACCTTCTTCTTGAACTGCTTGTAGATAGCGTCCAGCGCGTCCTTGATTGTGACTCCCTTGAGATTACGAGCAGTCACCTCCAATCCCAACGGGAAATGCAGATCAATCTTCTTCACCGGGGGGGTTACGAGATGGAGTTTGAGGATATCCTTGTCCTCAATTGTAGACGGCGAGGTGTTGAGCTTCCTAGGGAAGATAGAGTTAGCGCGGGACTTATGGTTCTTGGACCTAGTTCTTACCACCCGGTCTTCTGTGTTTCAATGGGGAGGGTCAACTCAATCTTTCTTTCCTCTAGAAGACTTCTAGTTAGCGTAGTCCGTGGATAGGTGGCAGGTGCCCTGAGTTCCAGAAGGGGAAAGTTTACCCAAGTCCTTGATATTCCAGACACCGTCCGACTGAGATGAGTGACGCCTGTGGTTCTTCTTTGAAGCCTTGTCGGCTTCTTTCTCCTCCTTAGGAGTTATTGACAAGCCAGCAATGGCAGAATCGACTTTTGTGAGTTCGGCCGACATAGTTGAGATAGGGGCGAGTGTGGGAAAGGATCAAGCGAGATATCAATGCTGACCAGAGTTAGCGTTGGACGTCATGATAGTGTCACTATTAACGACAGGGTGTATAAAGCTTTGGTATTGGTGGTATAAAGCGAAGAATAGAGAACCTGGAGAACTTACCAATCTGTAGTAGGAATCGCAGAGTAGATATGGTTGAGATTCGGTCAAGATTAGAAGAGGATGAGAGAAGGGATGAGGAAAAAGGAGAGAAGGGAAGAAGAAGAAGAAGGAGAGAGGAGAAGGGGGGAGGGGGTATGAGGGAATGTCAGAAGGAGGGAGGGCAGGTGACCTGACTGGCCCATCCAAAGTACATGCTCAACGGGTACTATCCATTCATTGTACGTTACTATACCAGACGACTAGGGTTCCTTCCATGATACCTACATTAGTACGTCGTACCAGGCGGGGTCATGAACCCTAACTCGTCATTTGCAATTCGAGATTGGACCTCATAGAAGGTCGTACCTATTAGCATCCTAGGTACTATCAAGGGCTTAGGATGACTTGCCCTTATCCTTTAAAGAAACGAAGTATGTATCTACATGTGTACATACATACATACCTAAACATTATTACTCCTATATAGAGTAATCCTGATTACAATAAGCATTGCAACTTAAGTTATTATGTCATTATAGCCTTGTTGTCGTAGTCAATCAGTCAGCGACCTAGTCGCAATAAGGTACTAGAAGGTGTGATGAGGAAGGGCATTGGGGATTGGGACACCGAATTCCATTGACCATTCCAATCTTCACCACTTCTAGCAAGCAGATAATTGAAGGCTTGCGAGTTTTACTGAAATTCGGCATTGGAATGTATCCGGGAGAACCGGATCACACGACAAGAGCTGACATCGAGAGCTCCGGAGGTGGTCCACTAAGGCTGCACCCCGCATTCCCGCGCGCTCCACTTGCCCCATCACCTTATACGGAGGAAAGTGATCTTGACCGTTGTTGTTGTTGTTGTTGTTGTTGTTGTTGTTGATCTTTTCCCCCAAGAAAGTCCCAGGAAAGTAGATCATGATGATGATATGCTCATTCTCTCTCTACTGTTCGTCTCAAATAGTCATTGACGACATCCATTCTGGGAGGCTTCGTGGTAACTGGTCGAGATGAAAGTATACCAGAATCTCAGGCAACCTTATTTGGAAGACTAGTTCTCCGATCCCGTCCAAAATTGGAGATAGTTAGTTATCCATTGGTGGAATGCGTAACAAATAAATCATCACGTGACACTCACGGTGGAGCCATGTCTTGTTAGTATCTCAAGAGTCCCTCTTATGTTTATCAAATAAGAAATAATAATAACATGTAGGTAGTGAGTAGTAGTGGCGATGTATGTAACTATATTCCTCTAAAAGAGGGATTTATTAGAGATGTTTAAACAAAAATCAATCTATTTCTTTCAAGAAGTGCACTTGAGATCATAGTATCAGAACTGTTTTTTTTTACTTCTTTATAACAATAACATCATCATCATCATCATCATCATCGAAAAAATGAGACATTGTGGCCAGATTGGGTGGGGTGATATATCTCATAGAAAGTGGTGATGTTACAATGATCATATGGTTAGAGAGCGGGGTCACTCCTACTAACTAGACTAAGGCTCTTTAGTACTCGGCGTAGATCTTCAAAGACTTAGTTAGCACTTAGCTCCCTTCTCGTAAAGGTGCCTCTTCTGTCTGGACACAGAAAGGACTGCAGTACCTTCTGTTGATCATGTGTACGAATTAATGATTGCGTGACAAGCAAACAATTGTTCTAGATTGTATTGTTACTTGAAGCTTCGGCAATGTTGGAACTTGCCGTCGAGTACAACCGTCATTCAAGGACATGATATAATATCTGGTCAATAATAAATAATTATATTTTAGAGATCTAACGACTTCTATCGCACAATTTACACAAGAATACATAATCTCTCTGTGTCAACTAAAAAGTGTGTACCAAAAACATCTTCGGAGTATGGAGCAGGATTTTAACTACAAATTGCTTGGATGAACTCCGTACAAAGCACCCCAAAAGTGACAGTAGTACTAGTAGTAGAGCTAGTCGTAAATGACTGCCTAGAAATGTAAGTGTAGAGAGATTCACGACGACTGTCTGGCTTAATGGGCTTTAATCTTCGGTCCAGCTGAAATAAGGGTATCAAAAGATTACTACTCATGGGATCCTTCTATACAGCATCACGGCAAATTTTCAATACGCGCAACGGTATCAAGATAAATTTAAAAGACAAAGATGAAAGACGTGCTGATACAGATCTCCACGCAGGACAATTACAACGGGTCACGGGTAAGGATGTACCTTGAAAGCAGTTCCGTAAGGGGCAAGGTACTTCGGGAGCTGACTAAATGGGATAGTTTGTCATGTTTGAAGGGCGGTGTACATGGGTGAAGATACTGCCGTATCCTCATTAAGGCATTAATGTGTCGCGGCTGCAGAACGCGCGCCTTCCCAAAATTATGCTGAGCTCTTTCTCTTCTGCCCTATTACATTGCCAATTCGCTAGTCAACTTTAGTATTATACAGAAGTATCTACGGCTCGTGGCTTACTGGCTTTTCTGCAGCTTGATATAGGCCTAGTTATAATTTTCCGATCCATACTCACCAAATCCTGTGAAAAGCAAAGTTCTCATTCGAATGTCGCTCTTCGGTTCTGTCGCCGCTACGTCGACAACAGCGGGCCAAACAAACACCACCGGCGATATATCTAAGGATGTCGCCCTCAATTCACCTCCTGAAGATAGCATTTCTGATCTTCAGTTTTCCCCCGCCAGTGAACATCTTGCGGTAGCTTCATGGGACAAGAAAGTCCGCATTTATGAGATCAATGATCAGGGACAGAGCGAAGGAAAAGCTCTCTTTGAGCATGAAGCTCCAGTCTTAAGCTGCTGCTGGGCACCTGTAAGCCTAGCAAAGTCTCGTGCCGCTTCATTTCTCTAGCTAACTGACTTTTCTCGCTCTGTAGGATGGAACCAAAGTAGTAGGCGCTGGTGCCGATAAGGCCGCACGCATGCTCGATCTCGCTGCAAATGCTACCACCCCCGTCCAAGTCGCAGCCCATGATGCTCCGATCAAATGCTGCCAGATGATTCCGAACCCTGCTGGAGGCACACCCCTTTTAGTGACCGGCTCGTGGGACAAGACAGTCAAATACTGGGATCTACGGCAATCGACCCCGATCGCCACGGTAGAATGTCAGGATCGTGTCTACACCATGGATGTCAAGAACAAGCTGCTAGTGGTTGGGACCGCGGACCGATACATCAACATCATCAACCTCGATAACCCCACCAAATTCTACAAGACTATGCAATCCCCTCTCAAGTGGCAGACGCGAGTAGTCAGCTGCTTTACAGATGCCACAGGTTTTGCTGTCGGCAGTATCGAGGGTCGCTGTGCTATTCAGTACGTGGAAGACAAAGACTCTAGCTCGAACTTCAGCTTTAAGTGTCATCGAGAGACACCCCCAAACCAACGCGACATCAATAACATTTATTCCGTCAATGCTATCTCTTTCCACCCGGTTCATGGCACGTTCAGCACCGCCGGCAGCGATGGAACCTTCCACTTCTGGGACAAAGACGCCAAACATCGCCTAAAGGGATATCCCTCCGTAGGGGGGACCATCTCCAGTACAGCATTCAACCGCAATGGCAATATATTTGCCTACTCTGTGAGCTACGATTGGAGCAAAGGCTACTCGGCCAACACCCAACAACTTCCCAATAAAGTGATGCTTCATCCAGTTGCTCAGGAAGAAGTGAAGCCCAGGCCTGGTACCAGGAAGAGGTAATCTCATCTGATCCGGGGCATGATGTTGGCGCAGTTGGGGGTTTGGTGTAGTCGGCGTCAGCCTGGGGTTGATCTCTTTCGAATTTTCGAGTCCCTTGTCCTGTGATATGAATGGCCAGCGGTCGACAGCTTCCTTCCTGCGTTATTTTCTTGAGGGTTTGGCTGTTTTATCTTTCATGTTATTATCCCCGATTTATGTACCTTTTCACTTTTTCCTTTGGGAATGCATATGAGCGAATTAATCTCTGATATCTTTGCATGTTTGCAATTTCTCGTGGATGAAAATGCATTCCAGTTCCATGGGCAGGGAAGCAGTAGACCAATGTGGGATTCTAGGCTCTTTGGGAAAGTTGAAACGTGGAGGGTGCTGCCTGTAGAGCATCGATGACCCCTGCCAAAAGACAGGAAGAAAGGAAAAGAAAAGTCATGGAACTTGCGTAGGTACTTTTAATAGTAGTGGCATAGCCTGCCTGTCAATCTGACAAGCCCTGGAAATTGTTCCCGCTTCGTTTTGTTTTCTTTCTTACGCTACATTAGGTAGGATGGTGGTCAACATGAGTTGAATGGAGACCAAAAGTGGGGTGGATTATTTTTATCAGAGGGCAAGGAGAGAGAAGAGATTTCTCTGTACCCCGTGGGAAAGGAAGGAAAAGAAAAGGCCGAAAGAAACAACAGTTTCGAATTGAGATCCGTCTATATGCTACTTACTTCCACAATTCTAAATACTACTCAACTCCTTGACTGCCGATCGGTTCCGAAATCCGTCCCCTCTGTCTCTTTCTTTCCCCTTTGTTCCTCCCTTCTTTGATACCGTTGATCTCCGATCCCCCTCACTTTCGGAAGGTTATTAATATGGAAAACAACTTACTCGAGGGTCTCCTCGACCTGGAGGAAGTATTTTACAGGGAAGGCTATGATTTAGGAGCCGTCGATGGCGCGCAGGCTGGCTACACTGAAGGCAGTGTATTTGCTGTCGAGAAGGGCTTTGAAAAATTCCTCGAGGTAGGAAGGCTCTACGGTAAAGCTCTGGTTTGGTCACAAAGACAAGCCAAGCTAGACCCATCCAACACTAGAGATCCTTCCCAAATGGCTCTGTTACCTAGTGAGAAGGATGAAAATTTTTTGGAGCCATCTGTTTGCAGAGAGATGTCGAGCGTTCCACCCAGCTCCAGGCTAGCGAAGAACGTCGACACACTTCTTGAATTGGTTGACCCGGCGTCTTTACCCATGCAAAACATAGAGGAAGCCGTTACTGACGTGGATGAGCGTCTGAAGGGTGCGCTAATCAAGGCCAAACTTATCCAGCGCGCACTGGGCGAGCGAGAAGATGCTTGGGATATACACCCTGATACTAAAGACTTTCCCCAGCAGAAAAGCTCTGGGGATGGCACTGGCAGCATTGAAGACATCAGCTCCCTGAAGCTCCGTCCATGAAGGAAGTTGTTTCTAAAATCATCCTCCTCATTATTCCTAAGGCCATTCATACCCAGCCACCGGTACCCTTCGGAGTATCTCCGATGGAGAAGCCAACAATGATGACATATCTTACTCCCAAGATTCGGAATTAAATCGTCTACCTTTCGTTTTATCACGGGGACGGGTAAGAAGGGTGAATTGAATTGTCAAACTTGGAGGTCGATCATTGCTCTACAAATCTATGGTCACCCCCACGCACCGATTTCTTGGTGGCAATCCAAGGCCACATCCCGGTCTCACGTTACGTCTGTCGGATACGGTCCTGTTGGTGTGACCCTCAGTTGTTCCTCCCTTTCCTTGCACTGATTTTTCCGGGAGCTGGAGTCTTTAAATAAAAATGTGTGCGTGTGTGTGCGTGTGAATTTGTCCATGATTCCTTCGTAAGAAGAGTATATATAGAAAAATAGACGTCACGGTCGGCTCGGACTGTCTCTTGAACCAACTCCTTTTGCTCTTTACCACCCACCTTTCCTCCTATATATCTGATTCTTAGTCCTCGTGCATCTCTCCGGCCATGGCGTGGTTGCAGTTCCTGAGTCTTGTATTATCTGGGCTCACTCACGCCCAGACTGGAGTGACCTTCCCTATTGCAGAGGCGTGCGGCCCTTCAGTGGTATGCATCAATCGTTATGCGAATGTGTTGCCGTAAGTCTACTGCAAGGTTTCATCGAGCAGGGCCGGTTCTCAGGGTTGACCAGATATCATTTCTTTCGAAACGTCTCTACTATGGATGACGTATCTACTTTTGGCGATACCACAATCACCAATGGTACTTTTCTGAGGGGTGTCAGCTCGGCCAATTTTCTGGTATATGATAAAGAAAGGGGCTTGGAGATATTGGGTGCCGATCCAAGTTACAAGTTCATGTTTGCCGTCTCCGAAGCTGTCCACGAGGCTCCTGTGTACATCGCATCGCAGAATAAACTCTACCTGTCTCAGCTAGCTCCCCCTCCTGGCTACCTCCCCCAGCTCGTCGTGGATCTGAATGAAGACCCGCCAACGCTGTCCGAGTACCTCTCCGATCCTCCTGTCTATGCGCCTAACGGAGGTACATTCCATGATGGCAAGATCGTCTGGGGAGCATCGGGCGGTAACCGATCAATCGGAGGCAGTGAACAGCGCATCTCTTTGAGGACACTGGACCCGGAGACCAATAAGTCGGGCACCCTGCTAAACAACTACTTCGGTTTTTATTTCAATACCATCGACGACCTTGCGGTACATCCAAAGACAAAGGACATTTGGTTCACAGATCCTCGTTAGCCGCCCTCTGTGCTTATTTCGATATGAAACTGTCAGCTGACCCGTTAAACAGAGTATTCGTGGTTCAATGCTCTCACTGACACTCCACCCCAGCTTCCAAGTGCTAGTTACAGGTACAATGCCTCTTCGGGCGCGGTTTTCGTAGTTGATGACTCTATTGGCCAGCCAAATGGTATTTCTTTTAGCCCGGAAGGCTCAGTCGTTTATATCACCGACACTACGGCTGTAAGCGCGCCTGTCGATCTCCAATATGGCCATCCTGGCAGCCTATTCAATGCCACCCAGCGCAGGTAAGGAATATGGTTAGTCATGCCAAAAGATCAAGGCACTAACGGAGACATTCCCGGTCAATGTAGGACCGTTTATGCCTTTGACGTAAGCGAAGATGGTACCAGCGCTTATAACAAGCGACCTATCTATATGGCCTCTGGATTTGTCCCGGACGGCTTGAAGGTAGCAGCCAACGGATACATTGTGACAGGCGTCGGACGAGGTGTTGATGTACTTGATCCCTCTGGTCAACTTCTTTTAACTATCCAGACAAACTACACCGTTCAGAATTTTGCCTGGACTGGCCCCGAACTCAAGACACTCTGGCTTATGGGTAATGGGGGGATCAGTAAAGTTGAGTGGCAACTTGGAGGACAGGTGCTAAGGTGAATCTGTTGAAGAACGGGGATAATGAGACGCTAAAGGTTAGTACTCGCTTTTGGTCGAGTAGGAGCATGCTGACAGTATAATAGTTTACAGGCGTTTGCGGGTTTCTACACATACATACACGTAATATATATATATATTCGAACTGTCTGGTCGGTATTATATAATTTCTTAAATCCAAGCGGTAGACCTTTAGACATTACCCGGCATAGGGCCTGTCAACTGAATAGTAGTAAAGTAATGGATCGAAGCGTGCTATAAGTCATCACCCGTACTATCGTTAGCACCCCGAGGGTGAAAAACAAAAGGAAAACTATTGTTCCAAGCCACGGACCGCCATCGCAAATGCGCCTTCCTTGGTCTTATGGCCACCGATGAAACCACTGGCATGGACAAAAACTGCACCCTCAGGGATCTTGGGCTTGCCGGTTTCCTCGGCTTCTGCAGCCATAACACCGTCGAGATCTGCATCGCGAACACCACGCCAGGTCTCTGGCAGAGGTTTTCTGGACACAAAGCTAGTTTCATTCACTGACACGCACTGCACGCGCCATTTAGATCCCTCAGTAGCACTCTCGGGGTAAAGAACGTAATACACATCTTCTCTGGGATTGGTCTTATCGGATCCCGACGCTTCCTTTTCGAAGTTATATAAATGCTCTTTCCATGGCACACCGCCTTGAGGGAGAACAATGATACGGCCGGAAGGATGAACGTCGCGGCGGGAACGGTAGGAATTTCCTACAGTAGTGCGTGCAGGTAACCACGACGTACTGGCGTGGTGCAGTTTGCGAGTGAAAACGTTTCCAATGAAGGTACTTGCTCGGCCAAAGAGACTGTCCTCATCTTGAAGCTCCCCGGGTGGGCAGGTCGGGTCGGGGTTATTCATGTCGCCCACCACCGATGTGATGGTGATGGCACCATCCTTGAAGCGCTTCTGGAGATTAGCAGCAGATATTTCAGTGGGATCATAAGCTGAAATGCCATTGTCGTTGGCATCAATGGCTTCGATAAAATCTGTGTACAGCTTTTCGTACAGTAAGTTCACATCGTGGTGATCCACCGGCAATGACGTGTGTTCAGCAATGATCGCTCGACCGAAATGCATGTATACTAAGCCCGCTGAGGACAATTTGGTAGTGTGGTTGGGGAAGGTCGTGGAAAAGCTACGCTGATGATGATCATAGCGGTTGTTTGCGGGGTCATATTCTCCACCCACATCGACGACGGTGTGGCAGGTTGCTAGCTGCGCCGGATCTCTGGTACGAATGAGGGGAGAGGCAGAGTAGGTGGGGAGCTGTCGGAGTAGATAGACCGCGAGGGCCTCATCGGCATGAAAGTGGCCGCTGAGAGGTGTATATCAGTAATGAGGGACCTGTCATTGGAGAGTAAAGTTCAAGCGGCAATTAAGTGAGTACCTATGAGTCCCAATCAAAGGAGAAGAAGTCTTGATTTTCTTTGCGATAGTCTCGTCGGCCATTTTGAATAACTGTCGGAATCGCAGCATCCAACAATTTCGTGTAAGTGCACAAGGTAGAAAACTTAGAGGAGCTGATAGGTGACATGCAGTATGGACGGTATGTACTGTACCTATTCGAGACTAGACCATCTATGGAAGACTCTCTTACCCGGATATGGTCATATAGGGCTTCCATCGGAGGGCTTTTTAAAAGCATGTGAGAGCCAGTGCCAAAGAAACGCTATCCCCAAACTGGTAAAATTCTGTGGCCCCCCGCCAAGGTTACACCGACTACATAGCTAAATGAACGATTCACCACCTTACTGTATTTCTTGTGATCCGACACTGGTGATATAAATGATAAATCCAGGAACCTGTACTATATATTTTATTAACTACAAGATGCGTTGTGTGGTTATGACACAGAAGTTGTACATTGACAGGATGAAGAACAGTAACGTAACAACCTATCTGAGGATGTACCTTTGCCCCGGCAAGTTTGCATTGATCAGTTTGGGGGGTATTATTGGAAGGGCAGAATATATCTGCAGTACTTCTAAATGTACGGAGTAAATAAAGTCTCGAACTCTGTACTCCGTACGGAGCGTGCACCAAAAGTCCTGGCGCCAACGCTAGTAACTTTGGCCTAAGGCAATGAAACGTTGTTACTGTACCGGAAATTATGGAAACGATCACATGATTACCACGTGATTAATAACCAATTGTGTGATGCTTAAAAACAGAGAAATGCTCCTTTTTGGATATTTATCACGTGGTATCGATCCACTTATTTGTGTAAAGTAAGATTATTACATTGCCTGAGGCCAAAGTTACTAGTGTTGGTGCCAGGACTTTTGGTACACGCCTCCGTACTCCTTAGCGATCGGCACATTCACCGCCTTAAGAAAGATACTATGTACTTCCATAGTAGTATGTAACTGCTATATATTGTAGCAAATACTTGATCTATATTAATTCTTTTCTGTCCTTCTCTCTTTTTATTCATACCCCAGTGTATATGTGTTTTTAAGCACTTTGGCGGTGATTGAATGTAAATTGTCCAAAAAAAAAAAAAGGCTTTACCTGGGTTGTACCTTTTTCATTACAACTGCCACGTGAAAATCATCACATTCTGTCCCGCCTGGAAAGAAAGAAAGCGAGATAAGATCAGTGTCCACCAAAGTAAAAGGGGAACCTTACACACAGTACACATCATTAAAAAACAATCCTTGAAAGCTATAGAGAAAATAAAAAGAGGAACATCGCTCTTGTTCTCTTTATGATTGATTCCTGTGTATTTATTTATTAAAGGGGCTTTGTCTTTCCTGTCCTTGATTTCCTTTCTCATTATTTCTTATTTCTTACTTTAGTTTTATTTTTATTTTTATTTTTATTTTTATTTTTATTTTTACTTTATTTTTTCTTTCTTTTTCTTGTTCTTTTGTTCTTGTCGCCGTGTTGCTTTGTTCTCCAAGGTCTGCATCATTCTTAGGAGAGTTTCTCCGCTCAAACTTCCATCGCGTCAGTTTGTTCCATTATCATCCAACTCTCTACGGCGCCTTTTGTTATCCCTCTCCCCTCCCCCCCATATAACTTTACCTTTGTGTCTGATCCCCACCGTCCGATGTGGCTCTTCCGGGTTCTCTCGTCCGCTTTTTTCCTGTTCGTGACCGTTTCTTCTATCCCCCTGGCCTTCGATGTAGGTGGAAAGACATGCGGTCTGGCCTTTTCTCTATCTCTAGCCACCTTCTATTTCCTGTTTTCCCTTCTGAAACTCACCACCCCCGAACGCTCATGGCTACGTGCCTCTTTGATCACTGTTATTCGATCGACTCAATGGATCATAATTCCGGTCTTGCTGATTTGGTCGCTGAACCGCTTTTCGATCGATACAGATAACACAACTGGATGGGCGGAACGGACTTTTACCGGGAAGCGAGCGCAGGACACGTCTGTTCAAGAATGGCTCTTTGGACCTGGTGGATTGGTGGAGTCGGTAACTATAGGAAACTGGGATAAACTGTTACGATGGTCGACGCCAGTCTTCCAGCTTGTGGAAGGGTTTTGCAGTTTGTTGGTGATACAGGCTGCAGGGCAGATCACTCGATGGCTTGTTAACCGAGGTGGTCGCAGTGATAGCTGGATGGTACGTATCCATCATGACTTCTAATCCTGCGTCTTAGTCGTTTTACCTCGTTTGTTGTTGCATGAGACCATGACTAAAGATCTGGCAGATCGGCCTTCTGGTGTTCTCCGGGTCCGCTATTTCCAGCGCAGTATACTTTCTCTGGCGCGTTTTGCAGTTCCCTGAGATCTCTAATGTAGATGCTGCCTTGATTGGGGTATCCATCACATGTGCGGTGATCTTGTGCGCGTGGGGGATTGGCAGTGGCCGTGGGAATCCAGTGGAGAGCTCTCTTCTGTTCGCATATATCGTACTGTGTATCTATCAGATATTCACAGATTACCAACCTTGTTACCCTGTTGAGCAGGTTCCCTCTCCCGCGCAAGCTGGGGACTTTCCCCCACTACCGCCGATCTTCATGGCCTCCTACACCACTTTGCTGCACGCCTTGTCCCTTTTGCCCTCCATTATCCATGCAGCCTTCAATGTGATCTCTGCGGTCTTTGGGGCCGTCACCCCCTCTGTCCTGATCTCACTCGCATACCGTATCTGTGTGCTGTATGCATCCACTCGGATCATCCCTGCTGTCCGTGAATCAGGTGCACGGGCTCTCTCGCAGGAAGCCTCTTTGGATGATTCCGATGCCGCTGGCCAGTTCCTGGGTCTCCTCAGCTACTTTTCTCCATCAATCCTGATTGCGGTTTATACCAGTCTCTTAATGCAACATTTCGCCTCCACTTCTCAGGCGATGGGCGGTAATGGGGAGTGGTGGAGCAGCCAAAGGGGCGGCGGCGGCAATCTTTGGCGATGGATCAACTTAGCCTGCACTATGGCTTTGTACGCTGTGGAGCTATGGCTTGGCGAAAACGATGATTTGGATTCGGGGTTAGCTAGCCATTGGAAGACCGACTGAGAACCGTGATGGACCACTTAGTGGCACTATGCCCATATCATACGCAAGACAGTGCGACCTGGCTTCGACGCCTCGGTGCAGGAGACTTATCTCGTCAATATACTTTCTGAAATCAGGCTAATATCGAGAGTTTCTTTTGGGCACCGACTGTCAGCTTGGATGCCTATTGAAAGGAATGGCAGGGCCATTGTGTGGGCGTAACTCTTGGATATTTCAAGATATTAATCAGGGACGGACCAGCACTTTCCCGTTCGCGTCCGGACGACACGCCATTGCCACGGCTGAAATTCTTGCTTCATCAGGAGCACCTGAATGCATGGCTCATCACTATTCTCTCGCATCGAGCCCTGTTGGAATGCCTCACGGTGTGACCTGAGAGTTCTGACAGTCGTGATGTCCTGCAGGTGTCAATGATACCTTTCATAAATCAAGTGGAATGTGTATACTCCCGCGGAACCATAGTCTGCAAGCATGTATGCTTCGATAAGTCTGGAACAATTTACACTAGAAGATGACCGCCACGACGGAATCGAATCTGCCTTGTCTTTTCCATGCACGTTGTCTACCTGAACCAGTGACCCTCCTCTTTTCTTGGTATTAGCTATATTTCTACTTGACCTATCTCACGTCTACATGGTTGGCTATCTTCCCTTTGCCCTTCCCTCTTTCGCTCACCTTCGTTACTAACGGTGGAACCCGTGTTATCAATCTAGGGACTGCATCACTATGCAAGTGGTCCTCTATTCATGTACAATGCTGTTTTATGTATGTAGTCAAATTTTATTTTAGTCTTAAGGTGAAGCTGGTGGTGGCTTTGCCATCTTCCTTTCCATAGCGCCCCCCAAAACGAGACTCTTGTATCAGACATGTCTCCCTCTCACCTTTCGACATGTGACGTGTCATAGATTGATTGACTATGTGCTGTCTCGCAGAAATTGCTTAGTCAATATCCATGGGTTCTATAACTACATGATTCATCGATTGTGAATAAACTGTTCGTCTTTTTGCCACCACCGGATCAAGAATGAGACACATTTATCGGGCTTACACCCACATCTACTCAGTTGACCTGTCCGGCTGATACAATACTATGGGCTGTTTAAATTGGGAGGTGTCATATCATTCTTGTTGAGAAAAGCCCGACAAACGAACCACACATGGCCGAACATACATAAAATATGAGAAGAGAGGGTGAATACAGGGTACTGAGTATGAGCAGTCATAATAAAAGAAACATTTTCGGAGGCACTAGGTGTGATGTCAACAGTGACATGTTCAGATATAGATCAACTTGATAATCGGAAGAGTGAGAGTAATTAGCCCTGGACACGAAGAGCTTGCAAAAAATAGTCAACCTGAGGTATAAACAGAGAATAAGAACAGCGCATGTCAAAGCCAGGGCATAACTCATGCATAGCAAACGGCGCAAGCCTGGCTAGTGGGAACCAGCCCAAGAAAAATGCATTGCTGCAAGTCTCGAACAGGACTAGAAAGACACTAGTAGAGATAACTGTTGTAGTTAGGAAATTTAAGTGACCAGATACGCTGGATTTCTGTAGTTGGCTTCCAACTCTCTTTCCTTCAATTAAACTTGTACAGCAGTGAAGTACAAGCTACTTGAAACAGCCTCTCTCGCGCACTAACCCTCACCTCCACTCTCAAAAAAAGATAAGAAAAAGTAGGAAGAGACATAAAGGAAAGAGAAAAAGAAAAAAGGTTTAGTGGGGAAGACAAGGGTAAGTTAGCTTCGTGACAGCATCATGGAACACAAAACCATAGCGCCAGGCTCTTTTTTATGTGACCATCACCGGACAGGGCAACAAAAACCAAAAACAAACATGGATGATGATGATGATGATGTGACAAACAGAAAAGGAGGGGGAGTATCAGAAGAGAAAATGAGCCAAAGGCCGATTATCGCCGGATTGGAACGCCACTGCGAGCAGGGGGCGGACTCACGCTGGGTTCCTTTGCATCTTTAAGTGCAGCGGTATTACCCTCGGATTCATCTGCGCTAGTTCCGCGTTGTAAATAGCTCCCTTCTTTCACCGGGCTGCGGCTTTGAAAACCAATGGACCCCGGGTGTCCACTGATGCTGCCAGGTATCTGCTGTCCTTGAGAGTTGATACTGCCACCATTGCTGGCAGCTGCTGGGTTATTCGTCCCAGGAGAGGTAGCCGTCAAATGAGGAATATTTTCGGGGACAGGGTGCTGAGAACCAATATTGGTGACACCCACATCAGAGGCCTTGCCGGCCTTGCTCAGGGCGTAATCACCTGAATCGAAGTACTTCCGCTCCTTTACCATGGAAATCCGTCAGCCGAGTAAGCAAATTCGAAGGGCCGCCAAACCCACATACCTTTAATTTATTCTGCAACAGATCCTTCTTGGTGGGCATCTTTCCGTAGAGACGCAATAGGCGTTGCTCATCAGGGGATAGAGACTGGGTTCATAATGACAGTCAGTGTTGGTGCAAATGAGGGAGGGGCGGCACGTAGATGGCTCACGGCAGTATCGACTTTGTTCTGCTGGTGGGGATTCATATTGATAGAGGGGAGATGAAGGAAAAATTCTACAAAGTTTATTTTCACTCAAGGTGTAAACTGGCAGGAATGGACCTGTTCCGGTCTATGAGATGATGTGTAGCAGGTGAAGTAGTACGTGACTGAGAGCTAGAAGGCGGGGGAGGAGAGTTGGATGAGGGTAGGTGAACGGGGTGTCGTCAGAGAACCCCACCGAAATACGGCAGGAAGTAACCCGTTTTTGTCGATGAGTTCCCAGTGGAATATAAGTTTTAAAGTTCAGTGTGTATTGTAGATATAACCGAAAGGAGATAGATTGCACCGCAAATAGTGAAGCAAGGGCCTGAAGAATAGATCGTGTATACTGAAGGTCAGTCAGGAGTAGCAGTAGTAGAATGGGGAGAAATTCGGTCTAGCGGGCTGCTGTATGGGTATGGTAATTTATCCAGTATTGCCCGTTCCCAAATTTGGCCGCGTTCCTAACTCCATAATTGAGGACTCAGTACCGTCGGAAAGAAGGTGCTTGTTTCTAGGATATGGTATATAGTACTTGACTTATATACACTGCGATATTCATTTCCTGTAGATCAAGTCTTAAGCGAGTTTCCATGAAACTTTTGGGGCAGTTGTGGTGTTGGTAATGTCAATGCAAAGAACATAACCATTTAACGTTACCTTGCATGCTCTAGTAAACTAATATATCATGTTAGGTACACACAGTACGGAGTATATTCCGAATATCTTCTCGGGCCCATGAGTTATTGCAATATACAACTCATAGCTAGAGTGCTTTTAATCATCGAATTTGAAGAATTTATCGAAATACACTTCCCCCCCCCCTTTTCGTCCTTTCCTTTTTATCCTCCCCCCCCTTCGCTCTCTTTCGGCTCTACAGAGTAGTACTCGTATTTGTGTATTATTTATCCTAATTTCTCTCGGGTGCTCCAAAAGCGGCCACTTTGTCATTGATCCCGAATTCAAATCGGCCTACCGTCTCCGCATCATATTACCTATAATTGCTCTGTGCTAGACTTCCTCATTTGGAGATAGCTGCCTCTCAAATTGTAGTACAATGACAGACCAGAACCCCTCCACAAACCCAGTCACCATTGTGGTTGAGCATTTGGACCCTGAGTTGGGGGCTTGGTCGGCCTTGGAATATGGCTGCATCGCTCGCGAATCGCATGCGGCTGGCAGCCGATTTCTCCTTAGTTCAGTGCCTACCTCCCTGCAGATGCCAGAAGATTTGGCCGCGACAGAAGGATTAAAAGTCGAGCACCGCAGCATTGAAGAAATTTTTGCGGATCGAACGTCTAAGATTTGTCTGTTAGACCCCGCGGCTCAGGCTGAACTGAGCCCCGCCGATGGAGAAATTTTTGAAGTGTTCCTTTTCGGGGGCATCCTTGGTGCGAATTCCGGTTTTTCGTTGGGGGTTCCAACCCTGGCTGACTTATAGGGGGCCTTCACGTCTATAGGCGATGATCCGCCGCGAGGCAAGTTTTTTATCGGAATTGGTGGAAGAGAGACATATACCACGCATGCTACTAACCGAGACATACAGATCGCACGTCCGAATTGAGAAAGAAGGGTTATGCTGGAAGACGGCTCGGTCCCAAACAAATGACCACTGATACAGCCGTGCGCGTCACCCGCATGGTTGTGCATGAGAAAGGTTCAATCACTGACTCAAGATCCCGCCTACTCATGACTATTGGGAAAGCTAACGATTCAGCAGTGCCCCTAGAGAAGATCCAGTATATCGATTACCCGGAGATTCTAATCAATGAGCATGAACGAACTGAGATGCCCTTCCGCTACGTGAAAGGGGATGATGGACAACCTATCATGCCTCAGGTGTGTGCCTTGTCATTTCACTCATTGAATGACCACTACTGACAGATGCGCAGGGGATGGTTGATCTTATCAAAAAGGATGCCGACCAGGGCATTGATGATCTTTTCTGATCTGGGCTGAAGAGCCCACACGACAAGTTGTACAAGGAGGGGAAGAGTAAAAGAGGGACAAGAGGTTGGGCAAACATGGAGGCTGAGATTTGAGCAAGTGCCCTTATTAATTTTCACCGCATTGAACTGCTACATAGTTATCTTTAACCAGACTTGAGAAAAAAGAAGAAAGAAAAACAAGAAACAGCTCAATAGATATGCTATGCTGTTTTAACCAAGTCGGTCCTATCTGTAGTATCTACAAGCAGGGTTTCAGTACATTGAGGGGTGAGGAACCACGTCCCCCATTGTCAAGAATAAAGACTATTGATGGTCTGTATAAAAGCGAATAGGAAACAGAAACTTAAGACTCCTGATGGATGTTCATCGTTGCCCTATAGATCCCCTAAACAGGCAATGATAGGGCCCCCGGTACGGTATTGAAAATTAACAAGGAAAAACAGACACTCGTAGATCTTGGCGGCTCAGTCGAAAGCGGTCTGGAATTATTACAGTAAGTAGGACGACTCCATCCAAGGCCACGCCATCGTCTCCGTCTATTCTTGACCTTATTATTTGATTTGATAGACGAGCTTGCAGCAGTGTGGCAGCAAAAGATCATCGCTTCCTCTTCTCCTACCTTCCCTCCGGTCCGTTAGTCCTTCGCTAACTCATCCCGCTGCAACGGTTACTTACCACCATACCTTGATCTTTGGAAGCAGCAGAAGGATCATCCATGCGGACTTAGGCGCTCCTTTAGTCCTCGTAGGACCTTTACTTCTGAACACTACTTTTACACCCCTTCCCCTCTGTTTTCGTGGTTCTCCTACCCCCTCCATCGGCCCTCGTTAATCCTTGAGGCATGTTTTCAGCAATCTCGCGTGGGTTCCCCAGAATCAAAACGGGCGACACCTCCTTTTCCTTGAAGTCACTATGGCTTCTATCATTGCTCATCTTGTGGGGTCCTCCATTGTCCTCGGCTAAGTCAGCTGCGGATTACTATGTTCGCTCGTTGCCAGGTGCCCCCGATGGACCCTTGCTGAAGATGCATGCTGGGTGAGTTCGCCACTACTACCGGATCTCATCTATGCCTCGTTATCCCCCCCAGCCCGGACTCCATCGCAGAGGTTTTGACCGCGGCTCTTTGAAACAGACATATTGAAGTGGATCCGCAGAGCAATGGTAATCTCTTCTTTTGGCATTACCAAAATCGCCATATTGCCAACCGTCAGCGAACTGTAATCTGGCTTAACGGTGGCCCGGGATGTAGCTCAATGGATGGTGCATTGATGGAGGTTGGTCCATATCGATTGAAGGACAACAATACGTTGGAGTATAACGAAGGTTCTTGGGATGAGTTCGCCAACCTACTTTTCGTGGATCAGCCGGTTGGAACTGGCTTCAGCTACGTTAATACCGACAGTTATCTTCATGAATTGGACGAGATGTCCGCGCACTTCATGATATTCTTGGGCAAGTTCTTTGAACTTTTCCCGGAATATGAAGGTGATGACGTATGAAATTCCTCGGGTTGTCGTTTCACTACCTAGCCACAATATTCTGACTCTGGCAGATTTACCTTGCGGGCGAGTCCTACGCCGGTCAGCATATACCATATATTGCCAAGGCTATTTTAGACCGGAACAAGAATGCGGCAAGCCCTTGGAACCTTCGCGGCCTTTTAATAGGCAACGGTTGGATCTCTCCTGCGGATCAGTATCCCTCTTACTTGACTTTCGCATACGAAGAAGGCCTTATTGAAGAAGACAGTCGGACCGCAAAGAGCCTGGAAGTGTTACAGTCGGTCTGTCAGTCGAAGTTGGAGACTGGTGGAAAAGACCAAATACATATTGGTGACTGTGAATCAGTGTTGCAGGAGCTTCTGTCAAAGACTCTAGACTCTGACAACAAATGCTACAACATGTATGATATCCGCCTCCGCGATACGGCTCCGTCTTGTGGCATGAACTGGCCTCAAGATCTAAAGGATGTGAAGCCGTATTTACGAAGGGCGGACGTTGTTAAAGCTCTGAATATAAATCCTGAAAAGAAGTCAGGGTGGGAAGAATGCTCAGGGGCTGTCAGCAGTTCTTTTCTTCCGAAAAAGTCGGTGCCGGCTGTTCAACTACTTCCCAGTCTACTCGAATCGGGGATTTCAGTTCTTCTATTTAGTGGTGATAAAGACCTCATTTGCAACCACGTCGGAACCGAGCAGTTGATAAACAATATGAAATGGGGCGGTGGAGTCGGCTTCGAGACATCACCGGGCGTCTGGGCTCCCCGGCATGATTGGACTTTTGAGGGCGAACCAGCGGGTATCTATCAACACGCGAGGAATTTGACATATGTTCTTCTTTATAATTCTAGCCATATGGCGCCTTACGACCTCCCTCGCCAGACTCGAGACATGCTTGATCGCTTCATGAAGGTCGATATAGCAAGTATCGGCGGTAGCCCTGCAGACTCGCGCATTGATGGCGAAAAACTGCCTCAAACATCTGTGGTGGTCATCCGAACAGCACTGCGGCCGAAGAGCAGGAGAAGGAGAGGATGAAACAGGCAGAGTGGAAAGCCTATGCCAAGTCTGGAGAGGCAGTCCTCGTGGTTGTCATCATTGGCGTTTCTGTCTGGGGCTTCTTTATATGGCGCAGCCGACAACGACATCGCAGGTATCAAGGCCTGTACCACGAGGACGTAAGTGGGAGTTCCGTTCTAGAGCGCTTTCATAACAAACGCTCAGGGACGGACGTAGAGGCGGGAGATTTTGACGAGTCAGAGCTCGATGACCTCCATTCGTCGGACATGGCGCGAGAACATTACGCAGTGGGGGATGACAGCGATGAAGATGACGTGAACCGACAGCATCAGCGAACAACCATACATCCAAGCTGAGGAGGTCATGTACGAGTTTTTCCATTCTTTATGGTCAATCTTCATGCTAATTTTTTTTCATTCTCATCTATACTATTGCCCCCTAGATTACCATCTTTTGCTATGTGTGTTGACCATGTTAGCATCATCAGCTTCTCCAAACTAGTAAGATACATAGACATGAATGTGACTACATGAAAGCTGTAACGCAAACACAGTGGGTGGGCTTCGATCCTAATATTCCAACTTAGTGAAGTCTACTTGTATTCTACAATGCCGACTTCGCAACCCTTTTTACCCGCTGGCTGTCCGGCATTCTCAACCGGGACGTAATCACCTCGCGCTGCAAAATTTATCCCCTCGGATTTCTTTCACACCCCGAAGGGCTATCTCCGAAGCGTCCAGACCTTGATACTCCCATCGTCTGCGGTTGTAATAAGCACTTCCTCGTTCTCTGTTCGGCATGGGTCCGCACGCCTAGCCCATGCAGCATGATTGATCTCGTAGATGCCATGGGCACCTTCCAATATCGCAATAGCTACCCAATCTGTATGAGGTCGAGGTGTAGGAGCAGGTGTATCTGTAGAAGTATTTTTGTCTAGCGTTCGTGCTGGTGTTGTCAAGAACAGCTCCTCGTAGATCACGATGCGTCCATCTGCACCGACAGAAGCTAATAGCCCAGTGCGCTTACTCCATGCAACCGCGTAGATGGAGAGCTCATGCATTTCTGGGAGAAGAGCGTCTTGTTCCCATGTTTCATCGGTGCCTGTTGGCCGAATGATACTAGGGATGCCCGTACTTCCAAACTGTGATTGTGCCCGCTGTTCTTTAGGTTTCCGTTTCCAGATGCGGACTGTTCTGTCATCGGAGCATGAGGCGAGACGAGGGCCAGACATTGCACGCTGGTCCTTCCATTCAGCAGACCGGGACGTGCCCTGCTCACACACTACAGCAGTAGATGGCACGTTGTCAATACCTTCCCAGTCTAGATACCAGACAGTTCCCGTATGACCCTTGATGCATGCCACTTGGCCCCAATCATCGATATCCTCACGCCACAACCGGATGGTGTCGTCGTAGCTGGCGCTGGCCAGACACTCCTCCACGGGATGCCAGGCGACACATTTTACGTCGCCTTCATGTTCCTGCATGACAGCTACGGTCTCGAAATTGTTGTCGCCGTCATCCAAGTCTTCCCAGATCCAGATTGACTTATCTCGGGAGCATGTCGCCAACAACATCCCAGATGGCGACCATGACACTGACTTGACTTCGCTGTCATGTCCATCTAGGAGGACAGCGAATCGCCATTCTTCATCATCTTCATCTTCCTGGGTATCACGCCCATTGCCATCGAGTGTCTCTGAACTCAAGCCATAGACATCTGTGCCGGCCTCTGCCCGACCATAGCTGTCCCACCGTCGCCAGATCCCCACTGTTGCGTCAAAACTCCCCGTCGCCAGAACACTTTCGCCTTGTACATGTGGTTTCCAGGCACATGTGCGTACGCTGCGTTTGTGACCGCCCGAGATGGTCGAGAGAAGCCGAAAATTGGTTAGCGAGTATACACGGACAGTTTTGTCGGAGCTACAGGTCGCAACAATGGGGAGAGAGGGATGGGGTGCGGTCAACCACGTGCGTTCGAGGGACGAAGGGGTCAAATCTGACAGCAGTGTAAGAGAGGCAGTTGGGTTTCCGGTCATTGTGAATGTATCTTCCTTTTCATCCAACCCTTTTTGATTGTCCTAGTTTAGAAGGCTTGCTGGAATTGCAGACTGGGAGCGGACAGAATATCTGGTGTAGTGGGGGGGTGGGGTTAGATACACTTCTGAATCTAGGATACCTACTGGCCATAGAAGCGACTTCGGAGCGTTGAGTAGCATTTACCATTTATGGGGGAAAGAAAAAGATATTTAAGATTGTGAGATATCAGATCATTCTTATACTCATAAACGATTCCTATTATTGTAATGTGAGGGAGAACAAACTCTAAAGAGCAAGGGAAAAAAAAAACTCTCAACATGCTCAGCGCAGACTCCTCTGAATAACCTCTAGCGCCTAGGCCCTGTCGAAATGCCCTCTCCTAATACTCGCTCATAGACCATACCATGGCACAGCCAATCCACTTCGCGCACTTTCTCAAGCTCTTCGGTCAACTTGCCAACTCGTTAACAAACTCGGGCATTCCTGCACCGGCCAAGCACTGGCTGGCCGTCGTCGTGGTTCGAACCCTCTCAGCTGCACTTGAAGCACTAAGGCGAGAGAGAATATGGGTGCGCAAACGCGAAAGAATGAGCCGTGCAACAGGGTCTGCGAAGCTGGCCGCACCAACCTCACTTCTACCGGAGTTCACTGGGCTTTGGGCCACCGCTATCTCTCGTATGGGCGCGTCCGTATGAATTTCAACCGTCGTCTGTGTTGCCATAGATGAAGAAACAGCAGCGCACGCCTTGGCGACCGGCGCCAGTACCCGCCGGATGGTCGCCGCAAGTTGAGCGCTAGCATTAGAAGGCATTGGGTGTGTTGACTCCAGAATCGATTGTACTCGATTGAGTTCAATATCACCAAGATTCAGAGACATAATTCGATCTGCCTCAGCTTTCCATTGTGATCGCACGTCACGTTTGAGTAAATTCTTAGCTGCCAGTAAAATAGAGGCAGTCGCCACGATTTTGAATGCTTGCGCGTGCAGTCTCTCTAGTCGTTGGCGGTCCAGCTCTAAGGTCTCAGGAACTAGATCATCACACACAGGTGCATTGCTCAGAACAAGATCCACGAGGCCTTGAGCATAAATCTTCGAGGTAGGCGGCTGAGGCTCCCCGTTGATATTCTCCGGATCACGCTTCCGGATTTCATCTACAATGATTTTGTGATGTGTTCGCCAGAAGCGCCTTGCTTTCCTCAAGCTCAAGGATCCGTCATGAAGACCCTTCTCGAAGGTTCTCTGCTCATACCCAGGCGCCTCTTGGATAAGTTGGGGGGCAGCAAGTTGGATCATAAAGTTCGTGTGATCGAGGGACAGCAAGTCGATTATCCCCATCAGCCTCGCCAGACGATCAATCGCATCTCCTGAAGTATCTTCCTTAAAAGCCTTGACTATAGGATCCCGGTAAGGAGCACAAAGCTTCGGTAGGATGGTGTTCATGAAGTTGAAGAAGCTAGCGTAAGAGAAAGCACCAACATTACATTGATTCTCAACCAACTTTGGGTCCAGCACTTCGCTAATCAGCACATGAAGCGAGTTACCCGGGCGGAGCGAACGTAATAATCGATCCTGAATTACTGTGGCCATAGCTACAGTCCAGTTCGTGCCTAGCCCAGCGTCCACATCTCTGCGCATCATATCACACATATGATTCATAATTTGTTTACGCGGCTCCGTATACTGTGTCTCCTCAATCTTGAATTCCTTATTGATGAGAAGTTCATGCACTAAAGCACGGTTTTCTGGGAGTGCAGTCAAAATTCTTGTGAAGCGTTCATGCGGGGAGATCCGCTGCCTTTCCAGCTCCCGCAAAACAGTACCCTCCACATTGCTAAAAGTGTCGCTAATAGGAGACGCAACACTCTCTGTGAGCGTTTCGGTTGATGAAGGCGCGACCTCTGCCGACCGTGGAATGGCTTGCCTGGAGGCACTACGTTTCGTCTCCCGCTTAGCTTTCTTCAAAGCATCTCGCACCATTTGCATTGCTCTTTCCGAGCCGGCTAGGCGCTTCAGCCGGGCGAGAAGCAGAATCTGGTTTTGCCTGATGCCCTGACGATAATCATCTGCCACACCACCAGCTCGATCATTCTTGACCGTTTGCCAGATTAGCTCCAGCTCAACAAATTGAGCCAGCATGATTTCGATCAGAACGCTAGAGTCATGAGTCTTCCAAGCATGGAAGGCAGAAAAGAAGACATTGTAAGCCTCACACACTGTCTGAAGCTCTGTAGAATTGGCCGGCGTTGAGTGGCAGCTAGATAAAAGCAGTGGTATGGCTTGCTCAAACGCTAGAATGAGCTCACGAGCCTTCACAATCAAATCCTGCTCTTGTTCACCGTTACTGCTCAGCACTTCAGCGGGATGGGTTGTGATTAAATAACTGCTGAGAAATGTGCGCACAGCGCCCCTTCCACCCATTGTACCACTTTCCATATCTTGTAGCCCGCAAAGTCGAAGCACACGAGCTGTTACGGTCAGGACTTTATTTTCCGAAAGCAGGGCTCCAACATCCTCAAAATCCATGTGCCGAATGCGGTTGGTTGTCAAATCTAGCATTCGAAACTCCTGTATAGCCCTCCTGGTATGATAGGTCCTCCATATTCGCTGGATAATCTTCGCGGCTGCATCATGCGTGAGAGAGTTGCTAACCACCTTTGCCATCTTTTTCTCTTCGCTAGTGGGTAAGCTGCTTGTGCGGTGGCGTCGATGACTTTGCTGATAGAGTACACGCCGCTTTTCGGCCTCTGCAAACTTCTCCGTCATTTCTAAGCGAAGCCTGGCGTGCTCTGCAGCTTTCCTCTTCCGGTTATCTTCAGCCTTCTTCTTGGCGCGACGAACTTCTTCTTCACACTTGGCGGTGATCTCCGCCAGTAGTCGCTCCCGAGCCTGCTGAGCAGCCAGGGCTCTCTCTTCCCTTTGCAAGTTCCTGGATGCAGCTTTACTGAGGGCGGCGCGAAGCCTTACCTTCTCTGCATGCAGAGCACGGTCCGCGAGCCTCGCTTTCCGGCTCTCAAGAATGGAAGTTCGCCGGAGATGTTGCGCGATATTATCGGTTGGAGATACGCCATGAGATGAAGCGCTCGAGTGGTGTGAGTGTAAAGATGAGATCGAACTTCGACGAGAGGAGGCAGCAGAGGAGCGTCTAACCACACTCGGCTTTCGAGAGAAGCGGGCGGCGAGGCGGGTGGGTAAGCTTAGTGGTGGTGCTTGCTCCCCTGGCAGCATTTCTATGTCTGCTTCTTTCACAGAATCCGCAGTACCTGCAGCACCTGGGAGCTGAACCCCAATATCTGAGTTGCGGCGGATCATGATCTTCGAGAACAATGAGGTTATGCTGCTCGCATCCAAGGCGAAGGGTGGTTGTCGGTAGTAGGGGCCAGAATATATCGAAAAGTGACGTAAAGTATAAGCCTTGATCGACAGAAACAGATACTACTCTCTCAAGGTGGCACCCGAAAAAGGAACTCAGGGCGAGTTTCATGGGCCTAAGTCTGCAGAGATATATCTCGTTTCAGAAGGGGGCGTGAAGGTCAAAGAGCCGGGGAGGGAGTGGCTGGAGCGTTCAGCGTTGTAGATGATGGCGAGGATTCACAAAATATGTAGAAAAAAGATAGAAGGAGGTGAGGCATCCATCCATTCATATCGTAGAAACAAAGTTGTTATCTAATCTCATTCTTGGAGAAGGCCATCGAAGGACGCTGCCTGAGTAATGCAGGCCGCAAGCAGGTGGTTGGCTTAGGTAAGCACTGGTAACTTTCGACTGCAGTCAGACGAATGACACTATTTAGTACTGACACAAGTATGAGTGGAACGCGATCATGGCCAAAAAGACCTTGGCCAGCGAATGGGCGACTCAAACATTGTCTAATGCCCATTGCATGATAATGCTGCTGCAGCTCCACAGGCTAACCAATGATAGTTATTTGTAGGATGTAGAACTATGTAGTACTAAGTACTAGTAGTTGAATCCTACAGGTAGTTAAAGTTAGTTAGGGGTCGCAGCTCGACGTGGTTAGAGATTTCTTGGTATTTTTGTCTAACCACGCTGAGATACGTCTCTATCTCAATCTTACCGTGGTTTGGCAGTTTACTAAGATTTATTATATTATTGCCACTAACTTTACAGTATCTTATATCCACCCCCCCCCCCCCCCCTTAAGTGTATATAAGAAAAAGCGCCCTCGAACATAGAGAGGTAGAGTCGCCCCTCAATCCCCGAAGGATTGAGGGGCGAATAAATAAGCGGGGGCAAGATACGTAGAAGTAGACTTTGTGAAACGTGGCAATAGTAGTTTATATATAATCCTAATTGTGGTTAGAGAAGCTTAGTCAGTTCTGGCTATGCTGATAGTAATTCCGTTCCGGTTTCCAGACCATGCCGAGCTATAAGCCCAGTTACTAGTAGTTAACTAACACAGACTCTCTCAGCTTACCACACTATTTGCATACAGATTAAACAAGTTAGTACTATCTTCTACTAACTAATATCTAATAATATACAAACAAGAAGCATTATTCTTATTAATACATATATGCGTATGCAATGAATTTTAGGCTGAAGTTGTATGCTTTCAGTGATAGGCACAGCAAGCCCCAGGCCTTATATGATCATTTTCAACCTGTATCTATACACAGTCTCTCAGACATGCTAGTTCCTGTCCATGTAGCATTATCGTAGATTTTTGGTAAATTTGTGAATGTCCCATGGTAAGCTCATACGAGTCGAACGCTGTTCTGGCTGATAAAGGGAGTTTTGAAGCACCAAAAATTGATTGTGTAGACAGCTCTAGGACATCACCAACACTTCATGGACATCATGGAACGGCTAGACATGTTCATCGACACTAAAGTGAGGAAGGGAGAAAAAGAAAGAAGCAGAGGGTAGAGCACTACTCTACCGTCATACAATTTAATCTATTACCAAAAGCGAATATGCTGGGTAGTAATGGCGATTGGCTATTTTCATCGTCGTCACCTATGACCAAAGATATCTATCTTCTCGTCATCATCATCTTCTTCATCTTCATTGTTTTCCTCTGAGTTGCTGCACCATGACCGCTCATCATCATCATCACCACCACCACCACCACCACCATGACTCTCGCCTTGATCCTCTTCGCCGTTGGCTCCTGAGGTTCCATCGACCGACTCAGTCCCTCGACTAAGAAATCCATACCTGTATTTAAATTTCGCACCCCAAAAGCGAATTTCCCCACTACTCTCGTTTTCATCATCCTTGGGCGCCTGGCCATTAGAAAATGACGTTGACTTTCGTCTCTCAGAGCCACGATCGGGGGGTATGCCAAAATAGTTACTGATCACTGGAGAAACAGCACGGCCACGACTGATACTGTAGGAGAACCGCCCACTTGGCTCAGTTGATACCAGCGCGTTAGGTCGTGCGTTTGAGTATATATCCTGGCCAGAGTTGGTGTCAAGTCTTGACGTTAATACTGGGAGCGCAATATTGCCCGCGCCTTGAGATGATGACCTTGTTCGGGACGCTATGAACCCTTCTCTCGCATAATCATCCTCGGCTGAAACCAGTATCTCTCCGTTCAATAATCGAATTTGGGCAGTGTTGTATGATTCGCACCTGGCTCGTTAGTCCGCGTCAAACTGGGGGTCATCCGAATAGGCTTACATATCACATCTCAGTCCCAGCCAGTGGTACTTAACGACAGACTTTGCACCACAATCATTACAGTAAATTAAAGCTTTCGTGTCATTGAACTCAGCCGGCATAGGTTGACTTTGGATCGTACGGTCCAGGTTTCGAAAGGTAGACTCCATATTCGTAATGGTCTTACTGCATATCGGACAGCGATATGAACTCTTTGAATACTCGGAAAGACACTTTTGATGTATGCTGTGACCACACCGCATAAAGACGACGGTCTCAGGAGAAGTAAACATGTAGTCCCCACAGATAGGACAATCACACTGCGTCGAGCGCTCAATGCATCGATGCGTATTCTCGATCGAGATAGGCAGACAGACGCAGCAGGTCTAACATTGTTTATCAGCAATTGCCTATGGGCATGATTTCCCTTTTCATTTGGTCATTGTACCCTACCTTGCAGTGAAAAAAGTCTTTCCCTAATCCTTGGCCGATTCGACAGATTCCGCAGTCATTGCAATGGTAGATACTTTTGCTAGTATCGTTGTCCCAGAGCTTGCAGATGTTGCAATAGTACTGCGAAGATTGTTCCCCGCATTGCCTACAAAACTGCGTGGCAGGTTGAGCATGCCCGCATAGCATGCATAGCATGTTTTCTGTTTTTGGCCGATCGAGGTGATGGTCTTCTGCCTCGTCGTGGCAAAATCGACAAGTATACCATTTCTTGCAGGCGTAGCATTGTAGTTTGACGTTCCTTTTATAATGTTGACAGCCTAAACAAGCCTCCTCGAATTCCTCAGCATCCGTATCATCAATATCTTCAGTCGGTAGTTCTAATTCATCCCTGGGGGAAAAAGTTGGTTTCAAATCTTCAGCTGTCAGACAATACTGATTTTCTTGATGTTCGATCGAAGCCGTGGTAGGTGGGTTTAGGCTTTGTTGGTCAAATGATTGACTGCTCCAACGGTAATTTGGAGTGACAGGTCGATCCGGGCTTCGGGGCCTGAATAGTGACGGCGTTATTTTTATCGTCTGGCTATCCAGATTACTTCGAGAAGCATTATAGTTTTCTGTCATTAACTCATGGATCATACGTGCTTGCTCCATGCTACTGTAGTTTAAATCCCGGATGGCATGGATCTTTTTCCTCAAGGCACCCATTCCATCATCTTCTGGAAGCGAAGACTGTCCACCCGTATCAACTAGGTCAAGATGACTGTGCGATACTCGCTGGGTCCCCCGCAAGGTTAAGCTTGTTTGTTGAGAGGCATCTTGTGTAGAGATAGCAACTGGGGTGGACTGCTGTGGTTCCGTCAAATCGACCTCATGCATGATAATCGCATCATCGTCAGAAACTCCAGAATTGTTGTCGTTTATCTGACTGGTACGGTGCGACAGGGAAAATGTTTCGGTTTCGTGGTTCTGGTCGTTGAAACCAGTCGGCCAAAGCATAACGGACGAGGGGCTATCTTCGGAGGCAACATATTCACCATAAGCCCCTATATCAGGATGTATTTCTTGCTCTGAATATGACATGACACCTCTCGCGATGTTATCGCAGTCGTCTTCACCTCTGTCTGAAGAACACCGATCATAGATGCTCGAGGCTTGGGGAGCCGGCGGGCTGGATTCCTCAGTCTGCTGTGACAGACGACGGGCTTGCCGAACGACGGGTTCGATCAGCAACGAAGTGATGAGCCCGCTCATGAAGGACCGGAGGCAACATTTGATTGAGAATAAAACATAGGCTGTACTGATCTTTTAAAAAGCAGAATTCCCGGGGTTATGTTGCAATCTCAAGGAATAAATATCCTGCGAAAGGGCCGGAATAAGGAAGGCAAAGCATGTGACAATTAGAAGCCGGGATCGACCGCTGATTTGTTGCATGATTGCCAGATTGTTCTGATGGCGGAACCCCGTAAATCCTAGCTCTATTCCCTGCCATTCCAAAAGAAAATTACCGTTTCTGTGATGGTTATGGCTTGGTATTAGTCCTTAATACTTGTGGCTATTTCATAATTACTTAAAGGCTTCCTATTATGTGCTGCTGTTTCTAGTTTATAGTAATGACGTCTTCCAGGGTTAGCCCACGGAATTAGCCCATGACGGTAAGGGTGGTATTTAGGCGCAGACTTGGGATAGCGAGATGGAAAGACAAGTGAGAGACAGGAAAAAAGGTGAGGGGAAGAATAAGGAAATAGCTAAGGTAGTATTAACACTTCTCCACTGTACATATACTGTATTTAACAGGGGTCATCTCTGATGTGCTTTCAAGTCGAAAGGCGCAGACTGTACTAGTAGATGTAGTAGATCTCTGTTGCACCAGAATTCCTCCGACTTTCCAGAATCACACAATCAAGTGCGACTTTAACCAGTGTTTAAAACGAAGAGGAACTTTATCCCTAATTATTTGATGCATGTCCCTAAGCTCTCATTCAGAAGCATTAGTGTCAAATTAAATTGCTCATTGGCATCTCTGCGTAGACTGGACTCTTTTTGGTCAATCCCTAGCCCTTTCAATCTTCACAAGTTAGAGGTAGCACTCTTGCAGTCCTTTCATTCTCTCCATATGTCACCTACAATCGCAAATCCTTTCTCACTTGGGGTTGCTCCCAGTACCTGACCATCATCAAATTCTTCACGATCTTATGTTCCACGCCCGCGGCGTCGGCAGCTCGCTGGAGGAAGCGTAGAGTGTTGGCTATTCTATGTGGATCGAAATCGTGACGAGAAGATGAGCGAAACGAGGATCGCAAAGTTCGGAGAAGTACATGGCGCGATGGCGTAGAATAATTAATCACCCGCAGTCCTTGCCGGTAAAGGTGGCGGTAGGCCTGAATGACAGCTCGCTGATCCACATGGGCGGCACTACTCATGATGTTTAAAGTTATAAAGAAAGCTCAAATGACCGTGATTTTCATGGCTATGGGTGACAGTCTCAAGGGAACAACATTCCCTGAGAGCCAGACCTAAAATCTGCAAAAAGAGGTTAGAGGCTTTGAGCAGCGCTCAGTTAATAACTAGTCTAGCCGAAATAGGTAGGCGCCTCCCGCGCCCGCGTTAGGCCGCAAATGATCGGCTGGTTGCTACCCTCCGCATCTTTCATTCTATCTGTATGATGGTCCGCGGCGCTGCCCGGCAAGCATAGCTTCATCAATTTGTCCACTTTCCTTCCTTCTTTTTCTTCCATTTGAACAGTTGTGAAGCAGAGACTGTACCGGACGATTTTAACTATATTCAGCCCTATCTTTCCCTCTAGAGCTGCTCATGGTTTTTGTGTAGAGATGAATCACTAACGGGCTTTACCAAGCTATGGCACGCTACTGATTATTCTTTCTTCTCCCGAGCTACATGGTCAGCTCGCCGAGCTCACCTGCAATTTATGCACTGCGTGCTTGAGGAGATACTGTTATAATGAATGCTTGTCTTCTGTAGTTACTTGAAGACCAGACATCCCACCGCATGGCCCGAGTATTTCGAAGGCCCGCTTCGGCCCTTGCCAGGCGTGCTTCAAGTAGGGCTGCTCAAAGGGCCGCTCGGAAGCATAAGGTGATCATGGAGTCCGTTACACAAGAGAAGAAAAAACTTCGGAGTGTTGTATGTTGTATCGTTAGCTTTTCAAAGGACGATCTTGACAATTATGGCAGATATCTTTTGAAGCAAAGGCCCCTCCTGGTTATACCTTCATTCCCGCAGGCAACCCTCAGCTCACCTCTGCATGCAAGGAAGTATGCCGGAAAGATGGTCTCAAGGTTTTTGCTGTCACGGTAGGCCAATAGACGTTTCTCAACCCCAACCTCCCCCCCTCCTGGTCGCCGCCGCTTCATTTTTATTTGGCCTTTAGCACTTCTCTTCTCTAATTCTTGATCTTACCTGACAGACAACTCCACATATGCACACCCATAATCTTTCTCAGCATGTGCACAGGATTGGGTATCATTTTCCAAGTGCTATCGTCGCGACTGTATGTATGGATTTAAGTCTTTATCTTACGCCAACAGGCAAGGCAATGCCATTCCAAAGCATTGGTTATACACAAACTCGCAAACGCACTAACTCGGAGTCTTCTCAAACTACCATTAATACTGAGGCCCGGGACGTGCTGAAGGATCTCTTCCCTAATATACCAGACAACGATCTGAACCAAATCATCAAGACTGCGTTTCAAAAAGTATGTGAAGCATTTCTGCACCAGCTAAAAGCAGGCGCGAGATAATCGTACTAAATCAACGGAAGGGCCAACGCAAAGTGGGCACGGCAGTTGAGTTACCCCTCGCTCGCCGAGCGCAACTAGCAGTCGTGGCCCATATTCGACATGTGTATACTGATTACGATCGTCTTCTCAAAGCCACCTCATTCCATGAGGCTAGAAGTATTGTTGAAGAACCTACCTTAGCCAAATTGGTGGAATGGAGAGGCGATGATGAAAACGGGAAAACAGTCCTAGAGGACGTCTTCCGTGAAGTCATTGTTATTTCTGATGATGAAGATAGTGATACTGAAGGTGACATGCCTCGGACTATGGATCGGGACTACAGTGTAGAGATCGTTTCGAGCCATCCACGTGCAGAAGACCTTCAGATGAAGCCAATCTACTACGCAAACTCCACCCATCGAGAACACCACCCGGAATTCTCGGATGAGGAAGCCCCGCCGGGTTTTCATTTCATTCGAATAGCTCCTAAAAAGCCCAGAATTGACCGCCGCGGCTTCAGCAGATACCAGGCCTGGGACCGCGCCATCCACCGGTATAGGAACGCAGCTAATACGACTGACCAACGCAAGCTTCATGCCGGTTCTACTAATCAAGGAAGACCTATATATGCGGCACAGCAGCCTTGGCAGGATACCTACGGGGTTAATAGGGACCCTGCTCCAGCCCAAGCCGTTCTTCGTCGGCAACTTTCCACCGCATCGTACGTGAATGCGATTACTGAGCCGCACATATCAACTATCGACCCTGTGGTAGAACGCCGTGTAAGTTCTCAAGGTGCACTAGTTTTTCACTCGATATAACTATTCTTGTCGGTTAAGTATTAAAGCAACGTCTTGCTAATTCTAGAGAAGCCATATGAGGTATATCCTATAACCCGATCACCTCGTCAAAGAGAGGCTGTACCCAAGGTGGAGCAGGCTCTAGAGTCTTTTGGGGCTAAGAATCTACTCCATCAAGGTGACCCACCAAATGCCCCTGTCTTCGTTAGTGGCCCTAAGAAGGTTCTTGGTAACAATGGAAACCAACGTGGATCTCAGAGACCTTCAGGCCCCATTCAAGGCAGAGCACATGTTAATCCACAGGACTGTGCCTTACCTTCTATTGAATCTCCTTTGTCACCGGAAAACAATACCCTGGACAATGGCCTGTTAGACCACATTTCCGGAAGAATGTCGGGAGGGTGCTCTATTCGCCCATTAACACCACGTCATCTCTCATACAAGAATACCCAATGCCCATCACTTGAAGATAGGGTGCAAGACCAACTACCTAAAAGAAGGCGTGTGGCTTACTACGAACCTGTCAATGTTGACAGGGACCATTCCCACAACGCTCGTCCCAGCAATCCGGCGAATGCCCTCACGGGGGAACGGTATATGGCCTTAGGATATCCACCGAGACAATCTCCTGTTCAGGGTGATCTCCATATTCGTAAAAGATATCTTGCACCGTTTAATCCTATTCCTCAATCAGAGCTCCAATTAAGGAAAGTCCAAGTGTCCAATTTATCTGCCACCCATCTTGATCTTGAGCCAGGGAATGTGCTCCCGGAAGATTATGAATCTGCAGGAGGCCAATCGCTACCCCATAACCAATCACTTGAAACTCGCAGGCAGTGGAGGTCTCAAGGACAGCTCCGCGCGTTGCCAGAAGCCGGAACTGCGTTTCCGACGACGCATTGCTCTGATAGAGCTGTTCTCCAGTGGTCTTCTAACCTTAGTGAACAGAGGAATTGCCATCAAGATCATTACACCTATGAGAGCACGAGACCATCCAATATATCAGAATCTCATAAGTCTACTCGAGGCCACACTAATGATCACAGTCTTATGGAGTTTGGAAAGATCCAAATGCGGAGGCACTATGCTGAGGATTTTGTTCGTACTATTGATTCGCAGGCCCCAATTCCAATAGAGTACCCGCCGCAACATCGCCTTCATAGGAACCATGCCCGGGATCCCCTTACCCAGCGGGCCTATGTTCAACCCCCTCATCGTCCTTCCTGCAACACTACTGTACCGGGTAATGCCAGCTCAAGACAGCCTTCTGTTCGAGATCCACTACATTCGCGGGTGGCATCTGTAGCTAGATGCTATGATACGACGGCAAATTCGGACATGAGATACTATAATGCTGGGTTGGTCGATTCTGGAACCACAGAGCGGCCATTCCAAGATTCGAATAATTTTTCACGGTATGGTTTTGACTACAGTAATCTGTTTACGTAGTCATCTCTACACGTGCCCTTATTTTCCCAACCCAACTACCCTTCTTTCGGTGCCACGGGCACGTTGGCTAACTTTTCTTCTAGGCGAATATGTGAACAACACCCACACATACGATACACACGAGAACTAGCCTGCCCTACCTATGTGAGGAGAGACGATCGATCTCAACCGTGTCACTCAGTGCTTGAAGGTAGAACAGTTGTTATTGTGGATTAGATGGGTGAGCTGGTCTATTTATGAGCGCTCTGTTGCATTGAATTCTACGGAGCTAGTATGCTCCTGCATGGATACTGTACATAAATATGATATCATAAGCATAATACCCAAATGTGTGCCAATTGACATCATGATGATTTACTACGGCCATGATAAAAAACATGTCTGCACTTGAGTATTCAGGTCTGTTCGGTACCCTCAGGGCGACTGAAGGTGAACCGCTTGTATTCGCCTCCCAGAAAGGGAGTAAGAGAAAATTTTAGATTATGAGAAGCAGAGGTTTTAAGCGCAGCTCTGTAGTGGTTATCTCAAGAGAGGCTAGATCAAAGAATATCCTGCCTCATAGCAACATATGCCTGCTTGCTATCCATCGGTTCATTGACTTGAATTCTTTGAAAATGTGCCCACATGCGACAATGAGTTCTATTCAGACAGCCATCGTTTGCCCATCTGCTTCTCCGGCATTGACTGTCTTCCCAGTCTTCTTGATAGTAGCCAACACAATATCATACGACAAGGACGGTTCCGTCACGACGGTGGCTGTTTGAGAATTCAGGCTGACGTCGAAAGATTTGACACCTATCAATAAAACAGTTAGTGAGCTGCGAGTTGCCTGTATTTTCATATGTTGCTCGGTAGGTCTTCCATTGTCGTGGTCAATTGTTTACGTATCACCATTATACCAGGGAGTATTTTTCCTTTGTTTCTCTTCTTTTTTTTTCTTTTCTTTTCTTTCCCCCCCTCTTGGTCTATTTATGCATAATTTGGGGGTTCTAGTCGAGGTTCAGGGGATGTTGGAAAGGAGGGAAAAGGAGGGGTAGAGAACAGCAGCAACACCTACCTTCCAACTTCTTCAGTACTCGTTCTACGGCTCCTGAGCAACCGCCACAACTCATGGTGACGTTAAACTTGTACTGGTGTTCAGACATGGTCGAATGATCGGTCAGTTTTGATTAAAAGGAAGATGGATGGGAAATGTCTGTTCTGAGGTTGTGTTAGGCGAGGATATGGTGGGGAACAAGACGGTTGGTCAGAGCGGAAGTGGGCAAGCCAATATTATCGGTGTTGGTAAGATGTAAATGATGTGATTCTCTCTACCCAAGCCAAGGCACAAAGACTACATATATGGCTTCGACAACTTTCTTAAAGGAACAACGCAGCAATCGCCCATACCTCTACTTGAAACAATGATGATACATAGTCTCGTTGATCTATCTTGGGTTATAAAGATCATATCATTCCTCTTATTCATATCCTTCCCATATCGCTATCCATTTTCAATGAAGACAAATAGACACTAATAAATGTATATTCATAGTTGTAGTCATATTCCTTCCTCCCCTTTACCTCCTTGGCCTTTTCTTTCTCTCTCTTCCTCCCCTTCCTCTTTTTTAGTCCTCCTTGAGCAGAAAGGGACCAAACATAGGCGACTAAAAGCCAGCCGCTCGCTTCTTCTTTCTTGCCTTCGCAGTACTTTTTCTCCCATTTTCTCGACCACCAAACGCCCCTCGCTCGACTTGGGTCATGGGAAGACCATCATCCCAGACGTGACTGCTCTGAAGTCGCATCATGGGCTGTTCATTGATCTCGGGCTGGCTGCCCCATTCTCGGACAGTAGGTGCTGCAGATGTCACTGGACGAGGGGCGAAAGAGTCTACTTTCTTTTTCTTCAGCCGGCGCTTTGGAGTCGTATCTTTAGTATCCCATTGCGATTCCTCCAGTTCCAACACTTGTACGGTTCTTTGCCAGTCATACATAGCTGGGTCTGCCCCCGGTTGCCAGTGTTGTAATATACTTGTCACGTTTGGAGACACAAACCGCTTTCGCTCAGTATTGAAACCGGTAAAAGCAGCTAGGGTGGAATTAAGAAATCCCGGTTTTACATCAGACGTTCCATGGTCTTCGGTTGCGAAGCTACTCCAGCCACTTTCTCCAGGGCTAACAGGCGGGAAGAGTGTCTGTTTCCCGCTCCTGAATTTCAGGGTAAAACTTGAACCGGATGATGGCGTGCCCTCCTTTTGGCTTGACGATTGGGAGTTAGTTCTATTTGATTCGTAATTTATCCTACGCGCTGCGGCGACCTGTGCCAGGGCAAAATCGGCAGCAACGTTTCGGATAATTTTCTCCTTTGTGATCCGTGCGCGAACGGGTATATTATGAGACAGGGTAAGCCAATCATTGACTGATTGGTCATATATCTCTATCAGGCCAGACTTAGAAGGCTCTGTTGATTGAACAGGATTGGTAGATCGCAAACTTAGATGGCCAGGTAATTGCATGACAAGCTGTTGATGTTTGTGGGTGTATGCGTTGTCTGTTAAGAGCGCAGATAGCAAGTCCTCGATATCCTGTGCATTCTGGTCAACATCATCCAGTGACAAGCTGTGACCAAGAATTTCAAGCCTATGGGTAGTCAGTATCATGGTGTTCTAACGATATATTTCTTCATGAACCATACAGAGTCTGACTAGCCAATTGGCTCTCTGGGTGTACAGGAATCTTTCTTTTTAACTCTTCGAGAGACTCCGGGAGGCCTTCCCCATGCCTTTGACTGGAATCGCTCCCTGGTGAAACCACGAGCCTCCCAGTAGCAACCTCATAAGCCTGCGAGAAGTCAATTGTCCATTGGGAAATTGCAAGTGGTGAAATATTAAAAATCCCAGTATCTGGGAGAGTAGGCATTCCAGGGCCCACTACAGACTCGTCGCAGTCATCAACTATGAAATCCCCGTAAGATCGCGATGAAAGCAGTTGCCTTTGGCGTGTTGTTGGGTAGCGTCTTTTCAACCGGATGATATCATTTTCCAGGTCTTGTCTATCTAAAGCACCGTTATCGGAAGGCCCAACATATACTGACTCATGGATAGACAGGCGTGAGTCTAACACGAAAAGCTTTATAAGCTTTAGACTCGGGTCATAATCTTTTCTCCTGGCCGTCGATGGTAGATGCATGATATTTTTGAAAACAAGCGATGAAAAATGAGCAGTACTAGGTTGAGACTCGACGTTATATTCCGACCCCAACGGGATGTCTAAAACATAGGGATCGGGCATAGGTTCTATGTCTTCGTGGCCGGCGGATACTGCGGGACAATAGAAAGCTAGTGCAACGTGGCTCAGCCTTGAGTATAGCACAAGATAGAGGTCCTCATATATGGGCAGATGTGTCAGTTGCAAAGTGGTGTCTTCCGGATCTCGAAAGTGACGCCAGGACAAGCGAGGAAAGAGGGAAGGCTTTGTCCCATCTTTAGCTGCTACAACCAAGTCAGTGTTGACATCAAACCAGAAGACCCGTGATGTCGTTAGAATAAAGATATTGGATACGTTGCAGGCGCTCCGCTTAACATCCAAGATCCACTCTGACTTTTTTTTCAGACCAAGCTCTATAGAATAAGGGCATGCCTGGTCATCTTCCATCCGATAGAGCATGGGACAACGCCTATCAGAGACAATAAAGCTATTGACATCTCCAACCCACTCTATGGCCGCCCATCCATCATGTCGGGGATAACCGTCTATATCATGACTGTCACCAAGATCTAGCCATGGCAGTGCGCCAGATTTGACACATGTAGCAGTCCAATTACCTTTATTCTGTCTATAGCGACCAGATATTTCCCAAATGCTCCAGTTTCCCCTCTCATCAACAATTCCAATTTGCTTCTGGTACCACGGATTGAAAGTCACAGCTGCATGTGCAGAGCCGCCAGTTTGGGAATTGAATATTTCCACCAATGGGTTTGCATCGAGACGGGAATTACGGGGTCTACTTGGTAATATCTGATCACCGTTGCGGCATACGTGAGCAGGAACAGGCGTCCTATGATGGAGTGGCCGAAACACCAAGGTAGAATGAGGAAATCGGGCCGCCATCCACGTTGGCTTCTCTTCCACGGTGCGCGCAAAACATATCTGACGAACAGGGGCACCTCGTGCAGACCACTCGGCACTTCCAGTTTCCTTGATGGAGGGAACACGCAAACGGAATGTTGCATTCAGCCTCAAGTCCACACAATCTTCGTCCAGCTTGTATAAAGAAATAGCATTGCCACACTCCCCAGAGGCGACTACTGCGATCGGAACAGTTCGGCTCCCCAACTCATCATTCTCGAGGTCAACTGCATACCCCAGGTCTAGGAGTGAGGAGACTAAAGGGTCGCATATTTCGCTTGTAGTGGTGATGGTATGGGAGAGAGTCTCATTGTTAACGAGTGGCCAGCAAGCTGTAAGCTCAGGGTAAACCTTTGGCATGAGACTATTGTTCTCGATCTGTGATGATTGTGGGGCTGTAAGAGGCGATGTGATAGTAGTCTTTGTTGCCCCAGCGAAGGTTATACGAGGTGCTTATAACAGGGTCAGTATGAGGGAAATTAGGAAACGATTCGCATTGTCCAGAGAAGCTTACGCGGGGTCAATGTCCGAGGGAATTCCCAAATCTGGGTCTCCGGACGGTATATCGCTTTACCCAAGTGCCCATACTGTAGAGCACTGGTAGAATGTTCATCCATCGGGGTTCTCTTGGCTCCTAACGATATGTACAAGCCCTAGCCTTGCAAGCATATCGAGAACTGACCAGTAACGCGTTAGACGACGCAGTTCACGTTACTAGTAGCTTGGAAGACACAAGCAACCCTCTTGTAGGTTGTGGTCAGAGATATGCGCCCCTGCCGGTTATTAGAAAATAAACATATGGAAGGGTCGTCAAGCATATATATATACATGCGCATATACAGTGCGAGTTAATGGTTTTTTCCCTGTTGACACATCTGCCACATCTTACCGCCATAAGCACGTACCAAGTGTCCTGCACTACGACTACTACTACTAGTAGTATATGGTATTGCATGCCCAACATAGAGGTTACGAGGAACTATAGGTTCAAACCGATTTAAATTATGGGAAGCCGCAACTCTTCGCACTTCATACGACTGTATTATCATACTTTTCCTTCCAGTTGAAGGGTTGTCATGCTCATGATCACGTGATAAACACACATACACACACCAAAGTTATTGCCAAACCTTAGTTCGACTGCTGCATCGCAACAAACAGTTCAGGCGAGCGTTACCACATTGTTCAGTAGAGCTGTACCCTTACTTATTTGTGACAAAAACGCGAACTATATCAGAATTAGACGTGGCACTCATCATGACTTCCTCTTTCGAACCCTCATTATCGACGAGTGGCATGCGTCCACCTCTCACATCAGCAGATGCACCTTCGATGGCGGATTCATTGCCTAGTATAAATTTCGGTTTCGAGGATCTACGCAATCGCATGGCCCAATTCACTGCTCAGTTTGATGCTTTTATTGAAAAGGGCAGAAAGCAGATATTGGAGGAGAGGAATCAGTTCAAGATCGGGCTTGCGGAACTCCAAGGTGCGTAAATGGGAACATTCAAAGGTACTGTGACTAATTCAAGCTCAGAGGACCAACGGATGAAACAGAGAGATATTGAGATTTTGCATCTCAAGTCACAAACTCACGACCAAACTATACAGAAGGAAACCGCTGAAGCCGCCGAGATGCATGGCACTATTTCATCAGTAGCAATGGAGCGCGATTCTCGTCTCGCTAAACGAGATCGTTTAAAGCAACAAATCAACGAGACACAGAAGGCTATCAATCAGAAAGTGGATGCCCAGAAGGCTCATGCCCGGCATCTCGATGCACAGGCCCGCCTAAACATACCAGAGCTAGAATTTTGGCAGGATTATCTTTGTCTTCGTATTGAGGGAGCCGGGCGGGAAGATCGCCTGAAGTTCATATTTAGCCACCTACTTGAGAAGGACTGGGAAGCTGAAGCCTGGTTTGAACTCGGCACGTCTAGTCGCGATTATGAAGTGTTCCATACACGCCCCAAAGTGGACAGGGAAGCTCTTAATAGGGAGTTAGACAATTTAAACGAGGATCGCGACTTTGGTGCTTTTCTAAAAAGGATGCGCCGCCTGCTTGTCGAAACAATGAAATAGAAAAGGCCCTCTAATTGGTCCGGTGGCGGGACTTGACCGTGTTGACGACAGCATAGCATAGCTTTTTATGTTGATGGTCACGAATTATGGCCTGGTGTACGCCGAGAGAAATGAATTTTCAAGAAAGAAGAGTAAAGAAAAGAGTTCTATACACAGTCAACAACCCGCAGGCAATTTAGTCGGTCTGTTATTTAGTAATCTGCAGAGGGATGTCTAAATATCATGGATTGCATGCGTCAACAAATCAACCACCTGTGGCTTCCCTGTAGAAAGATATGCTACGGCTTGCCCCGGCCGTGGCAAACCCTTCTGACTTCCCAATCTTCGGTAACCATTTGACGTTCCAAACGGCTCTCTCTGTTTCGGAATGCGTTGCAACGCATGTCCTGGTATCGATCGACCAGACTTTCACTTTTCCATCGAATGATCTTCTTTGTCATTAGCGCAATTTGTTAAGCAGTTCAGGTGTTAAAGGAAGGGTTTACCCGCTTAAGAGATATTCTCCCGTGTGGCTCCAAGAAAGCGATAAAACCCATGCTGAATGTCCTGAGAGGTTAGCTACCTGCTCGCCAGATGAAGTGTCATATAATATGATCACGTTAGAGTCTCCAGCAGCAGCGAGGAACTTCCCCCCTGGAGAGAATGCAACAGCTCGCACGGGCTTCACTAGGCCTGGAAGATATTAGATATGCCCGTCAATGATATGTAAGGGATTATAGGGATGCATGTGAGGCATATACCTGATAAGCTGAACGGCATACGGCCTGTTTCCGTGCTGAAGATATAAACGCTGCCATTCTCATGCCCGCTAGCTATGAGGCGGCCGTCTACCGACTATATGAGACTGTCAGTGCGACCTAAAGAGATGGAAAACTGAGTAGACAGGTTACCAAGTCTATGCAGGTACCAAAGCTACCCTTGGTCTCATAATCACGTATTTGTTCACCATTGGCATCCAAATCCCACACTCGAATGTGCCCATCTTGGCTTACACCGGCAAGATACTGGCCATCGTCTGACAAGGCAATTGCCCATATATCGGTGGATCCTGCATTACCAGCTGTCCAGATGTTAGTGTAAGGAGTCACATGAGGATTAAAGCACAATCGATTACCTGAGGTTGTCTTATTTTCGGACCAGGTCCCATCATGACAGGACCAAACCCTAATCTCACCACCAAAACCAACACTCACTGATCTCGACCCGTTGCCATCGGTTACTATATGATGACACCCAAGTTTATGGGCCTCATCGATTGATTGTACTAATGGGAAATCAGGGTGAGCGGTCGAGTGAACCTTGAGAGCAGAGACACCAGAAGCCGATAAAATTTGCTTGTTGGTTACAGCCAATGAGAAGATATCAGTAGAGTGTGCTGTACACTATCAGCACAATGTTAATCAGGTAGAGAATAGGAGAAAAGTGGGGTTGGGGGAAGCGCAAGAAAATGGCGGATCCCTATACATACCATTATCTGCGGAACCGCAGGATAGATACTGTTTCGACTATTATTGAGTAGCATGTCAGAATGAGCTCAGTATTATCATTCATTTCTTAGGCTTACCATCGTAAAACGTCTTGAACCATGTATGGTGACAATCTAGTTCGCAGGCACCAACGCTCCGCGGGGATGAACAGAGTCGAAGTCCACCGTAATTCGGGACAATAAATAGTGGGACAAATTCACCGTCGGGTGAGATCATCAAGGCCCGCCTTCATATGAGCCAACTATGGCATTCCCAAACCTTTGTATACTACGTAGGTTGCAGGCATTGGGAATAATTAATAGGGAGTACATGATAGGGCCATTCGATTGAAAAGGTTTTGGCAAATAATAATTTAAACAAATACGTAAATTTCCCTCTCAGAACCAGACGCCCAATGCCATGCAGCATACATATATCCGACACTTTATGTATAAAGTAAAAGTACAACCCTTAAGAGCACACTTAACACGATCGCTTCCCTCGCCTTTACTGACATCGTTCAAGTTTCATTTTAAGCAGTTTGGGTTTGCTTCCATTGCTTTTTAATGTCTGTCAAGTCATTAGTAGTCAAATTCGAGCTTGATCAACACGACGGTGTGAAGTCACATACTCTCAACACAGTGTGGGCACAAAACATGAGCACGCTTTATTTGACCACACCCAGGGCAGGTGTTGAGGCTTTTGACATCCTTTAAAGCCTTGCCAGCCATCTGTCTATGACGTTTCTTCATGTGGGATGTTTTCTTTTTCGGTACGGCTCGGAGTACAGAGTCCCAAATATCAGACAGGAATCCGGGTATATTCAATGACAATGCGGCGGGTTTCAAAAGGGTGGCAGGGATATTAGGAGTCGTTTGCGTGGAAGTCTGCCAAATGTGAGACCATCGTCCTCCGACGGAAGACATAGCTTGGGAGGCCATGAAGATACGCGGCATAATCTGCGAGGAAAAGGTGAATGGAAGCGATTGTAGTGCCATAGTGTCCAAGTTTGGTGGTAGACCTGCTGTAACGATGGTAATCCAAGGGAATTAGGCGTATCTGATATCAAAAAAATTATGGCTCTGGAAAGTGAAGCTTCCCGCCGACATTGCGGGTTTGCTGACTTGGGTCCGGAGAGTGCCCTAATCCCGAAGTAGACTAGTGACCCCCTGAGAGCGCAACAACAATTAAAGGGGCCCATAACGGTGATGGTCTGCATCTCCCCATCTCTAGTCAAATTAGCAACTTGGGGGTGGAAAGCTCATCTTTCAAGCACTAGACTTTCTTGGTAGTCTACTCGCGTTTGATATTTCAGTCGTCACATTCACTTGAGCCCCATTGATCCCGTCGGCTGCTCGCTGAAGATAAACCCAGGTCAACCCTCCTCGTTCTCTCTCCACCATGGCTACCACCACTACCTCGACTTCGACCACCCCGGCTACCGTTTTCCCTCGCAGCCATGTCGGCTTCGACAGTATCACCTCTCAGATTGAAAGGAAACTCCTCAAACGCGGTTTCCAGTTTAATGTGATGTGTGTTGGTAGGGGCTCCCTGATCTACCTCTATAGATAATCATTGACCGTCAAACTGACTGTTGAAAAGGCCAGACGGGTCTTGGAAAATCTACCCTGATTAACACTATTTTTGCTTCGCACTTGATTGACTCGAAGGGTCGTCTGACTCCTAATGAACCTGTGCGCTCGACCACGGAAATTCAGACCGTCTCCCACAGTAAGTCAACGTCGCCCATTCATGCAGAAGGTACCCCGTTAATATTCAGCAACTAGTCATTGAGGAAAACGGCGTACGTCTCAGACTAAACATTGTTGATACCCCTGGATACGGTGATCAAGTAAACAATGATAGATGGTATATGGCGCTCCTCACATGTTTGCATTGGCCAAGCTAATCCCTTACCAGTTGGGACCCTATTGTGAAATACATCAAGGACCAACACTCCGCATACCTCCGAAAGGAGCTTACCGCTCAGCGTGACCGTTATATTCAAGATACCCGTATTCACTGCTGCTTGTTCTTCATCCAACCATCCGGCCATGCGTAAGATTTGAAGCCTCTGGAATTGGCGAAATATGACCGAGCTGACTATACTCTAGCCTCAAGCCCATTGATATCGTCGTTTTAAAGAAGTTATCTGATGTTGTCAATGTTGTTCCTGTAATTGCCAAAGCCGATTCACTTACTCTCGAGGAACGTCAGGCGTTCAAGGAAAGAATCAAGGAGGAGTTTGCTTTTCACAACCTGAAGATGTACCCGTATGATAACGAGGAGCTTGATGACGAGGAGCGCGCGGTCAATGCCCAAATTAAGGTCTGCACCTCTCCGATACATGGACTTAACCAGCCTCTAATGCATAAACAGGACATTATTCCATTTGCTGTGGTCGGCAGTGAGAGAACAATAGTTGTCAATGGCCAACAGGTTCGCGGCCGACAGAACCGCTGGGGTGTGATCAATGTGGAGGATGAGAACCACTGTGAATTTGTATACCTGAGAAACTTCCTTACTCGCACTCATCTGCAGGACCTTATTGAGACAACAAGCCAGATCCACTACGAGACCTTCCGTGCTAAGCAACTTCTTGCTCTGAAGGAGAGCAGTGCAGCGGGAGGTCACAGTGGCGGCAGCCGGCCCATCAGTCCCTCGGCTGACAGGGAGCTCAGCCGTAACTCTCAACGGATGACCATGAATGGCTATTAACAGCGCACAAGAGCGTTAAGGATAGGTCTCAGTGCTCCAAAGAGCAGGCCGTCCATGCCAGCTGTTTCCATACATAGGTGCACACGCAGACAACTTAGGAGCAGTGTCGAGCGTCCCTTCACTTTTTTCTTCTTACTTCATACATAACTCATCGTTCATACCAGCATGTTCTTACAGATATCCTTTTAACTTCTGATTACTCTTGGCTTACTTTGTTGCCTATTTTGCTATCTCCCAGCACGGGAAGCGGGTGCTTTTATTCCGTTTTCTACCATTGAAATTGTTATTGCAGACCAGAAAGCGGTTAGCAAAGATAGCGCTAGCATCCATTTTAATTATCTCATGTACTTAACTTCCTCAATCAACACTCCACGAGGGAAATACAGTTGATATAACCCAAAGGTGCTGCTGGATAATTCATTAACAATAGAATCAATCATGACACACCTTGTACAAAAATAAATCATATCCCGAAAGCTGGTTGATCATTGCTGGGCGCCGAATTTACCATCGTCGACAATCCAGTTCCTCAACTCAGTATAGGCCTCTTTCAAATCATCATTGACAACTAGCTTGTCATGTGCGCCGGGCTCCTTGGCATACTCGAGCTCATTCTTGGCCTGTGCTAAGCGTTTCCTGCCGAAGCTGCGGTCAATACCTTCTCACATATAACAGAAGAGATGCGATCTTTCCGATGCAACTCACTTCAAGCTCTCTTCGGACTCAGTACCTCTACCTCGCAACCTCTGTTCTAGTACTTCAACCGATGGCGGGGCAAGAAACATAAAACGAGCGTTTAAGTCGGTACGCTTCACTTGCTTCACGCCCTGTTCAATTAAAGTCATCAGTACGACTGTCTCGGCCTAATGTTCATCCTCCGTGAAGCTCATGTGTTTTGACGCCATTGGCAATATGTGGATTCAATTACCTCCATCTCAATATCGAGGATACATATCCTACCCTTCTCTGCAATATCTTTCACGGCCTGGACACTGGTACCATAGTAGTTTCCTCCAAACTGCGCATGCTCAATGAATCCATTTTTGCTCACAAGGTCCAGGAAATCCGCTGCTGTTGTGAAATAATATTCGCGCCCATGCTGCTCGCCCGGTCGTGGAGCTCTGGTGGTGTCTGCACTCGGTAAGCAAATGGTTAGCTTACAAAAAGCGAGACACAGAATTGTTGTTGAAAAACTAGAATGGTTGAGGACGGACGCGAAACAGAAAACCCAAAGGTGTTTGGATAATCAGCAAACAGTTTTTTTAGTAGAGTTGATTTTCCAGCACCAGAGGGGCCCGATACCACTACTGGGCGAAACTTTTGCACTATATACAAGTCAGTATCCCGGTAAGTCCACGCGCGTTGAGGGGTATGCGCTAACGGGATTCGCACCAGCACTGGTTGACATTGTCAAAGCTGAGTGGCGAAGGAACAACTGGAGGCGTCCGCTATGAGAATGCAAGGTTGAGCGAGACTTTAAGAAGCCTTGCATGGACAGGAAGCACACAGAGAAGAGCTGGAAACGAAGCCTAGGGGACCTTCCAGAACTTCCGCTTTTTGACTCTGAAGATAAATTATGTAAAGGCGGTGACCACAGAACTACGGCAAACACCACAAACAGGAACCGACTGATTTCATTCAGTTGCATGCAAATTCGGTCATAAATAAATAATTAGAAATACACGTTTTGATAAGTCCTGCTTATCATATAGCTCGCGGAGGACTATACTAACAAATTCTTGACACAATATATATGAGCAGCGACGGATGTGTATCCACTGTCTTCTAGATACCCCACAGCATTCAGGGTTTTGGTTGTGTATATTCTTGCGCAGTCTGAGACTCCTGCTCGAGAAAGTTGGACCAAAGTTCCGCCAGCGACTCCTTGTTTGAGTTCCCATTGTCTAAGAATTCAGTAGCCAGCGTTGGAGTGCTGGGGGTACGATGAATAGGTGTACTTGGGACTCTAAGCTTGTTAGAGGTACCTGAAGTTCCCGGACGTGCTAGACCAGCCTGTTCACGCTGTTCTGATGCCGATTGTCAACTCTCGTCTCTGAGGGAGGAAATCGAAAATAACATCACGTACCATCTGTCCAGCCTAAAAGAGCCGCAATAAGTTGCAATATCTGAAATTTCTTCGGGTCTGACCGATCAAGAGTAAGGAAATGCAGAAAGTGGTTCGTAACAATATGCCTAACGGGAATCGTCAGCAGGTGTCAAAAAGGCTATTGAGGAGCTTCTCTGGTATGGTCTCGACGTGCCTGTCAACGTTATCCTCAGGCTTCCCTTTCTTGAGAAATCTCAAGGCCTTGGTCAAGTGATCATTCAGCGTCACTGCCTCATGTCTGAGTTTGCCAATGAGGAGATTCTTTTCCTTTACTTCTTTCTCAAACGGCCTCACTCGCTCCAGTTCTTTCTGTGCACTTCGGAGAGCTTTATCAGCGTCCAACGCCTTTTTCTCCGCACAGTGAAGGGCCTGTTTTAGCTCTTCAAGTTGAGCGTCTGAGTTCTCCACGAGCTCACGAAGCTCTTTTCTGCGAGCTAAGACAGGTTAAAGCTTTCATCTATGACAATTCATATGCAAGGATTTGCTTACCTGTCTGGATTTCCTGTAAGGCTCGCTGTAACCCATCCACGGCGGCTAATTGAGAATCGCGTTCATCGGATGTTCTTTCATAGGCATCTTTGAGGCTAGCAAGCTGCTCCTCAAGGTCTACGACTTTCTCGCCTAAAGTTTCCCTGATAGACCGCTCTTCCATAGCTAGAACTTCCCAGTTGTGCATAGCCTCCTTAGCTTGTTCGAATTCGGATTGAAGATATGATTGTTGCTCGAGAAGTTCTTCCTTCTCCTTCAGCCAGTTCTGCTGTGACAAGTTCATCCGGTCTCGTAATGTTGAGATCTCCTTCGACTTGTGTTCATTTGCTTCCGAGAGCTCCGTCAGTTCAGAGCACTTCAGCTGGAAATTCTCTTTCAGCGCTGAGTTCTGTTCCTCCAGCTCCCCAATTTTTAACCTAGCTTGAGCAAGTTCCTCCTATCGAAATGTTAGCTACGGATTAACAGTTCTGGGTGAATGTGGATGGGCGCACAGCGTCTTCCTTGAGTCGTTCACCTAGCTGCGACTTGATTGTATTGACACGCTCCAGTAGCTTCTGGAACTGTGATTCTGCGTGTTCCTTTTTGCCCTCGGCATCGTTTAGTTTGTGCTGTAGAGCTTCCATGTCCGCTCGATGCTTGGACTGTATTTCTTCTAAAGACCTCCGCATGTCCGTCACCTCAGCACGTAGTGAGTCCCGATCCCGTACAAGAGCGTCGAACCGTTCTTTCGATTGGAGTGCATCGGGTGGTGTTTTGGTCACCCTGCGAAAGTCTTCCTTTTCGCCATATCGGGACACTGCTTGTAGCTGGTCGCTATAGTCATTTTTTAAATCATCATGGGAAGCGCTCCTATCTTCACTCATGGGAGCCTTCTGCTTCTCCGTAACCGTCTCCTCGGTCGAATTGGGCACGACGACCTGGTCTCCTTGTTAGCAATAGAAAAACACATTAAGTAGGTGCAAGACCACCCACACTTGAATTTAACAAGTCAGGGGAACCCTCCCCCCATAATTTTGCAGACACGTCCTGCTGCTCTTCAATGTTCTTATCATTGCCTTCCCCGTTCTTTACGGAGCCCTTGTTCTTCCTCTTGTTTCTCGGGTTGCTGTCTGGTCAAGAGTGATTTGTGAGAACGGCACTCGGGGGAGTGTGTGGGAGCGGTCCGTTAATCAAATGCGTACCTTCGGGCATTTTTCTTTTGAATTTTTCGGGATAAGTTTCGTATGTTTAAGTCGACGATGGCAGCCACTCGGGCGTGGTTACAAGATCAAGACCATAGCTGTCAACATCCTTTAGCGCGGCCGCAGTTATTCGCTAACTCCCGAACCTCTCGCTTAGGTATGTACATACAACGTAACTACCTCAAATATACTGAGCTGCGAAATCACCACAGACTTAGCGGAAGCAAGAGAATGCTTCTCCCAATACATGTGTTACTATTGTGGTATTGTTTCGAGTTTGTGTTATTAGGTTCAATTAATGTCCAATCTTTTCCCCATTAGCTAACGTAACCGGTAAGCAACCCGGTAGACCCTGTATTCTATATAAAATAGTATATTTTTAAATACCAATATCTTAACAAGTTTTTATTCTATCTGTTTTATAATTTAATACTATATAGATATTTTTTTATATATA